CATGGGCTTGAGAGGTTCATCCTGTAGTGATATCTTCATTGCTCAATGCTTACTCCTGGTTTTGTGCTCAGGCATCTCTCCTGGTGGAACTCAAGGACCATATGTAGTACAGGGGATAGAACCTGGCTTATTATGTGCAAAGCAAGCAACCTGTCCACTGCACTATCTCGCTGGTCCCAGGATTTAAAGTATTTCTAATTACTTTGTCATGGGGAAAAAATATTTGTATTCCATCTGAAGCCCAGAATGCACGTTCTGTATTCTATACTTCAGGAGAAATCTTTTTGTTGTTCTTTTGTTTTGTATTTTTTAAGCCTACTTAGTAGGCAGAAGAAAACTGGGGGAGAAGTAGGCAGAAGAAAACTTGTTTTGTATTTTTTTGAGCCTACTTTGTAGGCAGAAGAAAACTGGGGGACCAAAAGACACAGTTAATCATAGGGAGTATCTGTGGATTTCTACAGCCTCTACAAATTTCCTTTGTGTCATATTTTTAATGCTATTCTGGACAGAATTGTCTAATTTCATTTTTGCATTGTTCATTGCAAATAGACTAATTTTTGCATACTGGTTTTGTATCCCACAACTCTTGTAAACTCCGTTGTTCTTAAGCTTAGGTGGCTTAGTTTTCCACAAAAGCATGTGATATATATAAAAGACAGTGGCACTTTTTCCAGTCTTTAAAAAATTTTGTATTTTTTCCCTTTTCCAATCTTGGTCCCCTTGATTTTTTCTTCACTGTTCTCGATAGAAATCCTTATATAATATTGACTAGGAATTGCAAGCACAGGCTATCCTGATCTTACTCCTGACTGAAGAATAGCATCTAGAAGCATCTAGTCCTACCACAAAGTACAATGATCTAGCTTTCTCTAGATGAACTTTATCTGGCAGAGTGCCCTCCTATTAGGTGTTTGGGTGTTGTATATTTTTTTTTCCCCCTGCACCTATAGACATGGGATTAGATTGTGTTAAATCCATTGATAAATTTATTCCATGAATCAATTTTCAGATGTAACCCAAGCTTACATTCCTGAAATAAATCCTACTTGGTCAGGGCCTATAATTTTTTTTTATATATTCCTGGATTGTTTCATTTTGGTGGGGAGGGAGCTTCCAAGGATTCTAGTGGGCTCCAATGCTACTCCCGGAGATATCTGGCCAACTGCACCCACATGTGCAGTGCCATTTGGGTCCTGTGGTGTCAAGGCAACCTGAGCGTGTCGTTCATTTCTATATATTCCGGAGTTTATTGCAAAAATCAATGGTATTATGGTCGAAGAATTTTCTTCATACTGTTTGTCCTTTTACAACTGCTGAGGTTGGAGGCCCAGGGATGTCTTAGTGGTCAAGGCCTATCCTTGCATGAGTAAGATGGTGGATTTGCTACAGATTCCTCCTACCCTCATGTTTGAGACCACAGTGACCCTGTTGTTTGACATCTCTTGTTGCACAGCAACCATGTGTGTGCAGGATCCAAAACTGCACTGTGCAAGCCCTTGGGGACACTGCGGCCAAGGAGACGAGGTTCACTGAAATTTGCCAAGGTTTCTTAGTTCCTGGTTTATCCTGAGAAGTGCACTTACAATGATTATTGAGTGGAACGTTCTATGTCTGTTAAGTCCACGAAGTTTGTATTGTTGAGTATTCTATTTTAGCATAGAATAGTAATGTATAATGTATAGTCCTACCCATTATTAAAAGTAGGGTCATCTCCAATTATTGTTGCTGTTAGTTCAACTGTCAGTTTTTGTTTCATATATTCTGGGATATTATTTGGTACCTATTTGTGTATAACTGCTATATCTTCGTGCTGGTTTGATTCTCCTACCTTTATAAAAAAACTCACCCCCCCCCCCAACACACAAACACACCATGGGTGGAAGAGATAGTACAGTGCAAATACCCCACTTGCTGTACCATCACTCTGGGTTCTCCTCTTTTTGTTCTGGGGCCACACCTGACAGTACCCTCGTGGTACTTGGGGACCCCATATGATTATGATGGTAGATGCATAGTCAGTGCCCTAATATTTTAATCATATATATAGGAGTTGTGTGGAGGCATTTGTTGGTATTGCTCAGAGGCCAGTGCCTGGCCTGCTAATTTTCTGTATGATTTTATTTCATTAAAAATGTAAGGTTCTATAATAACACAATAAAATTAAATACACAGAGCATGCCAGAGCTATAGCACAGCGGTAGGGTGTCTGTCTTGCGTGCAGCCGGCCCAGTCTAACCAGGTTCAATTCCTCCATCCCTCTCGAAGAGCCTGGCAAGCTACCGAGAGTATCTCACCCGTATGGCAAAGCCTGGCAAGCTACCCATGACGTATTCGATCTGACAAGCACAGTAGTAAGTCTCACAAAAGAGACGTTACTGGGCCCGCTCGAGCAAATTGATGAACAATGGGAGGACAGTGCTACAGACAGTGCTACAGTGCATTCCAAACAACAACAACAAAAAATTCAACAAATGGGGCAGTACAGTGGGTAGGGCGTTTGCCTTGTACATGGTTAACCAGATTTGATTCCAGGCATCCCATATGGTCCCCGAGCATAGCCACGATTAATTCTTGAGCCTAAGGGGGTAAAAAAGCCAAAGGGAAAAAAAAATTCAAGGCATAATATATAGAAATTTCTTAAATTTCAAGAGGATCACTGATACTAGAAGAATAAAATCAGTTAAGTGTTAATGTGTTAAATGCTGGGAAAGGGATTTTATAGATTGACATTGTTGAACTTTTTGGTTTTTGAGCCACACTTGGCAATGCTAAGGGATTACTCCTGGCTCCGTGCTTAGGAATCACTCCTGACTGGGCTCAGGGGGCTATATGAGATGCTAGGGATCAAAGCTGGTTTGACTAGAACTGGGTTGCTGTAACTCCAACCCCTGACCTCAGGTTTTAAAATGACTGGGCTGGACACATGGTTCAAAAGGCTGAGTATGTGTTTAAGATTCAATTTCCAGCATCACAAATGGTCCCCGAGCACTGACAGAAGTGATCCCCAGCTGAGCCTGGATAGTCCCTGAGCCCTGCCAGGCTGACTTGAAAACTAAAATGGTTGCTCAATTTTCTGTATAAATATCAACTGGCAACAGATTCATAGTAGTTTCATTCAGTAATGTAAAACTGTTTCTCCTATATAAATCCATTTTTGTGATAGGTACATATATTCCGTCTATTACCGTCAGAAAACTGCACGCCCTCCTCCCTGCCCTGCCCAAGCCAGGGTGCTGGATCTGGGGGTGACAGCACACTTAGGAGCTAGTTCTGAACAGCAGGCTGTGGCTTGACATCCTCTGTGCTGCTTCCGGGTTTCTGTGTTCAGTGTGCCACAACCACGGTGGCCCAGTTTCAGCCGAGTGGGACCTATGGACCTCATGTCATATCAAGCTCTATTTTGCGTGCTCAGGCCACACCAGCTGTACTCAGGGGCTACTCCTGATGATTCTTGGGGAAACCATGCGCTGACCAGGGCCATGCATACAGAGCATGCACTCTAGCCCACTCCAGTGTTTTCTGCTCCATGTTCTTTCCCCAAATGCGAGCCCAAGGACATTGAAGTTACATGGTGGCGGTGTTGGGGATAATCTGGGGACCATTTGGTGTCAACGCTTTAACCATGGGTGGGATATACTACTATTTTTGTTATAAAGCCCTACCAAGTAGTGGTGGTCACAGTTTAACTTCTTTAAGGGGTCTCAAAAGCAGAGGCAATTTGGCCCACCTGCTCCGTGTAGAACAGTAAGCTTTCTGAATCTCAGTGAAGTCTTAGCTGCTGGAATCCTGCCCCTCTGCATTCACGGGTGAAAAACATGCATAAAAAGATGGCTGGGCAATGAAAATTAAAATAAGGGCAGGGGATGTAGGATAACATAGAGAATGGCAAATATTAGGAAGTAGAATTAAGATGTTAATTAAGTTTCTGATCTAAGGAGAGGAGAAACACACCTTAAGAGCTGTCTTGCCCTCGTGGGTTGCAGGTGGTCAGGAAGGCTTGAAAAACATGTTGTTTGCGCTTCCCAGGGGAAGGCGTGGTTTGGGAGGCATAGTTAGGGAAGAGGTGGTAAAAGTGGTGCCTGAGGAGACTAGGGGAACAGAGTAAAAGAAGGCAAAGAGTTGGAGAGAGGCAGAGTGGGAGCTGTGGGCAGAGCAAGAGACAGAGATAGTGAGAGTTGGAGAGCGCATTGTGGAGTATGTTTAGTGAGGGTTGGAGAGAGCTGCGAGAGTTGCGAGGTGGGGAGAGAGTTGTGGCCAGAGGTGGAGAGAGGTGTGGAGAGTTTGGGAGAGATGAGAATGGAATAAACGGCAACCAATCACCAACCAGCTTGGCCCTCAATCCTCCCTCATTGGCCCAAGGCAATGCCCATCCCAAGTGGGGAAGCAGTTTAAGAGCACTGAGTGGCGTGAGAGAGCTGTCCGGAGAGCCCATGAACATCAGTTAATGTGTGATCACTCCTAGCGTCACCAGGGTAAAAGGGGTTTACACAAGGGGAGATCACCAGCAAGCTGAAATCCTCACTTTGTATGTGGGGGTGTCAGTCTCAGGAGGCTCAGCCCCTCTAGCTGGTGTATTCAAGCTAACATATACAGTGAGGTGTAGACGTTACAGCCCCAGAAGGATTTCAGGATTTTCTTTAGGTAACTGCAGCACTGCTACAACTCTTGCAATTGAGTCATCCAATTTTGTGTTTAGTTGATACAAAAGCCAGGTTTACACCATACTGCAGCCTACTAAATGTTAAGAGCATCACATCTGAAAAGAAAGTCAGACCCCTGAGGCAATGGTGACATGCAGTGGGCACATGCAGGCCTGATCAACACAGAGCTGCTGCAGAGCACTGTTGTCAGCTAAGCAGGAGAGCACGGGGGAGGCGAGAGAGCCATTCTTCAATACAGCAAGTGCCTTCCATTACAGAGACAGGTCAACATGATGACTGTTTTTAATCAATGTGACTTTTATAGAGTTTTTATTTTAAAGAAAGAAACGGGCGAAGGAACACTCTTATATTCACCTCACTGTATATTTAGAAAGGATTAAAAAATACACATTTCCTGGGACACAAAACTGTATACCAAAAGTATCTTCTTACAAAACAATTTCACAGACATACAGTCCTGGACTTACACAGACATGAATATTGACATGTTAGCTTGAATACACCAACTCAAGTATTTTTGCAGCAGTTTCTAACATATCCTTATTGCAGTAACGAGTCTGACCAACTTTAAGCTGTTAAAAATAGTAATAAAAAATTATAAAATAATGTAAATGTAGAATTAAGGCCTACAGTATATAATCTAGGATTAGTAAAGTTAAACAGTACTTATAAAAACGGATGGAGCTGCATATATACACAGGTGTCTTTAGAAAGTCATAATGCTAATATCGCAAGCACATCAATATTTTTGAAGTATCAGCACCTGATTCTCTGTACTTTTTTCTATTTTTTTATTCTAAATTCTTCATTAAGAGTTTCTTCGCATATTTACACTTAAATATCTAACCTTTAAAGTGTTCTTCTGACACAACAAAAGTTTTGTTAAATAAATCCACTAAAAAAGGAATTAAAAAAGTTTGCTTCCAATAAACAGTTCTAGCATACCCATGATCATCATACTGGAAAAAAAGTACGTTAACTTTCTTTCAGAATTATAAATGCTACATGTCAATTTTAGCCACTGCCATACTTGTGCATTTCCTCTGACACACTGCAAGAAATGAAAAGCAAGGGCACCAGTGCCTGGAACAATCCCAGTAAATTCGTACTGTCCCATGAGCTGTGGAACTGAAGAGATGCCTGATTCTTCTCAGCTGGCCTGACATGGCACTGTGTGCCCAGATTCTTGCATTGTCCCCAGATTATCCAGTCTGATAAATTGCACTCGTGGTCTTCCAAAAATCACTTGCAGAAGTCAGTGCTCTCAGTGAGACTCAAGGGCCACTCTCCTCAGAGACTTTCACACATCCGCTTTGGTTATAATCCTGCTCAAAGTGGAGAAAAAGAGAAACATTTTAAGTATCAAAGTTTTCCTTTCCTGACCCAGATGTTAAAGTATTCAATGGAGCTATGAGAATTCTTAGATTCATTGAACCCTTGAATACAGTAACTCAGAGGTACACAAAAACACCCCAAAGCCTCCAAAGTAGGCGGTTCCAAGGACTGGAGTACATATGCTCTCTCCCTGGGGGACCCAGGCGACAAGGTGCCTTGAGCACTATTAGGACCAACCCTAGTGCAAGGCACTGGGGGAGCTCAAAAAACAAAGGGTGCCATCCACATCAAAAGGCAAGGATCTGTGTCATGAAGGGTCACCTCAGCCCCACATTCTAAGGATTACTTCTTTATTCCTTAAATGAAACAATTTGAAGTATTAACAGGAGGGGACCAGAAAGCAGGTAGGGAGTTTGCCTTGCACACAGCTGACACTGGGTTGGATGCCTGGTACCCCATATGGGTCCCCTGCGCCCAGCTAGGAGTGGTCCGTGAGCATGGAGCAAGGAGTAATCCTGGAGAAATGTCAGGTGTGGATCCCCCCATCTCCACCTGCCCCCCCCACAGACTCTTAGGGGTTCCATGGGGTTGACTGTCTCCCACATATCTAGATTATTTGGCCACTATATTCAGAATATAACAAATCATGATTGGAAAAATCTAAAATGATGCAGAACAATTCAGTCCAAAAGTCAGGTTGGCCAGCACATAACAGCACTCAGCTCAGCAGCCTGGCTGCACTGTTCTTCCTGAAAGGTGCTTCATGGCCAAAGAAAGAAAAGGGACAACAGGATAAACAGTTACACAAAAACTGCCTCTGGGAAATAAGATGAGGTAAGGATGCACAGGATAGATTTCTATCCTAAGTTCTTTTTTAAAACAGTAGCCACTACTGACGTATGGTTCCAAAGCACTTGCACTGTAGCTAGTTATGACTGAGGTTTGCTGTGTTCTAAATTTTGAAGATTTTGTATGGAAAAAAGAATTTTTTAAATATTAAAATTTGGAGGGCTGGAGACAGTACAAAGATTGAGGCTTGCATGATGCTGAGCCCAGCTCAATCTGACACCTGAGCACTCTGGGAGCAATCAATGAGCACAGAGCTAGGAGCAGTCCCAAGCACCACTCAGGACTGACCAAGTCCAGATCCCCCTTTAAAACTACTGCATATACTGACCATGTAAGTGGAAGCAAACAAAAACAAATGGGACTACATGAAACTAAGAAGCTTCTGCACTTCAAAAGAAACAGTGACCAAAATACAGAAAGCCCACAGAATGGGAAAGAATATTTACCCAATACCCATCTGATAAGGGATTAATATCCAGGATATACAAGACACTAGTAGAATTGTTCAAGGAAAAAAACCTCCAATGCCATCAAAAAATGGGGAGAAGAAATGAAGAGAAGTTTCCCCAAAAAAGAAATACAAATGGTCAAAAGGCACATGAAAAAATGTTCCACATCACTAGCCATCAGGGAGATGCAAATCAAAAGATATCATCTCACACCACAGAGACTGGCACACATTCAAAAGAACAAAAGAACCAGTGCTGGCGTGGATGTGGGGAAAAAGGGATGCTCTTTCACTGCTGGTGGGAATGCCCACTAGTCCAGCCTTTCTGGAAAACAATATGGATAGTCCTTCAAAAACTAGAAATTGAGCTTCCATATGACCCCACAATACCATTTCTGGGAATATATCCCAAAAAAGCACAGTAGAAACGACATCTGTACCTATATGTTCATTGCAGCACTGTTCACAATAGCCAAAATCTGGAAACAGCGAAAGTGCCCTAGAACAGATGACTGGTTAAAGAAACCTTGGTACATCTACACAATGGAATACTATGCAGTTGTCAGAAGAGATAAAGTCGTGAACTTTGCTTATAAATGGATAGACATGGAAAGTATCATGCTGAGTGAAATGAGTCAGAAAGAGAGGGACAGACATAGAAGGACTCATTTTTGGAGTATAAAACAACATAACATGAGGCTGACACCTAAGGACAGTAGACACACGGGACAGGAAAATTGCTCCATAGCTGGAAGCCTGCCTCATGAGAAAAAGGGAGAAGACAGCTGGAGAGGACAGCTGGTATAGAGAAGGGATCTCTCAGAAAAAGATGGCTGGAGGAATTGGTTGGGATGGGAGATGTGTGCAGAAAACAGATAAAGGACAAAACATAGTAACTTCTCAGTGTCTGTATTGCAAACCATAATGCCCAAAAGCAGATAATGGGGAATATTGTCTGCCATGGAGGCAGAAAGAGGATGGAAAAGGGGATATTGGTGGTGGGGAATGTGCATTGGTGGAGAACTGGTGGAGAGATGGGTGTTTGATCATTGTGTGATTGTAACCCAAACATGAAAGCTTGCAACTATCTCATGGTGATTCAATAAAATAAAACAAAAATAAAAATACTGCTTATATGTTGCAATATTTCCCATACCAGTTTCAATAAAATTCATCCCTAAAACAAACCCCATTTCTTTTAAAAACTCCAACAAAATTTAATTTTTGGGGGGCGGCCACACCTGGTAGTCCTCGGGTTACTCCTGGTTGGCTTGGGAGACCATATGGGATGATGGTGATCATATCCAGGTCGACTGCATGTAACACAAGCTACCCCTGTGCTACCCACTTTTCTCTCTCCCCAGCCCCCCCCCCCCAAATGTAAAGTATATATATGACATTATGGAGTATAATACTAAATGTATATTATTTGATTTATAGACATACAACTTGCATTTGATCAACATGTTGCATTCGGTGTTTTCTTTCACTTTATTTTTATATCCAGTAGTTCCTTCTTCTACCCTCTTGCATCAATGAGGTAACAATACCATACATTCTGCACCATGGTCCAGGAGACACCCTTTCCACTTACAGCCTTTTGGGCATGGAGCTGAGAATATCCCTGGGTCATACCCTGGAGAGTTACATTCTACGGAAAAGGCAGCTTTATGTACAGGAGTTTCCATAAATGTTTAGACATAGGATAGCATATTTATCCCTCCTACTCCCTCACCCCTTTTATTTTTTACTTTTTGGGTCATACCCGGCAATGCTTAGGGTTTACTCCTGGCTCTGCCCTCAGGAACTAGTCCTGGCAGGGCACAGGGGACCATATGGGATGCTGGGGATTGAACCTGGGATGACCGCGTGCAAGGCAAATGCCCAACCCATTCACTGTCCTATGACTCTAACCTCCCCTGGCTACCATCCTTTTAAGATGCTGCTGCACACAGCTGTCTGATTTTTGCCTTTGATTCGTATCATATAATCTTTCCTGACAAACCTGCAGGCAACTGGTCTAGTCTGGTCTGCTTTTCAAGTAAACAATAAACCCATGTCTTAAACCACTGGCTGGCTGCTCTAAGTTCATTCTCTGGAACCAGTTATCATTATTTGCACAGCCTCAAAGATGTAGGCTTATTTCCTGGTGACATTAATTGTTTCCAACTCCTCCTTATTTCATGTATACTTGCAAAAACTGAGCCTTCTTTGATTTGTTGAGAAATTAATTCTAAACGCCTTTAAGGCTTCTACCATATGTAATCAACTAAACCTCCTCCTTCCACATTTCTTTGTTCACTTTCTGTGGGGAACAAGCCCACAAGGAGTGATTTCTGAGCAGAGCCATAAGGAAGCCTGGAGTACTGCCAGGTGTGGCTTAACAACCCCCCCTTGGACTAATACCATTTTGTAGAAATGAAATCTAAGTTTCTTTCAGACTGTGGTGTTTGATCTTATTTTGCATCTATTCCGTACAGATCCAACACCCCCTAATTTCCCCCAATAAATAAATAAATAAATAAATATAATACTCCTTGTTCAAAAAGAAAGCTCAGTTAGAGGTTTCATGAAATAGAAATTATCCCTACTCCACCACAAACAGCAAATGTCCTTGAGGTGCTGCCAAGACCAGAGGTTTGTCAATTTTACCTTTCTCTAGTACCTCCAATTTTTCACTTATTCATTTGACTACTGATTCTCATTTCCTAGATATTTTATATTAATAGCTGAGGTGAACAATCTGTTTATTTTTCCATGGTTTTAAACGTATCACCAGGGATTGGAAAGATAGTACAGCAGGTAGGGCATTTGCTTTGTACAAGGTTAACCCAGGTTTGATCCCTAAGCATAGAGTCAAAAGTAAGTCCTGAGCAAATAAAAATCCAAAGATCTGAGTTGGACAGATAGTAGGTAGGGTATTTGCCTTGCATGCAGCTGATTATCAGGATTCAATTCCAGGCACCGATGTGGTCACCTGACTACTGCCAGGAGTTACTCCTAAGTGTAGAAGCAGGAATAACCTCTGAGCATCACCAGCTATGACCAAAAAAATGTGTTTTTGTGTTTCTATGCTTAATTTTCATGTAAAGGAAATTTCTCCAATTATGCAATTACCATGAAAGATAGCTAACACGTCTTTTCCATAAAACAGATTTATTTCCATAATAATGTTCATGTCTTCCATAAGTATCGATTAATTTTCATTGTAAATAGGGGATTTTGCCATAATTTGAATCCATGATTTATAAAAATTGTCTACATCCTTTGTTGATCTTTTTTAAATGTTTATCAACAAATATACTTTCTGTGATCAGTTTTGGTTTTTCTTAACAGGCATATGATAAAACATTTCATTCACAACCTGTTGTGTAGAAATTTGTCTCATATAGATGAATAACCAAATTGTTAAAAACAAAAAACCCTATTTCATTAATTCTTTTTCCTCATTTACCTTAAAGTCAATTAATCTAAGATACCATTTTTTTTAAATCCTACTAGCACAAGTACTCAATTTATTGAGAATATAAAGAATTTCATCTCAATATTTTGTGACACATGACTTGGTGCTGTCACTGCCTACCCTCTGTGACCACTCCTTAGAACTTCTCCCTCCTGCCCACTCTAGCTATACAGCACAGGTTTTCAAACACACCACACTCATTCTTTCACTGCTCTCCATCCCCCTCTACTGAAACCAATCTCTAGATGGCTGACTTCATCCGTCAGACTTTTTCTCAAGTGCATCTTTCCTGATGACCAATAAAATGTTTCCTATTATTTTAGATCAATGCAGTCTTTTTTTTCATAGACCTTAACATTATCCTGTATATTTATATACAGTTACTTTTAAACTCTTCTTCTGCAAAAGACTGTAGAATTTTTTGAGGATTAAGTGTCACTTTTTTTTCTTTTCTGTTTTTGGAGGGGATTTGGGGTGGACTACACCTGGCTATGGTCAGGAAACCATATGAAGTGCTTGGTATTGAACCTGGGCTGACCGTACAAGGCAAGCACCTTCCCTTACTGCACTATCTCCAGCTCCTACTATGCCACTTTTATTTCCACACACAAAATGAGCATTTTAATAGGTATGGAATAGACGCAAAATAAGATCAAACACCACAGTCCAAAATAAGCTTTGATTTCATGTCTATGAAATGGTCTTAAGACTAAAAACGGCAGTTTTCTCTTTGTTTGGTGACCTACCTAAGTCAGCATCATTGAACTTTTTTATACCTATGGACCAGTGTCTGCTTTGCATAGCCGCTCAGACCAGTGGCTGCAGAACATGGATCTCAGTGGTATAATTTTCCCAAATTAACCCCACAGCAAGTCATTTTTAAATAAGCAATAAACAAATAGCTTGGCAGTCTGATGCCTACAAGATGCTGAGTCTAAGAAAATGCACTGTACTTGAAAGACAAATATCAAAGCAATTTAAATCTTACCACCCAATCTTTTAATAATCTAAAAGTCAACTACCAATATTTCTAAAAAATTAGGAAAAATTATTTAGAGAATTGGGGCTGGAGCAATAATAAGTGGGTAGGGCACTTGCCTTGCACGCAGCCAACCTGGGTTTGATCCCCTGTTTGATCCCATATGGTCCCAAGCCTGCCAGGAGTGAACCCTGAGCGCATAGCCAGGTGTGGAAAAAAAATCCGAAAGAAAAAATGTAGGAGAAAATAATTAGGTCTTATCTACAGTATCTTTTTTTTTCAAACTAATTCTCACCAGAGGGCAACCAGACACACACACTATTACAAAGCTAAGTTGATGAACTAGCCAGTAACTCTCAGAACACACAGACTCACCTACTTTGTCTTGTAGATTCTCTTCTCATTCTCTTAGGAGGAATCAGACATTCAGTCATTTCAACTTTTGTTTGATGACGTGTATCATTACTTTTATTTGTGGGAGTCATACCTATAAATACAGAAGATATATAAAGCTAACTTAGAAGACCAAGGTTATTACAAGAAAAATATGTCAACTTCAAGAAAAGTAAGAATGCTTCTTTCTATGAGAATGCTTCTTACTGAGAATATTCTGCTGAGAATATTAAACAATTACTAGATGACCTGAGATCAAGAGTTATCTTTCAACTGACAAAGACCTGGAACACTTATATCCTTTCTTCTTGTGGCTGGTTTCTTTCATTTTTCTTCAGGCAATGAAAGTAGACATTAACAAAAAGCAAGCACATACCTAGCTTTTGTTCTATAAGTTTCAGACTTTTCTCCTGTTCATCCAGTTCCTGCTTTTTCTTCTTCATATCCGGAGTGTGAAGGTACTCAAGCTGGCCACTAAGATCCTTGTTCACGGTGCCCAATCTGCACACAGCAGTGCGGTACTGCCGGAGAAGCTCTGTGAAGACCCAGACAAAGCAGAAAACCTACCTGAGAAGGGTGTGGTGGTGATGGGTGTGGTGTTGAAACTGTGTGTGGGAAACCACTAACAATGTAATTTAAGATCATAAGCCTTGCACACTTAAAAATGCTGAAGTGTGCAAACTATGTATTTTATCACTAGTTTTTTTTTTTCTTTTAAACAAAGGCTGACAACAAACTATTTTTTTGCCGGAAAAGTCAATATGCAAGTATACTGGAACTCTAAAATTGAGGGCAAATAGATTCTAAGGTAATGGTCTAAAATATGTCAGAGCACAGAGAGATGTGATAATGGCTAACTAACGAGACTGGGGGCATGGCTGGTGAAGGGAAGATGGAAGGACAGCGCAGGCAAGATCTGGCTGATTGGTGGTTTGGGGGCCAACTGGGTGGTGCTCAGGGATCACTCCTGGCAATGTCTGGGGGATCACACACAACTGAACTGGGTCAGCTGCGTGTAAGGCAAGCACCCTACCTGCTGTGCTATTGTTCAGAGCAAGACTTTTTTTAAAAAAAAAAAAAACTATGTATTCCAGTTACCAATCCTCATATAAAAGAGCAGTATAACTGTTTGACAAAATATCATTTATTCAACAATGATAGTATTTTATTTCAAGGACAAAGAGAGTGAAACCCCTACTTTTATATAAGTTGAACTACCTAATATAAGAAAGCTGAAATACAAGATAAAAATAAAGTACTGGATAAGTACTTTGCTTTTTTCCTTTGTTTGGACCACACCCAGCAGTGCTTGAGGTGGCCACATGGGATTCCGGGAACTGAACCAGGTCAGTTACAATCAAGGCCAACCAACGCTCTACCTACTCCGACCCATTCTTGGTTAGTTTTTATGTAGAATTTCAATTCACAAGTCCCATGTAAAGAATTAAAACCAAATTAGAGATTATTATGTATGTAAATAACATACCTATTTGGTCCCCTAAGACGAGGCACTGTTTGGGTACTGGAGCTCCAAATACCATCCCTCGAAGTTTATCCATTGGAGGAGCTTTATTCTGAAGGCCCCCAAACTTCCCATTACTTCGAATGCGATCTCCATCTCTGGTTAACAGTGTAGGACAGTGTGTGATTTTAACAACCTGTTACAAGTAAAAGAATAGTAATTACTGTCATTAAAATGTACTTCAACCTTTCAAAGAAAGAGTATCACTGTCATCCCATTGTTCGTCGAATTACTCGAGCAGGCGCCAGTAACGACTCTATTCCTCCCAGCCCCGAGATTTTAGCAGCCTCTTCTTACTCGATTTTCCCCAACGATTGGAGGCTTTATCAGGGTCAGGGGAATGACACCTGTTGCGTTTACTGTATTTGGCATATCAAATATGCCACAGGGAGCTTGCCAGGCTCTGCCCGTGCAGGCGTTGATACTTGTGGTATCTTGCCAGGCTCTCTGAGAGGCATATATTTATATATTTCTCTCTATGATTTGTTGCCTACTGTCTGTACCCCATCAGATATATTGTAGTAACTGTGAAAAATGGGTAGGAAGCGGTCGAGCGGTCCACAAAGCGGTCTGGAGCGTAGTAGTGGCTGGGTAGTGGAGGTCAGCTGCCGGCATTGGGTCCCTTGGGGTGGGAAGGGCTCTCACCTGCCCCTCAGCCTGGTGCAGAGTCCAGTCCATAAAATGTAAAATACTAGGAATTAAACTTGACAGACTTCCTCCCCCTCTCGCCCACCAACATACTGGCTACCTAAACTGTAAAACATGCTAAGATACTCTTTGAAGAAAGTCTGTAGTTTACTTAGTAAGCTGTTTTCTTAGTAAAATAATCTCATCTTTCACAGATTTGCTCTAGACTTCTGTTTTCTAAGCCACGAGCTGAATTTATATATAATAATACCCTGGCCAGAACTTAAGAATTCTACCCAGCTAGTAATGACTCCTACATATGACAGCTCACATAGGTGACTGCAGGCGGCAAGGAGCGCCTCTGACACTGACCGAGCCACTGTGTCGGGGTGCGGCAGGCTCCCAGGAAAGGGCCTGAGTCCATCTCCTGACCTGATCTGTTCGGGGGAATGGAAACTGATACTGAAGATCAATAAACTTGACAAATGTTCTCACGACAACATGTTTAGTGCTCAGTCTTGGGTTACTACCTTAAAGATGAGCGTATCAGCTCTGGGGATAGGGCCCCGGTATGGGGCACAGGCCGGAAGGAGGCTGGAGCCAACCCAGCACCCGTAACACACATACATATTTTTCCTTCGTTGGGTCACACTTGGCAATGCTGAGGGGTTACTCCTGGCATGTCCCTCTCCCCTCCCCCCCTCCGCAATGCTCAGGGGTTACTCCCGGCTCTGATCCCAGTAATTACTCCTGGCGGTGCTCGGGGAACCACAGGGGATGCCCACACCTTACCCATTGTACTATCACTCAGGCCCATGAATTAATCTTTCCGTTCAAGTGCACTGGCGTTTCCCCTAATTGTACTGTCTGATCAAGTTCACTACCATGTCAGTAAAAGTAGTACAGCAAGCAGAGCGTTTACCTTGCATGCAGCTGACCTGGGTTAAATCCCTGGCATTCCATATGGTCCCCCAAGTACTGCCAGTAGTAATTTCTGAGTGCAGAACCAGGAAAAACCCCTGAACATCACCGTGTGTGACCCAAAAAAGTCAAAACAAAAACAAAAAGCAATTTCAAAGAGACAACATTCTCACTGAATGTTCTCATTGAATGTTATTACACGGCAATAGCAGATGAAACTAAAGTGGCCAAACTGTCCTCCTTTAAATAGTTTGAGTTCAAGTCTACGATCCTCTAAATTCATATACTGAAGTTCAAATTTGTTACTCAAATGGGATCTCATTTTGAGGATCAAATGGGTTCTTATCCAGAATGTTGTCACCTTCTTATGGTGAAATTTGGGAGATACAGACATGAACAAATGCAGGAAGATAAAGCCTGGGGAAAAGTTACAAATAGACCCTCTAACATAGGCTTCATAGAGAAACCTACCCGGCACACACCTTCACTTTTCGATTTCAAACTTCTGCAACTATGACAGTTTCTAGGTGACAACTGATGACAATTTCTACTGTTTAAATTACTCGACTGGGGACGGGACTGATAGCAAAGCAGGTAGGATGCTTGCCGTGCACATGACCAACTTGGGTTTGACCTCCGGCATCCCAAAGGGTGAACTGTGAGTGCAGAGCCAGGAGTAAGCCCTGAGCACTGCTGGGTGTGGCCCAAATCTCCCTCCCCCGCCTCCTGCCCTCCTCCCCTCTGCCAAATGATCCAATCTATGCTAGTGTGTCACACAGCAGCTCTAGCAACTAAAGAAGACCACAGCAAATTACACTTATCTCATGTAACATAATATCTAGAGATTATGTACGTTTCTCCCTGTACTGTCACCAATAATTATCAGTTGTGAGTCAGATACTTTCATAGCTCATAACAGATCTCATTTAAATTTGCATTTTGGCCATGTCAGTCATATACTTTGCCCAATTTTATGCTGCTTATCAATTCATAGGAATTAAACTGATTCTGTTAAGGCTAGTGAGTAGCTGGTAGCTGTGTTGCTTGGCAGTGTTTGGGGGTGCCGTGATGACGGGTTGAACCTGGGATGCCTGCATGCATCCAGATCTCAAGTCATCTCCCTGGCTCTGATATCATTTCTGGGCCGGTTTCTTACATAACATTAAAAAAAAAGTTCATTCAAACACATACCTCTTTTCTATAATGATTGGCAGCATCCAAATTATCCAAAAGAATGGTGTCTCCTAACAGCATACCAAATACTGAAAAATTCAATAAATAATTAAAAAAATTATTGTACACTGCAAAGATGTCTTAGAAATAATGCTAACATTAAAATTTTACTGAATATTTTATCTCCAAATTTTTTATCTAACAGGAAAAATTTGTATTGAGCCATCACAACCTAAATAAGCACATAAGCTTCTGTAACAATAAGCTATCAATATCTTAAACCTAACAGCTATATAAAATAAAACCATAAAGTTCCTTTACCTGTTTCACAATGCTCTACATTATCTGGAAACGTTAACAAAGTTCGGGCAAAGACTGGATCTCCGATGGGTTTAAAATGTAATTTTCCGTTTCGATAATGAGGTAGCGGTCTTCAAGCAAAACATGTAAGATTTAAAACAAAAATTATAAGAAATACCTTTTAAGATATAAGAAGCACAAATATACAACATATTACTAATCAACTTCCTAACCAAGTGATCATTTTATATTTTGTTTTTGGCCACATCTGGCAGCACTCAGACGCCAATGGGGCTGATGGGTGGGAAACTTGCACATGCAAAGCGTGTGCACTAGCCCTTTCGGGGCTCTCTCTGGCCCACAAATGATGCTATTAAGTGATCAACTTTTATGTCCTTAGAAACCAATGTTCAGCACATAAAAATATCTGCTTTTTCTTCAATTACTTTGTAAAATATACACTAACTGCTGCTTTGTTTGCCAAAGAAGGAGAAAAGCATTTTTTTAGGGCTGGTCCTAATCAAGGGTGCTAACTGATGTGGAGGTGGGCCTAGAATGGAAGAGGAAAAGGGTGGATTACATGTTACATACAAGACTGACATAAGCAACAGGTAAACTCAGCACTCTGTCTGCCTGTCCTTAGCACAGGGGGCAAATGGAGTAACAGGGTTTCAAGAAATGAAAGTGGACGGAGGTGCCAAAGGCTTTTCCTGTGAGTGGTTTTCCTGAATCTCAAAGGAAGGGTGCTGGGGTGGGGTTAGAGCTCTGGGATCCAGGTAGCAATGCCAGAAACAGAGAGAGGACACTGGATACTAGAGCAAACAGAAGCTCAAAAAGGAAACCTCACACTCTCCTTAAACCAGCAACTCTTAAGTTGGTCTTCAGGTGGTGTGGAGGTAAGAAAGGCCCTCTGGAAAGAAAAATTCTTCTCACGGAATGTATTACCCGTATCATCACAATAATTATTATCTAATAAGAGTTCCAAGGTTATTTAAAATAGATTTTGTCCTTGCAGCTGATAAGAGATTTTAGAATTTTTTAATTTTAGTGTAGGAGTATGACTATTTATTCAGCCATTGATTAGGCTGATTGAATTGGGCATGAACTCCACTAGAAACAAATCTTGAGTTAAAATTTTAGCTATTACCTCAATCTATTTTTAAACTACAAAATGAAATGTTAGGGGCCAGGGAGATGGTTCTGCGGGCTACAGAGCAATTCTCTACATGCAGACAGCCCAGGCTCAATCCCTGCAGTATATAGTCCAGAAAACAAAGAAGGAAATGTAAGATTATTGAGGCACTAGCCCTTTCTAGCCCTTTTTTATTTTTTCTTAAATTTCTTGGGGGGTTATTCCCAGAGGTGCTCAGGGCTTACTCCTGGCTATGTGCTCAGGGATCGCTCCTAGTGGGAACACTGGGGATCAATAGCACAGCCCTTCTATCTGCTGTACTATCCCTCTAGCCTAGTCGTTAATAAGAGTCCCCTTTCTTGACAAATGATGGCAGTGCAAAGCTTTCTTTCAGAATTTGAAAATGAGAGAGCAAAATATTTTAAACTACTTATACCAGTTTAAAATTTAGACGAAAAATGCCTGTTTCCACGGTTAATCCCTAAAATCCTTTTAAAAAGTAAATGAGAAAACAATTCTGAATGAGATCAGATTTACTATCACTGCCCTCCCGTTGTTCACCTATTTGCTCGAGCGGGCCCAGTAATGTCTCCATTGTGAGACTTGTTGTTACTGTGTTTGGCATATCGAATATGTCACGGGTAGCTTGCCAGGCTTTGCATTGAAGTTAAAATGGAAGTTCCTTACATTTCGACTTTGTCAATGACAGTTTCAATAGGGACTTTCTCTACCTACTGATGCCTGATCCATTTCCACGGGGCATAAGAAAAATTAAAGTCAAATATACCCTTTCTGCAAATAAAGTTCCACACCCTGCTAATGATAATGACATCTTTCCTACTACAAAGGACAAACATTTGCTTTGGGTTCGAGTGTGCACATATATAAACATTTAACAGACACACATGGTGGCAAGCACACACAATCAAATATATTGTAATACTGAACTTAATGAAAAAAAAAAAAAGCACATTTCTGTTAAGCAAAAAATAACATGTACTCTCAGTTACTTTAAAGTTTATGTAACTTTTAGAGAAAACACTCAAATTTAAATTAAGCACACAGATTAGAAAAAAAAAAAAAGAAAACATTTTAGGAAAAAACATCTATTTTCCTGACCTTTTCCAATCTGGAAGATTCTTCTTATAGATAGAATCAAGGGGCAGCACCTGCTGGCGACCCTGGGTCTCATTGTAGATGCGGCGTGCAGCATCGGTGGTCAGGGTGACCACGCAGTCCATGTCACTTGCCAGATGCCAAGAAATGACCACTGCAGCTCTATCATCCTCAATTTGTGCAAGGTGTGCAATCTACAACCCAGTTTAAAAAAACAAAAATCAAGACAAATACTTGTATTTACACAAGACATGGATACATACATATACATATAAATTGGGGGTGAAGGGCAGTGCCAGGGATCAAACCCAGGGTCTCCCCCATGCAAGGTAAGCACTCTACCAGAGTCCCAGCCCCAGCCTGACACCAATTATTTAAAGAGTCCAAGCAAATTAATTTTCTCAAAAACACATGAATAAACAAATATCCTCAAAACAAAAACTCACTGGCTTGAATACAGGAAATTATCTGTTCTGTTGTGAGATTTTGTTTTGGCATCACATATGCTCAGTAGGTTTCACCCAGGTTCTGTGTTCAGAAATCACTCTTGGAGGACTTAGGAGACCACATGAGCTGACAGGGATTGAGCCCGGATTGGCTGTTTGCAAGGCAAGTGCCCTACACGCTGTACTACCACCCTTACCCTGGCAATAACTTAAGTGAAGACATGACTAGAATCTCTACTTGGCAAATTAATATCATACTTTGTTAAAACTTTTGATAGTATATGGTACCGGCTTGTTTTCTCCCCCAAATCTACTATTTCTAAGACATATATAGCCTTATTTTTTCTGCATGTACTACATCATATTAAGTTTTACCTACTTTTTCAGGTTTTTTTTTTTTTGATTAAGGCACTTTCATAGATATTATTCTTCCTCAGGGAAGGGAGCTGAACATATATAAACATAAGAACTATACATGTTATTTCAAGATACCTAGTATTAAAAAGACAAAGAAATTGAGGTAGCTTTGTTATTAAAAATAAACACACCATAGAGGTTGAAAGAAAATCCCCCTCATCCTCTACAACATTGATTATTTTGTTTTTATAGGTAAGTATGAAGACTTAAGAAATAAACACAGATTAGATTAATCAGATTTGGAAAGAGTGAATCTTCTTCCTGTGAAGATTTAAGACTTTGCGAGGACAGAAAAGAAACTATAAAATGAGACCAGAAAATCCCTATAGATTTTCAAAGTTATAGAATAAAGAACAACTGAATAGAAGACTGATATATTTTATCTCTAATTACAGTATTTATTGAGCAAGAATTTATTATCAAGTGAAAAACTGAAAATGTAATAGCTCCTGAAACCAGGATAACTGTAGATATCCAGAAACTCAGAATCACGACTACATCTATGAACTGGTCTTAAGGAATGAATTTCTAAAAAATATTAGCACTGTTGTCCAATATATAAATTTGAATACATCAATGTAGTTTGTAATAAATTTTTCAATGTTCATATTTCGGATATAGATCATAATGCAATGTGGCTCGGCGGAAACATGGCCACACTTGTTTAATGTTCAGAGGTGCGAGGTGCCATTACTCACTCCCTGCGCCCAGGAACAGCTTGCCTGCTATGTTAGGTAGCATCTTCTAAAGAAACTACTACAGAAGTCAGAAACCTTGACTTGCATCTAACTTCTGGCTCCTGATTTATCAACAAGTTGTTTTTATAACTTTAATTTCTTCACTCCCTTTTTGAGCCACACCTCCAGTGCCCGAGACACCATGCAGCGCAGGTATTTTTTCCACATATACTACGCCATATTGAGTTTGACTTACTTTTCCAGCTTTTTTCTCGAGTTTACTTTAGGCATTCTCAGAGATTACTAACTCTTCCTCATGAAAGGGAGATGAATAGTACTTAAAACACATGGTCCATTTCTGCTGGGGGTTGAATCTGAGGCTCAGGCCAGAGAGATAGCACAGAGGTTAAGTAAGGTGCTTGCATTGCTGCTACACACTAGTAACTGCCAATGCGCAGTCTCCTCACCACCCTCAAGCACAGAGCCAGAAGTAGCCCTGAGCATTGCAGGTGTGGCATAGAATCCCAATCCGGAGCTCCTATGTGCACAACATGTCCTCTAATCTTCTGACCCTAAATTTTATTTATTTTTGTTTTTTGAGCCTCAACCAGCATGGCGCAGGGCTTCCTCCTGGCAGGCCTAGGGGACCATGATAGGTGCTGGGATCAGCTACGAGCAAAGCAAGTTGCCCGACGCACTGTACTAACTCTATGGCTCCAGCCCCTAATTTTAAATTTTTTGTCTGGCTGCTTGTTTTGGGACCATACCCAGCAATGCTCAGGACTCACTCCTGACTCTGCACTCAGGGATCACTCCTTGGCAGGGTGTGTGTACCCTATGTGGTGCCTGGAACCATATCTGAGTCAGCCACATGCAAGGTCACTGCAGTTCTATCTCTCCAGCCCATTAACTTCAATTTCTTTTTTTAAAAAAGAATTAATTTTTGGCTTTTTGGGTCACACTCAGTGATGCCCTGGGGTTACTCCTGGTCATGCTCGGGGGACCATATGAGATGCTGGGGATCAAATCTAGGTCAGCCTCGTGCAAGGTAAATGCTGGAGCAATAGCACAGCAGTATGGTGTTTGCCTTGCACGCAGCTGGCTCGGCAGAGCCAGGTCTGATTCCTTTGCCCCTCTCAGAGTCTGGCAAGCTGCTGAGAGTATCTTGCCCACACGGCAAAGCTGGGAAGCTGCCCGTGACATATTCAATATGCCAAACACAGTAGCAACAAATCTCATGATGGAGACTTTGCCCACTCAAGCAAATCAATGAACAACGGGAGGACTGTGCTAAAATGTGAAGATCAAAATACTACATAAAGTTAACAGTATTTGTGAAAGCAGAATGCTACACCCAGGCAGTGAGGAATGATGAACAAAGCTGGAGTCCAATACCCCTGTTGCTAAGGAATGGTGCTACTTGCTTGCAACACAACCTTGGTAGTTTCCTCAATTTAAAACAAAGGTAGACAACAATTTAAAACAAAGGTAGATAAGCATGATAAATAGAAACCTTTAAGAATTAAAACACACATACATGTACCACAGACCTTAGCACCATTAAAACCTGATGGTGTTGACTGAAAAATAAGGGAATGGTACACAATTTCTGATCCAGAAAAAAAGTAAGGTTAAAAATGTTCAGAAAGGATAACAATGAAAATTTAATTATCAGATATGAAGCAAAACCAAATAGGGAGAAAATATAAGAAAAAGAAGAATAGGACTCTTTATCTTGGCAAAAAATTGCCCTTTTTAACTGGTTCCCTCTCCCTAACTCCCACACCAACTTAAAATTTTGGCTGCATCCAGAGACTGCTCTCACAATATCCACCTAACTCCTAACACAGAGAAATCTGATCGTTAACACTTTACTCTCTCCCTGAAATCTGAAATCTGTAAGGGTCTTGGATGCCTAATAGAGTTATCTGACATTGAAAGCACCTCTAAGGAGACAGTAAGATTTGAACTGAAATATCTAAAAGTTTCTGCCACAACCCAAGGAAATTTATTAGACATTTCCAATTTAAGGGCTGGAGCGATAGCACAGTGGTAGGGTGTTTGCCTTGTGCGCAGTCAGCCTTACCAAGCCGGGTTCGATTCCTCCACATCTCTCGAAGAGCCCGGCCAGCTACTGATAGGATCTTGCCCACACGGCAAAGCCTGGCAAGCTCCTGCTTTGCAAGCTCCCCGTGATGTATCCCATATGCCAAACACAGTAACAACAAGTCTCACAACGGAGACGTTACTGGGCCCCGCGAGAGCAAATCGATGAACAATGGGAGGACAGTGCTTCCAATTTAAATTCTGCCTATTATAGTAAGTTATTATAGTTATTATAGTTATATAGTAAGTTATTATTGTAAGTTTGGGCTGGAGCAATAGCACAGTGGGTAGGGCGTCTGCCTTGCACGCAGCCAACATGGCCGACCCGAGTTCGATTCCTCCGCCCCTCTCGGAGAGCCTGGCAAGCTACCAAGAGTATTCGATATGCCAGACACAGTAACAACAAAGTCTCCAATGGAGACGTTACTGGGCCCAAATCGATGATCAACGGGAGGGCCTTTACTTTACTTTATAGTAAGTTTTGGTAGAAGTGAAAAAGTAGCAAAGAAATGGACACTTCTATTACAGTATCATTTTAAAGTACACTGCAAAGGAAACAAGGTAATAAAACTATTGCCCCTTAAAAGTCTGACAAACCTTTCCCAAAACATCTCCACTGCCTTTAGTATAGTTCGGGAGAGTGCATGATCTTCTAGGTCTCTTCTTTAGTTCTTCCTGTTCTGACAGTTTTCTCTTCAAAAGTGCTTCAATGTGTGGCACCTGTAATTTATAAAGAGAAAGTACTCTCATAACCCGACAGCTGGTCATGATCACAGGGGAAAAAAAAAAAAAACACCATTTAGGTAACTCAAGGCATAAAGTTAGAATAATGTAACTTTAAGAATATGGCTATAGGAATACAAAGCACTACTTTTACATAACTTCATTAATATCCAACTCGTAAGACAACTTCTCTTTAAAACTAGATACACACAAGAGAATTTAGTCATAAAAATTTATTGTTTTCCCTTTTCAGCAGTTCTGATTGTTGGGCAGAAACTCTCAACAATAATGGTGCATCTTTTGTCGAAATAATGTAATCAAAGTAGAGAGAGAGATAAGTAGAAATCATCTGCCTCACAGGCATTGGGAGGGGTGGGGGGTATATTAGGGTTCTTGGTGGTGAAGAATAAGTACTGGCGAAGGGAAAGGTGTTTGACCGTTGTATGACTGAGACTTAAACCTGAAAGCTTTGTAACTTTTACCACAGTGGTTCAATAAATATAACAACAACAACAACAAATCTATTTTCTTATTATTTTACATCATTTTCTTTGTGATCACATACATTTTTACATGACCTCTTCAACCTAATTCTCAAATCAGAGTATTATTAGTGGCATTTACTAATATAGTAACAGAAATACAAGTTAATTCCTTTATAAGGAGCACTATGATTCTGTTAGCTCCTTTCAATGCCTACTACTATTCAACGAGGCATTGAAATCATGTCTTATGTACTCTGAAACAAGAGTACTTGTAACATTCCTACTAAATTATTAAAGATAAAAGCATGATCTATATTAAAAAGAAAAAAGTCCTTCAGCATATACTTGGAAATGGTACCTGTTGTGTTGCAGGAATGTCAATATTATGTGTTTTCAATTCACCTCGCAATTGAGCCTCTTTTAATTTTGCTTCTTCAACTTGGCCTGAAATCATGAACAAAAGTCAACTGCCTTAATTTGTGACAGTTCCCAAAATAGTTTTTTTAAACTATTTTCACCATACCTCCGTTTAAACAATTGCTGCTAAAATTACTGGCCTTTAAAGACGTACAACCAAACTAAAAATATCTAAGGTTCATATTTAATATACAAAAAAAAGAAAAGTAAAGTAGAGAGAGAAAAAATACTGGATTTCAAACTGCAAATTATCCTGGGTAATTTTCTTAACCCAATTCGTATAACACTTATACATAACTTTATAGAAAGTTTTTAGTTTACAAATGATGTATTATCTCATTGCTTTTAGCTTCTATCACCTATTAAATATTCTTGGCCTTGGATACACACAAGAGAGCATTTGGATGCTGGCAGAACATATTTACTGATAATAGATCAAATTAGTAACTATGCTAAAAGCTACAGCAAAAAGTGACAAATGAAGAGATGATAAAGAATTAATAAATATCTTGAAGTATGCAAACATTATTAAAAATTGCAGCATTTTGCACTTGCTTCAGGATTAGTACATGTTATTTATTTCAAAGATGTGACATATAGCAGATATTCTAAATAAATTCAAACATGCATGTGAGCAACACAATCCAAATTAAAAATTAAATTACACATCACTCACTGACACTGTCATCTATTATCTTTCAGAAGCTGGAGTTAGATAGGCTATGTTAAAAATGCACTTCAGATTCAGATTTTTAACCAAGCCTCAAATTTTGATAGGGAAAAAGCATATCAACTTATTGAAAAATGAAGGTATACTTCATCTTCAGATTAAATAAAGAATATAAACCACCATTCCTTTTCAGCAGTGTCACCGTTCAGCTGCAGTCCAATGTCTGTACCTCATTTCAACCTTCTGCCTCACCACTGTCCAAAGCACAGTTTTTAATTTCCTTTAAATAAAAAATGACTTACACTTCATTTCATCAACAAGCTGTTTGCTGGCTTCAAATAAACTTCTATACATAACAATAGATTTAGATAATTGGTCCTTCTCTTTTGTAAGTGCTGCCATTTGCTGCTGTTTCTTAACGTCTAGGAGAAAAAGTCAGATAATTTATTGCGTTAAAAATTATCACTTCAAAAATAAAATTATCACTTCAGTAAAAAGTTGTATCAGAAACTAACAAGCACCAAGTTAATGAGGAGCAACACAAAGCCTCCTAACATACACAAACGAGCTAAATGTTCTACTTTCCCAGAAACTTACCATTGTAAAACATAAATGGTAGTATATACGATTCTAATGTTCTTGATAAAGCTGGTATTTGTGGCTCAAATACAATAAAGTATTCAGTACTGTCTTTCCCGGGACTGTTTTCTGATAGAACTAGACTCTAAAATAAAGAAAAAGACATTAAGAAACAGAAAAAGAGGAGATGTTATTTGTCAAAGCATAAATGTTATATATCTCATTGCACTGTTCTCAAATAAGTTAGTAAAATTTAAAGTTAAAGGTACTGATTAACCTTAAGATTCATTAGACACTCGAGAGAGCACCACCATTACCAGAGACAGAAAATTTTTACCTAGAAAATTACAAGTCACTTCTTCAAATCAGAAATCACCAATGGCCACTGCTCTTGACCTGAGATATCACCTTGATCCCAACATTCTAAGTTGAAGCAGTATGAAAAGGATGGTGTCAAACTTATAAAAACAATCGGGCAGAAATACCCAAAGCCCAATGCTGCGTTTATGTTACAGCCGTTACCATGGGATTAGACCCACTTCTCCCAGGTGACAGAACAAAAGGTCTTCAAAAGCTCTAAAGATTTGTGTACTTAAGTTGTATTTTCTTTTTTCAGCACAGATAGAACTTCTGATTTGAAATCAAACCATTTAATTAACTAAGAATGCAAATAAATTTATAACCTGAATTTTTAAAAAGAATCTTGCAGGAAGTAGTTGCTACCTGTTTTGACTTTCAGCTGGAGAAATCAAATTTTAAAGTCTAAAATAGAATACCATAACCAACTCCACCAAAAACCACCCCTTCTCCCACCCCCAATATATAAATTACAGCTGACAGTTCTTCCTCCCCAAAAATCAACAAACTATCAGGTAAACGCCCCCCCAATTCCAATTAAATTTCTGAAAGCTGTTACATAAATATAAACATACAAAAATAAAGTACTTTCTGTATTAAGAAGGAAGAAAAAGAAAACCTTAAAACTTTAGCAATTTGCTCTTGACAGTCTTGATCAATGCAGGTGAATGCAGAGATACCAGTTTTTTAAATTTACACGAAGTGTAGATGTGCTATCTAGAACCCCTCCTAGTGATGACCACTTATTTTCAACAATTTACAGCTACTGTATTTCAGCAAATAAAATATCTTTTAGTACTTATTTGTTGTTCTCTAAACTAGTCATTCTATCTCTCATAGAATAGATTCTAGTTAAAACAGTTTAATAGGCAGTATCAAATTTCCCTTCACACAGCTGTATCAATTTATCCTTCTCCCATTAGTGTACGTAGATCCAGCTCCCTTGGTACTGGCCAACACTTAATATTTCTTTTCCTAGATGATGGATTAAAAACAAACAATGATTATTATTTTAACTAGCATTTCCTTTATTAGTACTGAGGTCATATTTCTTATTATTGGACATTTATGCTCTCACTTCCATTAATTGCCTTCACAAATTTTCTGACTGTTAATTTTTCTTCTAGATTATTATTTATCAATTTTAAGAACGTTCTTTAGGTTATAAAAATTCTTTCACTATGTGTGCATATCCATATCCATAATGATATATACCATAATGTCTCTACTCAAATTTTCTTTTAAGATTCTTTTCCTAATACTCATCATTAATTATCAACTTCTTAAAATTCTGCTTATGTGCACTTACAGTATGTAGTTTGTATTTCTTGTCTAGTTAAATATAAAATATTTTCCTTTTTGTCACTTAAGTCAGACATTCCTAAATTAAGTTTTAGAATTTGTAATGTCTAATGTATAGCACAAAACAAAACAAAACAAAAACACAGAATACGAGAAATGAAGAAAATGAAGTCTAAAAATAAAACCCAAATATAAACAGGAATCTGTAATATGAGAAATGAACATCAGAATGAAATTTAGATACTTCTTTCAGAAACTGTCAAACCAACAGAGAATTTTAACAATATATTTAACCTGTTGTAAACATAATTTAAAATATTCATGTTACTATAAAGCTAACGTTGAACATTTAAAATTACAGGTTGTATATTTGTTTAACAACTTCCGTGACAAAAATGTCTTCTTGCTACTAATCAGATTCCAGAGCCTCCCTTGTTGTTTCAGGATTTTATGGAGATAATCAGGTACGACTTTCGAGTTCTCTGCTTATTCAGTTGTATTAGAAACTGCCAGTTTAAATTCAAATGCAAGACATGAAGTTTAGGAACTATTTGGAGTTTTAGAGAAACAAATTAAGTTCCTGTCTTAACCTCGGAACAGTGTAGAGCACTAGAATCCTCAAATGCCCAGGAAGTGGGGAGACAGGCAAATAGGACACAGGTAAACAGGAAAAGGATAAAGTGAGCTAGGGGTTTATTTTACACTCTGATGTTCAACATGCTAAGCCTTTGTTTTCCAACATGCGACTTTCATTATCAAATTTTATTACGACAAAATGTTTCACTTTACCTTTCACTATAATAAAAATTAAAAGTGTGAATTTAAGTGGCAAGTAACATTTCCCCTAAATGCCAAGAATTGAAAAGAGATAAGGACACAGCAGAACAGAAAGTCTGGCAGCTTTAAAAGACTGTTATGTCTATCCTTGTCTTAAGGAAATAATCAGCTATACTGAAAGGAATATACACAGAAAAAGGACAAGGGGAGTACAGATGATGAAAACAAGTTTTGGAAAGAAACACAATTTTCTTTTAGGATTGAGCCAATCAATTACAACCTTAAATATGATGTAGGTTTATACTTACTGAGGAGGAAATGCATTAGAACTGTCTCAAAATTTAAAAATACTTTCTTTTCTTGTGGTTCTGGGGATCGAGCCCAGGTATACCCCATGTAAGACATGTATTCCCCCACAGAATCAAATCCCTGGCCCTAAAATGCTGTTTTTACAAAGGCAGAATTCAAGGAAATACACGAAATTTGACACTCCTCCCTCCCCTCAACACTGCTCTGAATGTGAATCAGATACTCCCAGAGTAGCCAAATAGTGTGATCAGAGAAGTCTGGGGACAGGGGATGCAGTTTAGCAGAACTTCTCATGTCAGGCTCTGGGGTCCACCCTGAGCACTACCAAAAACAAGATTGGGGGGGCCTAAGACATGGCTCAGTGGGACTGGGCACATGCTCTAAATGGAGGAGACCCAAGTCTCACCTGCTGGAACGACTGTATAGCGGAAAGCTGGGAACAGTCCCAGAAAACTACAGGATGTGGCCTGAAAACAAAGGGCTTAGGATATTATCACTAAATGGATAATCACGAATGTGAGACAGTATTTCTGAAAGTCGTTGCACTGTGCATATCTTGAGCAAATCGGTGAACAATCAGAGGACAGTGAAAGTGACAGTGATTCTATTAAAGAAATCTTTTCCACCAAAAAAAAAAAAAATTACCGTGATTTCTGCTGAACCTTTCACAAAGGGAAATTCAAGCGTCCTAACTTTGCCATTGAAGAGTGGTGTGTCAATATCTTCTGCGTTAGAACCCCTGATGGTAGCTATGATGGTGCCAACTAAATTCATTCCAGTTCGATTATTGTAGTCATCCTTAAACAACAGAAAGTAATTAGAAGAATGAGTAAGATGACTGAACCTAGGAGCATATAAATCCTGAAAAATACAAATGTATTTATAAAGCCCCAACTATTAAAATATTCAGTCCGGGAGATGCAGATCAAAACCATGAGATATCATCTCACACCACACAGACTGGCCCACATCCAAAAGAACAAAAGCAACTGGTGCTGGCGCAGATGTGGCGAGAAAGGGACCCTCCTTCACTAATGGTGGGAATGCCGACTGGTTCAACCCTTTTGGAAAACAGTATGGATGATTCTCAAAAAATTAGAAATTGAGCTCCCATTTGACCCAGCAATACCACTCCTGGGAATATATTCCAGAGAAGCAAAAAAGTATAGTCGAAGTGACATCTGCACTTGTTTGTTCATTGCAGCATTGTTTAAAGTAACAAAATAGAAGACTTAACACCCAAGAATACCCAAAATAAGGGCCCAGGAGGTTTACCCCATGGCTTGGAGGACAGCCACACATGGTAGGGGAAAAGGCACCTCAGATAGCGAAGGGAGCACCAAGTAAAGGGTATTGGGAGGATCCTCCCTGGATGGAAGATGCATGCTGAAAGTAAACCATAGACCAAACATGATTGCCACTCAATGTCTCTTTTGCAAACCTCAGCACCCAAGAGGAGAGAGAGAACAAAAGAGAAAGCCCTGTCAAAGAGGAGCAGTGGGATGGGGGGGTGAAGGGATACTGGGATCATTGGTGGTGGATAATGGGCACTGGTGGAGGGATGGGTACTTGATCGTTGTATAACTGAAACCCAAGCACAAAACTTTGTAAGTCGACAACTGTACCTCATGGTGTTCACTAGTAAAAATTTAAAAAAAAAAAAAAAAGTAAAGAAAATATCCAGTCCTTCCTTCTCAAAGCACATTAACTCAGTTCTCACAGCAAGTGCTGCACAAACATGCCAGGGTAATAAAAGAACCAGAAACTTCCTTTCATCTAACATGGTAGTTTCAAACTTTATTAAAAAGACTCCCAGGTTAAAATTTCCACCCTTTCTTGGGGAGTGAGGTGGGACAGCAATGATCAGGATTTACCCCTGGCTGTGCCTGAGTGATCCTATGGGATGCAGGGATTGAACACGCAAGGCAAGTGCCCTACCTGCTGTACTATTTCTCGAGCCCCCAAGTTTTCACCTTCTTATACATTTAGCACATATTGACTTATGGAGAGAAGAATGAATGGCTCCCTCTCAAAAATAATTAAGGGTAGAGAAACAGCACAGAGGGCAAGATGCTCACTTGCAATGGCCGAATGGATTCAATCTCAGGCATCTCCATATAGTACCTCAAGCTCACCAGGAGTGATCCCTGAGCACCACTGGGTGTGGGCATCACCACTCCCAATATTTTATTACTTCCTTCTGTCCCTCAGTGAAACAGATATTAAAAAATGTACTGGGACTGAAGGATAGTATAGGGGACAGAATGCTTGCTGCCTTGCACACAGCTGAGTCCAAACGGATCCCCATACCTGGCACCACATGTGGTTCCCGAAGTGATTCCTCAATACAGAGCCAGGAGTATGCCCTAAGCACCACCAGGTGTGCCGCCCCCCACCCCCCACAAAAATTAAAAAAAAAATTAGTAACACATGAGAAAGGGGATTAAAGGTATTAGAAAATGTAAGCAGATATCTGGGGCAACCTACTTAGAATATTTGATTTTAAGTATAGTATGACCTCATAGATCTTTGTATTCAAGTATTTATAAATATTTCACATGCATGTATTTCTCGAGAATGTCAAACTGAATAATCAAGATTTGATTTCATAGTAACTACTTTGCATTCTATAACTAGAAACAATCTTTCTCCCTTTGTCATTTTAAGTGACTAAACATACCGTGATATTAAGGTGTAAGTCTCGGACCAAGGTTCTGCTGGCAACAGAGCGAACATTTGAAACAGCAGGTGTAGCTGGCTGTATTTCAGGAACTAACTTCACAGGCTGATTAGGGAGAACATCAACTATAACCTTATAAAATAAAAGGGGCATGCTGATTAATAATTAAGGTTTAGTATTTAAGAGTATGAAGAAATGAGAAAATATATTTCAATACTCTCAAAACCAAACAACTAATTTTACAAAATTCAGGGTAAAAGCTATGAAATTAATTTCATAAAATCTACTTTAATCTGAAAACAAATTTAAGGCTTTAAAAAACAGTAGAGAGGGGGTATGGTGCCGCCAGCAGGTCAATTTGTACCTGTGAGGCTAGTGTATCAGCAGCCTGATGGCACCATCAGGCTTTCAGATATCCCAAAATTATTGCTGTGCCTTTGGCCAGACCCGAAAAACTTGGGGCAAAGTTTACCAAGAAAGTAAACAGCCAAAAGTTAGGTATATGGGACACATACCCACAAACCACCATGAGCTCAGCTATATAATTGGAGGCATGGCCTCTCTGGTTCCTGATTGAATGGCTTAACAGCCATGATCCCAGAGACTCAGAAACGAGTCTCGGAACCCAAAGGCTTTTGGCAGAAATGCATTCTGTTCCTGCAGTAGGTTACTGGTGCTGGGCCACTCCAGGTGGGAATAGGTTCCGTGTCTTGGTCTATTCCCCTTGGCGGCCTGGTGACCACCATCCTCCAGAGAACACTGGACAGTCAGGTCTTGACCTGCAGTGATGAGACACACAGGGCCTCACCAGATGGGGGTGGAACCAGCCCTTTCCTCACCACCCCAGCAAGACCCTGAGTTGCCGCCTACAAACGGCCTCTTTGGCTCCTGGTCAAACTAATTAATGGCCATGATCCCAGTCAGAAACAAATCTCAAAACCCAGCAGCTTTTGGCAGAAATGCATCTGGACCACATACAAGGTGGCCGCCGCCTCAGAGCTTATTGGAAAGCCAGGTATGAGCTGGCAGCGACAAGACAACTATAGTCTCATGTGAAGGGGGGCGGTACTAGCTCGTCCTTCATGCCCGAGGTCATGAGTTGCCCCCCACGAGTGGCTCTCCAGCACGGTCATGGCTCCAGAGGCAAAAGGACTTAATCCAGAGTCCGGCAGCTTGCGGCAGAAAAGTGAATGGACCATGCGTTAAACTACGGTGCCATGCCTCCCCGGAGGGAAAGGGTGTCACTCCCTTACACCTTTTCCCCCCTGGCAGCAAGGTGGCCGCCGCCTTGGAGCATACTGGAAAGCTAGGTATGAGACGGAAGTGACGGGGCAACTGCAGTCTTATGGGACGGGGGACGGTACTGGCTCGTCCTTCACAACCTACCAAGGTCACGAGTTGCCTCCCACAAGTGGCTCTCTGGCACGGCCATGGCTCCAGAGGCAAAATAACTTAATCCAGAGCCCGGCAGCTTGCGGCAGAAAAGCAAATGGACCATGCGTTAAACTATGGTGCCATGCCTCCCTGGGAGGGAAAGGGTGTTGCTCCCTTCTGCCTTTTCCCCCCCTGCCAGCAAGGTGGCCGCCGCCTCAGAGCTTATAGGAAAGCCAGGTATGAGCCGGAAGTGATGGGGTAACTGCAGTCTCATGGGAAGGGGGGCGGTACCAGCTCCTCCTTTATTCCCTACCGAGGTCATGAGTTGCCCCTCATGAGTGGCTCTCCAGCATAGCCATAACACCAGACACACAGAAACCAACCTTGTAATTATCTGGCTCATTGCAGAAATCCAAAATCACGAGGCTGCTATTGCGGCCACGCGAGATTATATGATTCTCATAACCAGCTATAGAAAACAAAGTATTTCACAATGCCTTTTCAGCAATTCTGATTGTTTGGGGGGAAATTCTAAACAATAATGGTGCATCTTTTGTCGAAATGAAGAATGTAATCAATGTAGAGAAGAGTTAAGTAGAAATCATCTGCCTCACAGGCATTTGGAGGGGTGGTAGGGGGAGTATACTGGGGTTCTTGGTGGTGAAAAATGAGTACTGGTGAAGGGAAAGGTGTTTGATCATTGTGTGACTGAGACTTAAACCTGAAAGCTTAGTAACTTTTCCCACAGTGATTCAATAAATAAATATAATAAAAAGTAATAAAAAAATTATGAAAAAAAGTAAAAAATAAAAAAAACAGTAGAGAGCTGGAGAGATAGGAAAGAGAGCAGGGCGCTTGCCTTGCACATGGCTGACCTAGGTTAACCCCTGGTGCCCCAGATGGTTCCCCCAGTCCACCAGATGCTATTTCTGAATGTAGAGCCAGCAGTAACCTCTGAATACCTTCAGTCAGTCTGGCCCCCTCCACCCATGAAATAGTAATTTTGCACATAAACAATAATAAATGGAGGTGATATATGTTAAAACTTTCAATTTTATTATGTAGAATTCTACTACCTTCTATGCTACTGAAAATTTTCATGTATGTATGTATGTACGTATGTATGGGTAACAGGAACAATCTCACCATGATTTACACTAAAATTCTGGTTGCAAGTTTGACAAAAAAAGATGAAAAAGTAACTTCAGTATCAGGTCATTAGCCTAACTTAAATATTTTCTAGCATTGCTAAAAATTATAGTTTATACTTGGCACCCAATAACTAATTCACTTTTAAACAAAACATTTGATTTCCAAACCAAATAAGATAGAGGTAAGTTGTTATAAGAGAGTAAAATAAGCAAACCTGTTCACTGTTAAGAATATTGGCTTTATCCATCATAAAACTAAACTGGATACAATAGGTTCCCACTTTATTAGGCATGGCTTTATCCCTAAAAGACATAAAAGGTTACTGAAAATTTTTAAATAAAGAAGAAAGTCAAATAACCAACAACTTGATTCCTTCCAGATATAGTAAATATGAGAATTACTATTATTAACCTTCATCTTCACTCAACAAATGTTTCTGAAATATTAATATTAGGCTTAATCCCAGGTCCCTCTTATATGGATATTCTTTCATAAAACCAGGTTCTGAATATGGCAAAAGTTTTTAGAGGAACATAGAGGTGACAAAATAGTGAACAACAACAACAACTAAACCCCAGAATACAGGTCAGTGAATGTTGCTTCATTTCTACATTATAAATTTCCAACTCAAATTACAAATTTGGTTGGAAAATTGAGTTTTATATTTCATAGTAAACAGGATTATACTGATATTGTTTTGCTTACCTTTCAATATTATATAGATACAGGCATTTGCTGACTCAATTGCTGATGAGTCCGTACACAATAATGTTTGCACTTTGCCCCTTTACATCCGATATGTGCAAAATGGGTTGTAATTGCTAAAGGGGGCATCAAAATACTGGTGCAAAATATTGGCAGAAAGATATTAAAGTGCATATCTTTGAATATGTAACTAAACTGACATTCCAGTACTGTAACATATATACAACTCTGGAAACAATGATCTAAACTTTCTCTAAACTATCTGTTTTCCAATTAGATAATGGTGTGTGTGTGTGTGTGTGTGTGTGTGTGTGTGTGTGTGTGTGGTGCAAGGAATTCAATCCCCAATCTGATACAGGCAATGTAGGGATTTTAACACTGAGCCACATCCGCATTTCAATAGGGTAAGTCTTCAAAAAGTTATAGTTAACAATGACAAAGACAGTGATATTAAAAAGACAAGTCTTTGAATATGTCTGACTGATAAGAAGAAGGAATGTCAGAAGAACATGGGAATGGAGATCCTTAGCAGATAAGTATCTCATCTAAGATATCCCTGGGAACACATGCTATGAGTAGAAGTGAACCAAAAGAAGACAAGTTTCTAAGGGGCAGTGGACCATTGTAATCCAAGTATTAGAAATTGAAATAAAAATAAAAAGGATTCTCTGAGCATCATCAAGAGTGACCCCTAAGCACATAACCAGGTAGAAAGAAGCCCTGAGCACTACTGGGTGTGCCCAGCCTCCCCAAAACAAAACCAAAATACAGTCAACCAAGAATCTTGTATCCAGCAAAAAGCTTCCACCAGGCAGAAGGAAAAAATTAAGACATTCATAGATAAACAAAAGTTAAGACCTTACCTAGAAGAAATATTTCAGAGTTCAACAACAACAACAAAAGATAACAGCAGACAAGTAACTCAGAATTACTCAGAGAATAAAAAGGATTAACAAAAGTAAATACAAAAGTTCTAAATGCAACATTATATAAAGTTAAACTGTAAAAAAGTAATTCAGCCTTTAAAATAAACTTTATAAGATATGAAAATTTAGAATGATTGAAGTTTCCTATATATTATTATAAAATGGCTGATTATGTTACATAATCATCTTGGCTTCAACAATTTTGAAAACCAGTATAATGAGTTTTCCATTTCACAAAACTTACAATTAAACAAAACACACTTTCTCAAAATTTCTGACAAAATAATTAAGGTGCCAACATTTTTTATTCAATCAATAATTTATTTTTTTTAGCTTTTCTTATTACCAAGATTACTTGGCTCAAGAATGATTCACTTTGTAACAAAATATGCACAATACCTGAAGTAAAAGCAACCATCTTCCTTGTCGTCTTTTATTTTATTACAACTAAATGTTTCTGCCTACAAAAGGAGTAGGAAAAAAGGAGGGAAGAAGAAGTTACATTCAACATAGCATGTTTGTAGAAAAAAAAAAGTAATGTTCTCATTAAATGTAAATTCAGATAACATATAGATTCATAAACACAAACCACTCAACTGTATGTCTGTGTCCTTACAATGCATATATGACAGAACAGTGAGATTACAGGAGAAAGACATGCCATTATATTAACAGGTAGACAATCAAAGGGCACTTAATGGGGTGACATAATTTTACAGTAAGATTGAGATGAAACTGATGTTATAATTTAAGGTGTTTTTTTTAAAAACATAATGGACTGAAGAAATATTCCCCAGAGCATGCTCTGCACACAGGAACCCCAGGTTCAATTCCTGGTAGCAAGTACCACCAGGAATAATCCCTGTGCTAATAAGCTCGTGTGGCCAGAAAACAAAGATACATATAAAAAAGCCCAGATGATTAAAGTGAGCCCTAAGCAATGAAGACATTATTAAATGGAAATCCACGGATGAAGTTTAAGGTTTATTTTCTGAATTGACGGTGATTTTAGTTTTGCACAATTTGGTAGGGAAGTCAAAAAACCTGTGGCCACCAACACTTAAAAAGCAAAACAGCAGAAAATACAAAGTGAGATGTAGTCTAGGACAAATAAAGGCCAATTTTCAAAGAATTTTGAAAAGAATGCAAAACACTGTAATAAAGGAATATTGATGCAACGTTTGATGAAATGGTAATTTCTGAAATGTTAGGTTAAAACTATTAGCCTAATTAAATATTAGGTCAACTTATTAAACATTAAAGTAGTTTGTTTGCAGTTAGAGGTTAAGGTCAAATGAACTTAAGGCCAAATACATGTAAGGCACGTGTTTTATTACTACCAAGTCACATCCAGATAGAGCCTTTATATTTACATTTTTAATGTGGATACTAAAAAATTTAAAGATCACACAGAACTTGGGTCTTTCACTGAACTGCACTGCTTCAGATCCCATTTCACCATCTTATTTTCTGTTTCATTAGGGACTGTCAATGTCTTTTGCTTTGTTACTCATCTCTTTGGGCAAAATAATTCTCAAGTGTACCTTAAAATGTTTAAAGAAAGTTACAATGTATGTACACAGTTATGCTCTTTTCAGTAGTATGAATACTTTTCAAACATATGATGATTTTTTAAAAAATTTAGTCACCATGAAATTACAAAGTTACTCATGATTGGGTTTCAGGCATAAAATGTTTCTATACCAATCCCCTCAATGTCCACTTCCCTCTTTGGCCTCCCACATACATAATGATTCTTTTAAAGTAGGGGTTTTTGTGTGGCTGAGCTCAGGGATTACTCCTGGAGGTGCTTCAGGGACCATATGTATGTGGTGCTGGGGACTAAAGCCAAGTACCTCATCCATGTACTCTCTCTCTGACCGTGTGTGTGTGTGTGTGTGTGTGTGTGTGTGTGTGTGTGTGTATACCAATCAGTGTTCAGGGGCTACTACTGACTTTGTTCTCAAGTGTCAACTGATAGGGGACTGAGCAATAGTACACTGGATTCAATTACAACATCCCATATGGTCCCCTGAGCACCGCCAGGAATAATTTCTGTGTGCAGAGCTAGGAATAACCCCTGAGCATTGCTGGGTATGATCCGAAAAGAAAAAAAAACCCCAAACATCAAGTGTCATTTACAAGGATAAAGCCCTATACTCCTGCATGCAAAGCAATGTGCGCTAGCCACTGATCTCTCTTCTGCAACTCCCCCCCACCGCCCCCCTTGCCCATCTGCACCCTGCACTTTTCTATTACGTTTGATTAAAATATGAGCTATTTTTAACTGCAGAAATACTCTCAATGACTCACATTTGGTGGAGGTCGGCTTCCACTGTTAGATAGCTTCCACAATTTCATAGAAATACGTGCAGGATTAATATTCTTAATGGTACTTTCATCTTCAGAAATGACAGTAATTATAAAATCTGTCAGGCGAACAATGAAAAAGTTATTGTCTCCTAAATTCAATGGTGGATTTGGCTGAATAATTTTATGTCTTAAAACAAGTTATCTTGTTTAAAAGCTAAAAAAATTCTGATGAGGAAAACATAACTGCTCTTTATTCAGCATCTTCGAATAATCGGTCTATACACATAAACTGAACTATCAAAATTACACATGAACTTTCATTTCATTCTTCACCAAGGAAGGTAGGATATAGCAGTGAGAGAACATAAGTAAGTCAAATGTACTTTCACTGCCATTTTAAAGGCATGTTTGCTTTTTAGTCGTGTTAAATATAAATAACATTTAATTTTTATTTTTTACTCTTTTTTTAAATTTTTTTTTTGTTTTTTAGGTCACACCCGGCTATGCTCAGGGGTTACTCCTGGCTTTGCACTCAGGAATTACTCCTGGTGGTGCTCAGGGGAGCATATGGTCCCCCGTGAGGGACCATATGCTGGAATCGAACCTGGGTTGGCTGCATGCAAGGCAAACACCCTACCTGCTGTGCTATCACTCCTGCCCCACAAATTTAATTTTTAAATGTGAATTACTCACCAGTGAAAATACCTCCTGCTAAAAAGGAAGCATCTTTATCATATTTCACATTGATGCGGATAGGTTTTTCAGGATCTGGAAGGATCATTAACTTAATTTTTGGTCCATCTATGGTAATCTTGTTATAGATGGCTTTCACCTGCAGTGTATGTTCTCCTCTGACAGAAATAAAATTTAAAAAGGGGGGGTTGGGGTGGGGAAGGAGACACGTTAAGTTGTAAGCTAAATATTCTGAGATGATTTATACAAAGATCAACTCATTTAAGAACCCTCTTCCCATTAAGTTTTAACTTCTATGTAACAGTAAATAGAACACTAGTCTTTACACTTTTAAAGTGATAGAAAAATCATTATCTATGACACCAACAGCTTTCAGACTTTTTGGCTCTTACCTAGGGGCACAAACACTGAATACTCCCAAATTAGCCCTGCCCTTTTCATCTGTTTTATGCTGTTGATTTGAAGGAGTGAGCTAGAAACAAAACAAAACAAAATAATCAGAAAACTCTAGCAATCAGAGATCCACTGCAGTTTCCACAATCTCTGGCAACCCAAGGGTCACTCCCATAAGCCACCTCCTGCAGGCACCAGATAATCTCGTCATCGGCCACCCTCCAGATCACATGGCTGCTTCTCCCGGAAAGGAGCATAACATGAGGCCCCCATAGCCATGCCACTGGACACCGCGCCAGGCTGTTTTCACTCAAGGCGCCCCAGAGGGGGGCTGGTAAGAGCCCTTCCCGACCCAAAAGACCCAGTCCTGGCAGTCGACCTCCACACTCCAACCACCCCCATGCTCCACGCTGGTCCCCACACACTTGGGCCGAGACTCACCTATGAATGAACATATTCCTGGACATATCATAAGACACTTCCTACCCATTCTTCATAATTACCATAATCATCATACCATATTTGATGGAGTTCAGACAGTAGGCAACAAATCATAGAGGGAAATATATATATGTATATATATGCATATATACGTATTTTCAGACATATATGCCAAAGCTCACATCACCCAAACAACGACATGTTAGTGATATCCTATAGAATGTCTTAATGCCTCCTGCCAAAACCGAACAATCTTCACTGTTTCCTATATGAACACTTTTTTTGTAAGCATGTTCAGCAGTTCTTCATAACACACAATACAAAATATATTCTTTTGGTTGTGTTTTGGGACAGGGCTTGGGATGGAAACATCCCGAATTTGGTGGTGGGAAGGTGTAATGGTGGTGGGATTGGTGTTTGAATATAATCAAATACCGGGAACTAACTTAGAAAATAAAACAAACAAAAAAAAAGAAAACTCTAGCAATCAAATTCCTTTCCTCTATTACAATGTTCTTTTCCTCTAGTACTAAACATTCATTTGTACACATCTAAAACCTAAAATTTTCTAATTTGAACTACGGGAGTAAATGTAATCACACTATACAAAGGATAACCATCATTCATCTTGATAAATTAAACTAGAATTTAGTGTACATCGATTTAGCGGCTTCACTATTTGCCAACACTGATGTATCAAGCAAAGTTTTGGTTATACAAAGACTGACGGTATTATTTCAAAACTGATGTGGGAGGAGATAAGTGGGGTGTAATGACAGAGGAAAAGTAAAAAAATATACACTGAAATTATGTTACTGTGTCTATTGTTATATTTCAATTTTCTCTTTGTATTTACTCATGTGTTTACACCTCTGCTTCAAAACTCAGCCTTTTGTAGATGTTTCTCTATAAATTGGAATTAGATACTTTTTGGGGGATAGAAAATAATCTTCTGTAGCAAATATTAGAACACACTCAAAATAGCCAAATTGTACAATGTTGTTCTGTGTTAACATGATTTCAAAATATACACTTTACTTCCACAAAAAAATGAAAAACAAAAAAAAAATTTTAAATCTTAGAACAATTTAAATTAGGCAATAATTAAGAAATAAATATTATTAAGGAGAAATATAATACTTAGACATTATCATGAAAATGAAAGCCAGAATTTTAGGAAAAATTTACTTGTTTAAAACCTACCTTTAAACAGCTATCTTTTGTGAGGCTTATTTTAACCTGAGGTACAGGTGCTGGGTTATCCCACTGATCACAAAGTTGAACAATGAGAGGATTCTGTAGTTCTCTTCCGTTAATAACTGGAATGGACTAAAACAGATGAAAATATCTTAGAAAACACTAAAACATTAGTCAAACAATATAATTACCAGCTGCACGGTTATGAAACAAATTTGTCTTGTCTATTCACAAGTGGGCTTTTATCAAGGAACTTGGAAGTTATATTGTCACAAATGACCACTTCTTATAGAAATGATTAAAAATATGCTAAAGAGAAAGAGATTTTGACATACCTAGTTTCTAACAGATTCTTAAATTTGACATAATAAAATAATTTCAAAGGAAACAAGTTGATCTTAGGTTTCAGATTTAGAACTAGCTATGTCATCGGAGTTTTAGCATTCTTACCACTCCACATGAAACACATCCAGTCAATGAATAAACAGAATTAGTCTCTGACAGTCAACAATGTCTTTGAAGCTTATTTTTATAGGGCCCAAACCTGGTAGTCTCAGGAGCTATCAGGCCACACTTACTGGTCTTGGGTAGAGAATTGTGGAAAATTGCATAGTTTCCCTTAAAGCAATGTCCTTTCTGTATGGACACAGAAAGACAATTAATATTATGCTTTGTAACTTGGGAGTTGATTGACTCCGAATAATATTTACTCCTGGGCATCTGCTTTCTTGACTCTGTTGCTCTTAGTTCCTAGTACCCCCAAATCAGGATCCCAACGAGGAACTGAATGGACCCAGGACAAGCTGTGAGTTACCCTGGCATTGAAATGGGCCAGGCCAAAGTGTCACGATACTCAACTATAAGTTAAGGTCATGACCATGGACAAAGGCTATCATGATCCAAAAGTAAGTAAGGATGAGACTAGGACCCTGCTGGGGCTAGGAAGACTAACCCGGCCTGAGGACTGCGGAATATATAGTGAGAAGTCCTCAGGAAGAACCAAACTAAGGTTATCTCTCTTACTGTGCTCAGACAGAATGACATCACTAGAAATATTGTTAGTAGATTTACTACAACTATTTAAGCAGATTACTAGCTGAGGAAAGAACACACCCTTGTTGGGATCCCACCCTTGAGTGGATCTTCTAGTAATCTGGAATGACTTCTTTAGATGAGATTTTATCCTTGAGTTAATTTCCTCCAGAAGTGGTCTTACCTCTCTTTGTTGATTTGTTAATGTTCAACCCACCTTTGTGTTACCACCCTACATGATTGCTATATAAACTAAGACTGCGGGCTCTGGCTGGGTTCGGGCTCCAGAGGGCAGAGTCAGAAGTGAGAGGGGCTCAGGCATGAGACAGAGAAGCAGAAGGGGAGTGAAGATTGGAATAAACTACAATTGATACCGACCAGCCTGGCCCTTGTTCCTTCCTTCACCTGCCCATTGCCATCGACCTCCTAGGAGTGAGGGAAGTGGCGTGATACTACCGAATACAGGCGGCAGGAGAGATAGAGTACTGCCGGCCTTTTGAAAATACACACCACACTGTCTTCTGATTGGTCTAAAATGTTTCTTAATGGGGCTGTTTAATGAGGCTAACCTTGGTTTGATCCCCAGCATCCCATATTGTCCCCCAAGCACCGCCAGGATTAATATCTAAGTGCAGAAGTAAATCCTGAGCATTGCCAGATGTGGTCCCAAAGCCAAAAGTAATCCATTAATTAAAATGCTTCTAGATTTTTTCCTACTTCATGCAGCTCTGTGTAACTTTCAGAATATAACCGATGTAGTCACCAAAATAACAAATTATACTGGTATAGTAACAAATATACAAAAAATACAAAAAATCAAGCAAGAATGTTGATAAAAGTTTAATCCTCAATGTCAAATTTTAAAAGTTTAACAAAATGCATGAGAACCAAGATGAAAAATTTTATTACCTCTCTCCTACTACCCCCCCTAACTATTCTGCTTCCTACTCTGAAGCTACCAAATCATTATAGGTCACTAAGAGTGGCTAAAATATACTGTACTACAGAACTGAATAGTATACAGCCAAAATACTGCATACAGATGAAAGTTTTTACCTCCAAGATGCTCTTGGCCTGGATGGCTCAGTGGGCTGAACACATGCTTAACACACAGGAGGCTTGATTCGATTCCCAGCACTGCATGGTTCCCACCACCACAGCTGCAACCCTGGCACTGATCAAGGTTGTGGCACTGACCCCTGGGCAGTGCATGGTGTGGCTCAAAACAAGAAAAAAACCTCAGGGTATAGGTAAAATGCTTAATAAGAAATTTATATGGCTGTAGTTGATACTACTATTTCTCAAAGGTTATTTTGAAGACAGTTTCAGGACTGTAGAGATAGTACAGGGGTTAAAGTTTGCCTTGCATCCTGCCGACCCTGGTCCCTAACCATATGGTCCCTTGAGCATTGCTAGGGAACACTCCATTGGGTGTGACCATACTCTTCTCCTCCCCCCCACAAGTAGTTTGCAAATGTAGATATATTGTGTTGTATAATTACTACACAGCCACTTTTAAAGGTCATTCTTTCCTAAATGGCACTGCAAAGAACTCAAAACTTTTCTGGTAAGGATGAGAGCACTGCACTGTAGCACTGTTCTCCCACTGTTCACCCATTTGCTAGAGCCAGCACCAGTAGTCTTCATTGTGAGACTTACTGATACTGTTTTTGGCATATCAAATATGCCATTGGGTGCTTGCCAGGCTCTGCTGTGTGGGCAGGATACTCTCTCGGTAGGGAGGCTTGCCAGGCTCTGCGAGAGAGACAGAGAAATCGAACCCGGATTGGCTGCGTGCAAGGCAAACACCCTACCTGTTGTGCTATTGCTCCAGTGATAAGTGAGAAATTAAAAAAACATTTTTCTGACAAATAGAATTAAAAAAAAAATTCTGAATCAAATGTTCATGAGTAAAAAGATGCCCCTAATACTTCTGATTTAACATTTTCAGATTTATCTCCTAATTAATAATTTTTTTAAAAATTTAAATTTTAAAGGCCCTCCCGTTGATCGTTGATTTGCTCGAGCGGGCCCAGTAACGTCTCCATTGGAGACTTTGTTGTTACTGTGTCTGGCATATCGAATACTCTTGGTAGCTTGCCGGGCTCTCCGAGAGGGGCGGAGGAATTGAACTCGGGTCGGCCATGTTGGCCGCTTGTAAGGCGAACGCCCTACCCGCTGTGCTATCACTCCAGCCCTAATTAATAATAGTAGGAATATAATAATAATCATAATGTTGATGATTTAAATGTAGGTATTTCTATTTACCATCTATTTATCATGCTTAGGTGTTAACTGAGCTCTTTTCTACCCAATCTTCAGGGCAAAAACAACTCATGAATTATAAATTAGGTCATTGTCACTGTCCTCCCGTTGTTGACCAATTTGCTCGAGCGGGCCCAGTAACGTCTCCATTGTGAGACTTATTGTTATGGTGTTTGGTATATCGAATACGTCACGGGTATCTTGCCAGGCTTTGCCGTGTGGGTGAGATACTCTCGGCAGCTTGCCGGGCTCTCTGAGAGGGGTGGAGGAATCGAACTCGGGTCGGCCATAATATTTGATATTACCTTGGAGGGCATGTTATAGTACCGTGATACTAAATCATTTAATGTAGCTCTTGAGTTTTTGTTCTGGTTTCACAATGCCTTCAATAGATAAAGATTAGGTTTGACACTTGAAATCACATGTTCTCACTCTTGGTCAGTTTTTCTAACACTGTGAGACTTTAATGTTGTACGAATTAAAATGCTGCAAGATGCTTTTCCTCTAAGCATATCTCAGCAGCACACAAACCACAATTTTCCCCTTTATAATCAGTTTCATTTCTTTTTTAGCTACACCTCTTACTAGTATTCCAATTTCTTGTGGTTTTTTTTGCTTGTTTGTTTTTTTTTGTTTTGTTTTGTTTTGTTTTTTTTTTTGGCAGCCATGCTGGCTGTGCTCAGGGCTTACTTTTGGCTCTGAGCTCAGAGATTATTCCTAGCAAGCTCAGGGGACCATACAGGGTTCTGGAAGTCAAACTTAGGTCAACTGGGTCCAAGGCAAGCACCCTACCTGCTGTACTAGCTCTCTAGCCCCACTAGTTCACCTTGGTCGAGGGGGTGAGGGTGTCTTCTGTTTATCTGTGTTTGGTGGCTACACCCAGTAGTGCTCAGGAAAATTCCTGGCTTTGTGCTCGGGAAACCATATGGGGTGCTGGGGATTGAGCCTGGGTTAGTTCTATACAAGGTAAACATCCTGCCTGCTAACATGGAGCCACATGTTCAATTCCTGGTACCACATGGTCCCCTAAAGCACTTCTGGGAGTAACCATGAAGCATGGAGGTGACAACAGCTCTCCATGCACTGCTAGGTGTGCCTCCACTAAGCAAAAACCTTAAAAAAAAAAAATCAATGACATAAACAATGGAACAAATACGCAAAGTAGGTAACTACTAAAACTGGGGTGGAGGGAAGTCTTTACACAAGTTTGAAAGTTTCCATAAATAATGTATTTTAGGGTTCATGTTACTATACTGAGTTTTTTTTTAATAAATTACACACATGGACTAAATAATGAAGAAAAAGAAATATTAGAATAATGTTATTGTCCTTTTTGTTATTGTTACTAACAACAGTTCGCTAACTGGTTAATAGTTAACAATAGCTCTTGTTACTTTCACAAAATCTATCAGTTTGGTTAAAAGACAATTTGAAAGCGGAAAGCCATGTGATCATAAAATTTTCAATTAAGGTAGGAAGTTTCTTACCTCCTTTAATTCTGGCCAGTCTACAAGGAGAAGTTTAGAGGGTGGTCCAGAAACTAGCTGTACTCGAATAAAGTCTGAAAATTCACGCCAAGTGAAACAAAGATCCTTATTTCCAGGAGGACCTGGAATAAACTTGATGCCTCTGACACTTATACTTTGTGTGTTTTCCTGGTGAAGAAAAGTCAGTGAGAAAAGATGAGACAATGTTTAGATTTTTGGGAAAATGAAAGAAAAAAACATGTTTCCATGCGCATACAGATGCTTTGAGATGAAGTCAGGTCTAGTGTCATGCACACATGCCAACACTGGCTTACTGCTACACTTCATTTTCTCACATAAGAAAGCCTTTTCAAGGGAGAGATCTAAAAAGTATTGGCTGTCTTTTTACCTCACCATTCCTAATTATCTTTTTATCTAACTTTACACTGCTTCTACTTCCTGAATAGCCGAGGATCAGAATATTCTGCAATTCCTTTTCTCTCAGGATGCAACACTATTTACCAGGTTATCGCCACACTTTTCTTTAGGCTTCCGTAGTTCAAGAGTTCCTGTCAACTTGTCACCTATCTACTACTACTCTATTACCATGTTTTCCTAATCTAGTCCATATTCAATCATTAAAGGGTCATTCCCAAGAGATGGCAGGTATTATTTCCATATCTGGTACATAGGATGCCTAACACTATGTTAAGCGTATCTATAAAATTATGCCTATAATCTATAAATTCATGATACTGAACACCAGAAATTAATTCTAGAACAATGGTAGAGGGTTTGGTGTTGAATTACTGTATGCCTGAAACTCAACAATCAGTAGCTTTGTATATCATGGCACTTTAATTAAAGTAAAAAAGAAAAAGCAATAATTCTAGAAAGGCATGAATACAGCAGCATTTGCATTTTAATAGTGACCCGTAGAATTCAAATAAAATATTTGATGTACAAAACTATCTTATATTAAAGCAGACGTTCCTAAACTTTGTTCTTGCTATCCCCTCTCGTGGATAGTGGAATCGGTCTACTTTCCACTTTTAAAAAAAAAACCTCACCCAGCATCCCCTCAAAATCTGCCTTCTTGAACCAAAAGAAAGTGCCCCCAATGCACCTGAGATTACAACCTGCTGTTTCCAGCACTTCTCTGCCAGTGGGGTAGAAAGCCATCACCCACTCTGGGAAATGCTGCACTGTATTTTTAATAGCAGAGATAAAGTTTCATGTCCTATATTCTGAAGCAATTATTTAGGTATTTTCTGTTAAGAAAATAAAAAGCACCCTCATGGACTGGAGAGTTCCTGAACTTTGATTTTGTGGGTGTAAAGTGTGCAAACACCTGAGGGCACTGCAACGTAAAAGATGGGTCACCAAACTTAAGAGTGTCAGAGCAAGGAAATGTGACCCCCAGCAAGCACTACAGCCACTAATTGCAGCGCTGAACTAAAGAACAGGAGTATCACTTTGATCTCTCCCTGCTCCTGCGAGCACAGGAACAAGCACCAATGCTACAGCAGTGCTAATTCCTGTGAGCACTCTGGCAGTGTCTGGGAGCATCCCAACTGAACCTGACACGCTTGTGTGCATGCCCAGTTACAAAGTACATGGAAGGAAAGGGGGAGAAGAAGAGAAAAAAAAAAGTACCTTTATATGCATGAACGAAAGAATAAGACACGAAAAACTTCTTTCCAGATTATATAGTAAGGAGGAAATGTGATGATGGTTCAGGTTGTGCAGGGAACAAGGAATGACATACTAGATTTTTTTATGTGTCACTGTCACTGTCCTCCCATTGTTCATCAATTTGCTCGAGCGGGCCCAGTAACGTCTCCATTGGAGACTTTATTGTTACTGTGTTTGGCTTATCGAATATATGTCATGGGTAGCTTGCCAGGCTATGCGGTGCAGGCGAGATACTCTCGGTAGCATGCCAGGCTCTCCGAGAGGGGAGGAGGAATCGAACTCGGGTCGGCCATGTTGGCTGCGTGCAAGGCAAACGCCCTACCGCTGTGTTATCGCTCCAGCCACATTTATGTGTATACAATTTTTTTCATTATAATATTATTCATGTTTTTAATGTCTTTTATAAGTCTTCATAGAAACACTACAATCACACTTCTCTTATTTGAAATATTGTTACATGTAAACTAATGGTAAAACCAACTATTACAAAATGCAGACATACCTGAAAAGTAGTTTTCAAATATGAGCTATCAAGTCCAACCCCAGCTATCGTCAAGGCAGATAAAGAACTCTCTGAAAATGCTTGGATCTGATTCCCATACTGATCAGTAACTATTACAACTAGAAAAGAAAGGGAAAGTTTTAGTTTGTTACATTTATAACAGACAGTGATTTTTTTTATTATGAACTTTTATTATAAAAAATGTTGTTAGGACTCACTGTATACCATCAAGAATTTACTGAGTTATTTTACAGTCTTAACTATTACTACTTTTAGCAAAGCCAACATTTTCCAATGAACTATTTTTGCCAAACTAATTTCATAGTTTAGGACAACCTAGGAAAATAAAGCAAAAATACCTCAATTTCATCTGATAATGGATTAAAAACTACTCATATCTAAATACAAACAAAGCTTCCCTTATCAGATCATGTCAAAACATGAATACAAGAATATATTATAGTTTAGTTTTAAAGACAGAAAGCAGGCCATACTAACCGATTTCACCTTCAAGCTCCTGACCCATCCGTACCGTTTTTCCACCTTTTAACTCACATTTTAGATGTTTAGGTTCATCAGGAAGTGGTCTGGAATTGATTAACAAGAGGTGCTGATTACACTATTTCTTGTTAAAAAAAAAACCACCCCCCTAAATTAGTATGTTAAAAGAATAACCTTCATATCCACATATACAAAACTTCCTACAACTTTAATAACATCCCTCTTCAAATAACTTAAAATTCATAGAACAGATATTAACACAAAAGGAATAGAGAAAAGACATCTTGCAAAGACAGTAAAGAATATTGCCCTCCAAAATGTATAGACGAGTTAAATCATAGTACAAACTGTATGTATATGGTCTAGTAGGATCCTCAGTTTTGAAAATCAGTACTAAACAAGAAAAATTTTTCTTTCTAAACAACATACTGATCACTCTATGCCTTGCATTTTTCATATCTGGGTCATTGGGTGTTTTCATTGTTACTTGAAATGAAAGTTCTAATTCTTATACAGTTAATTAGTGTAGCATTATATTAATATAAAAAGCTCATCATGGGGCTGGAGCAATAGCACAGTGGGTAGGGCGTTTGCCTTGCACATGGCTGACCCAGATTCAATTCCCAGCATCCCACACAGTCCCCTGAGCACCATCAGGAGTAAATCCTGAGTGCACGAGTCAGGAATAACCCCTGTGCATTGCTGGGTGTGACCCAAAAAGAAAAAAAAAGATGTTGGGCGGGGGGGGGGAGGGGGGGGGGAGGAAATTGCTTTGGGACCATACTCAGCTGTGCTCAGGATGTACTCCTGCAAGTCTTGAGAGACCACATGGGGTGCTGGGGACTGATCCCCGACTGGATGCGTGCAAGGCAAATGTCCTACCCACTGTACTCCCACTCTGGCCTCAGTTCTCATTCTTTTTATAAAAAATTACTCATTATCCCTAGGGGAAAGAAAAAACAAAACTCCCCCAAAACAAAAAACAACAACCCTAAAATTTGTCATGAAAATAACAGTTTCTACATAAAAAACTCATAAGAAGGTTGGAGAAAGAGAGTGCAGGGGGTAAGAAATTTGTCTTACATGTGCTGACTCAAATTTAATCCCCCAAGCACTAATGGAACTGACTCCTGAGCACTGACAGGTGTGGCTCAACCTCCCTCCACCCCCTCCAGCCAAAGCAATTTTTTAAGAGTTGTGGGCTTGTAATTTTTTTTAATATAAAAAATAAGAACTTTCATATATGTGCCATAGAGCAAAGTATTTCTATTGCCAAATGCTAATTTCAAAATACCTCAAAATACAGTATGACCACACAAACCTTACTGTAAATGCACTTTCCAAAGACACATGGTCATCTTGGAATGAAACCTGGCAGTAGCGCATATCTTTGACTGATGCTGGGACTTGGACATCAGGAAGCAGACCCTGTAGCAAGTGTTCTTTATTAATCTCAGGAGTCCAATTAACCTAGGAGAAAAAGTATATATATATATATATTTTTTCATTTTTTATAATTTTATTTATTGAATCACAGTGAGAGCAGTTACAAAGCTTTTGGGTCTAAGTCTCAGTCATACAATGAAACACCCGTACCTTCACCAGTGCCCATTCTTCACCACCAAAAACCCCAGTAGACCCCCATCCCACACCCTCCCCCTACCTGTGGGGCAGATGATTTCCACATTACTCTCTTTCTCTACTTTGATCACATTCACTATTTCTACACCAGACCCACCATTATTTGAGATTTTACCCCAACACTCAGATCTGCTGAAAAGGCAACAATAGACAATTTGTGTTCTATTTTGGTTATGAATAGCATATGATATCGTGTGGCTGCAGTAGGGCCATGTGGTTTTGAAATTCCGAAATTTTAACACTTAAATCTGGAGGGATTTCTGCCAAAAGCCACTGGGTTAAGAGATCTGCTCCTGAGTCTCTGGGATCATGGTCGTTAATCAGCTTGATCAGGAGCCAGAGAGGCCATTCGTGGGCGATGACTTGGGGTCTCGTTGGGGTGGGGAGGACAAGCCCGGCTCCACCCCCATCCCGTGAGGCCCTGTGTGCACCGTCACTGGGGGCCCAAATGTGACTATCCAGTGGCCTCAGACGGATGGTGGCCACTGGGCCACCAGGGGGAACAGGCCAAGGCACAAAACCTATTCCCACCTGGGTTGGCCCAGCACCGGTAGCCTACTGCAGAGACCAGACGCATTTCTACCTAAAACCACTGGGTTCTGAGATTCATTTCTGAGTCTCTGGGAACATGTCCATTAAGCAGTTCAATCAGGAACCAAAGAGGCCTTGCCTCCAATTATATAGCTGAGCCGGAGGTGGTTTGTGGGTGTGTTTCCCACATACCTAACTTTTGGCCGTTTACTTTGGTAAACTTTGCCCCAAGTTTTTGGGGTCTGGCCAAAGGCACAGCAGCAATTTTGGGGTATCTGGAAGTCTGAAGGCGCCATGAGGCTGCTGATGCACTCGCCTCACAGGTACAGATTGACCTGCTGGCGGCACCATACCCCAGAAAAAGTATATATTTAAGAATAAAATAAAGGTCATTGTAAGTAAAGTCTACCGCAAACTTATCTTACTGAAGATGCTTGATTAAATTGTAATTCATCATTCTCATCTCCATGGAAATTTTAAAATACTATTAAAACTATGTATTTCATTCAACAGAGTAAAATAAAAATTAAGTAATTTCTTTAGAGGTAGGCCACAAAATTATCACCCTAATCCTTACAGTTTAACAGTAACACATACCAAATCATGTGAGCAGTTCTTATAGGCAATATTCAATATTTGAAAAAAGAATATAGGTTTTGCTTTGTTGCCCTTGTGTCCCCAAGTTTTGTTTTTTAACTGAGGCAATGCGGTTTACCAAATTTCCTGTATTATCATTTTAAACTTGTAATACTGACACTACCACCTATATTAAATACCACCATAGTATTTAATATAGTTTGTAGCCAACAGAGGTGTACAATTTAAAATCTTGGGAACCTAACACTCACACATTACTAGAACTGAGGTAAAATGCCTTAAATGCAGATATGGAGAAGGGCAAAGAGGTTCCACACATGCAGAGGCTCTCAGTATTTCTTCTGTGCCTTTATAAACAAACAGAATAAACTTTAAGGCACAGAAGATCTTCAGAAATCAGATTCCTAGCACCACTATGTACCACTCATTTTCAAGACTGCTAGTACAGACAAAATTGACTTCTCTCAATTCCTACAAAGCTAAGGATCATTTCTCTCTGGACCTCCCTTCTCTCACAATGAAGAAAATTAATTCACTGGAGCAATAATTACTAAAAAAATATATTTTGTTTTTTTATTTGAAGGGCCATGATTTACAATACTATTAATGATAGACAGTATTTTATTCATACTAAAAAGTGGTATACCAATTTCAAATGGCCAAGTCAGAGCTCTGTAGTTAATATAACAATGTTTCATTACTTGTCTTTAATTAGAGCTTTTATTTAATTTCATCAGAATGACTGAGACCACAGACATACAGTGGTCTCAAGTGCAGAAGTAAACAAAATGCTAAAGACTGGGAAATTGTTTCAGTATAAAAGTATTTTTCTAAGTACAAGTTTATCATGCACAAATCCTATGCATCTTTATCTAGTGCAAAAAAAAAAACACCCCAAATTGTTTAGTCTGTAATTTCAAATACTATTATTTTTCTATGGTAAGCTATCTTTTTCTTTTTTTTAGAAGAGGGGAGAAACACCTGGCAGTGCATTGAGCTCATTCGCTGTTCTGTGCTCAGGGGTCACTCCTGATGCTGTGCTCATGGGACCATCAATGGCGGCAGAGATCAAAGCAGGGACAGCCTGTGCAAATCTTAATCCCTGTGCTATCTCGAAGGCCCGGATGATAGACTTTTTTTGTTGTTGTTTTTTTTCCTTTTTGGGTCACACCCGGCAATGCACAGGGGTTACTCCTGGCTCTGCGCTCAGGAATTACCCCTGGCAGTGCTCAGGGAACCATATGGGATGCGGGGAATTGAACCTGGGTCGGCCGCGTGCATGACAAATGACCTACCCGCTGTGCTATTGCTCCAGCCCCCCCAATGATAGACTTTTTATTAGAAACTATGCCATGAAACTTCCTTAGTCATCTAAGCAGAAAATTAACAAAACTCTTGCCAAAAACAAACAAACAACAACCTTGCTTAAAATACTCACCTTAATTTTCTCTGCCAAAGCTGATGTTATATGGATTTCTCTCTCTCCTTCATCATACATTTGAAAAATAAGATTATGCATAACATCACCTGCTATCCAATTAATCTCATCCTGGTGTTTGATTTGAATAGCCTTCTGCCCTTCCACACTGAATATTTGCAATCTTGCAACATGGCTACTAGGAAGCAATTTAATAGTCTTTTCAACAGGTGCCACATTTTTACAACTCTATGGAGAGGGAAAACACAAATACACTCTGAATAACATTTGGACTGAAAACATACATTTTTTATTTTAATAGAGATACTCTGCACTGCTAAAAATTTATTTCCAATATTACTGAAGATAAGCTTACACATTATTAGCATGCATGTGTCTTGCCATAAAGATATTGTACTATTAACAATTCCATATATGCATACTAATATCAAGTTAATAGGGGAAAAAATCCCACAATGACCAGATTCTTAAAACCAAAATGCTAGTATATGTGTTTTGTTTGTTTGTTTTTAGGCCACACCCAGCAATACTCCACCCAGCTCCACACTTAGGAACTGCTCCTCGCAAGCATATGGGATGCCAAGGATTGAACCTGTCTTGGCCACACATAAGGCCAGCGCTCTACCTACTGCACTTTTTCCAGACCTCATCTTTTTCTTTACTCAGTTGTAATCCTTCAACTGAAGCCCCTCCACATGAATAACGATAGGTTTTAAGTGCCTCTCTACAAAATATTAGGGAAATAACCCATCCACTATAATAGGTATATGCTATCTGTCCAAGTCTAACTCAAGATACACTGTTTTTGGATTTTGTAGATGTATATTATAGTATACACCTTGATCTCTGTCTGAACTAGCTTTGATTTTATCTTCTGCCTGTTTGGTTTAATAGTATTTGATCTTGCAAGTTACTCTTTCTTCCGAGTCTAGATTCCTCCTTAACTCCCAGTATTTGTTCTCAATCTTCCTGATCTTCTTGCAAGGTAGCATGCTCATAAATATTACCCAAATTCTTAAATGAAACATGTCCAAAAAAAATGAAATTACCAAATATAACTGGTGTGAAAGAAAAATTCTATAATGAAGTCAAGCATCATCTCTTTCTAACTAAAATTACAGCCTGTCTTCGGAGGTCCAATATAACGGACATAAAATTCCTAGAAGAGCATTCATTAAGCAGCTGATAAAGCTACTCACAATCTATTGTTAATTATGAAGAAATCACATTTAAGTATTTCATTAAGTACTTGTTATTCAATAGTCATCTTAGATGAATTAATTGCTTATATAAAATTCATGCCCTCCTCACTCTTAATTATGATGTATATTCAATACAAGTACCTACAAAATTCAACTCATATAAAAGTATTAATTAAAAAATAATGTACTGGAGCCAGAAGGATAGTACAGCAGGTAGTGCTCTTGCCTTGTATGTGGCGAATTTGAGTTTGATCTCTGGCACCACATATGGTTCCCCAAGCCCACAAGGAGTAATCTCTGAGTGCAGAGTTAGGAGTAAGTCCTGAGCATAGCTGGGGTGTGGCCTAAAGTCAAACTAAAAACAAATCACATATTAAGAATTAGAAATACAAACGAAGAAAACCGGCTGGAGGGCCCCACAGCTCCCGAAGAATGCTCTGGGCCCCAAACAGAGCCGATTATCACCAGGAGGTCCCAGATGGGGTAGGTACCGCCGTCCCACCTTCTCCAGATGGAATCCCGGTGACCATGAGCTTCTACAAGCATGGCTCTGGCATTCGGGTACCAGAACATTTTTTCCGAACTGCAATGGGGCCACCCCGGCTCCCAGGCAACCTCTGATTCCGGAAGTCACGCCCACAACTCGCCCACCCAGGGCCATCTTACAGCACACAGCAACAAGGAAGAAAACCAGCTGGAGGGCCCCACAGCTCCCGGAGAATGCTCCGGGCCCCAAACAGAGCCGATATCACTGGGAGGTCCCAGATGGGGTAGGTGCTGCCGTCCCACCTTCTCCAGATGGAATCCTGGTGACCATGTGTTTCTACAAGCATGGCTCTGGCATGCGGCTACCAGGACACTTTTTCCGAACTACGCAGCCGCTTACAAGGCCGCGCGACCTTTCCTTGTATGCAAAGTGATCAATGGAAAGTAAATATAAATGTCACATTTCGTTTTATCATTATTTTTGTTTTGTGCAGCAAGACAGTTTTTATAGAACAAAATTTATGTAAAAAGATGAAATGAAAGAAAGAGAGAAAATGTTCGAGAGAGAACACTGGATTCTCCAGAGAATAAAAAGCAAAGACATAAATATACTCAAGGGAGCACACCGGCTTGAAGGTCAAATGCCATATTTTAATATCACTTGATCACTTGATATCCCATTACTCATCGATTTGCTCGAGCGGGCACCAGTAACGTCTCCATTCATCCCTGTTGCGTGCTAGGGTAGCCCAATGGCATCTGCTTGTTCTAGGAACACAAAGAGCCTCAAACAATCATTCAGGGTCTTGATGAAGAAGTCTGACCATCTCGTAGGTGGGCGGCTATGTGATCTTTTGACGTCCCGTGGAATCCAGTAAGTAATGGCTCTAGTCCAGCAGTCATCTCCAAATCTCATTACGTGTCCAGCCCATCTGATTTTCGATGGCTTGGCAAACGAGACAGCGTCCCTGATTCTTGAGCGATGACAGAGGTCGGAACTCTGGATTCTTTCTCTCATGTGAGTGAAGCGTGATACTCAAAGCATAGCTCTTTCAATTCCTCTTTGAGAAACCCGAATAGCGTTCTCATTCTGTTTTTGTAGGGCCCAGGTCTCTGAGGCGTATGTTAATGCAGGAAGAACAGTGGAATCGAAGAGATGTGCTCGCAGCTGAAGGTTCTTCGTCCTCTTAGTTATTTCTTCGACGCTCTTGAAGGCATTCCAAGCTGCTCTTTTCCTCCTGCGCAATTCAGGTGCCAGGTCATTTGTCATGCTGACTTCTCGACCTAGGTACATGTAACTGTTGCATTCGGAGATGATCGTTCCGTTGAGAGTGAATGGAACATCAGGAACAAGACTGTTTCTCATGAACATTGTCTTTGTGAGATTCAACTGTAATCTGACCTTTCCACACTCACGGTTGAAGTCGGTCAGCAGTTGTGCTGCTTAGCTGATGTTTGGTGTTATTAGAACGATGTCACCAGCAAAGCGGAGGTGGTGTACTTCCTGACCATCTATCTTCACTCCCATTTCTTCCCATTCCAGTCATCGCATGACGTTCTCGAGGGTGGTACTGAAGAGTTTCAGTGAAATACTATCACCCTGCCAAACCCTTCTCCTAACATCGATGATCACTTCTTTGTAGAATGGTGAAATTCTGGTAGTGAATCCATAATACAGCTCACGGAGGATCCTGATGTATTGAGTTTGAATGCCCTGATTGGCTAGGGCTTCGATGACTGCTTACGTCTCAAAAGAATCAAAGACCTTCTTTAAATCAATAAACGTTAGACAGAGCGGCATCTTGAACTCCCGAGAAACCTCAATGAGCTTGGTTATTGAGTGGAAATGGTCAATCGTGCTGAATCCTTTTCAGAACCCGGCTTGCTCGCATGGTTGTCCTTCATCTAGTGTTCTGCCAATCCTATTCAGGATGACTCGAGTGAACAGTTTGTAGATGAAAGACAATAGGCAGATTGGGCGATAGTTGCCAATGTCGTGGATGTCTCCCTTCTGGTATAGTAGTACAGTCTTGCTGGTTTTCCATTGGGACGGAACCTTGCATTCAGACAGGTAGCTTGTGAAGAGCCGAGCCAGTGTATTGATGAGTACTGACGGCAGGTTCTTCAGGTGTTCGGGTCTGACCTTGTCTGGGCCAAGTGCTCTTTGTTTCTTTACCGACAGGCGTTTTTTTTTTTAGTTATCTCTTTCTTGGCGTTCCTCACACAATCGTGGAGGTGCTGAACCAGTCGATCGCATTCCTTATCAATGCTGTCAATGACGGCATCTTCCCATGTTGCCTCAACAGAGCCAAACAGCTTCCAGTTGGTGGTCATTGTGAAACTCTGCAATCCTTTCTCCCTGCTCTGTGAAGTAGAATTTTGCACGAAGGAGATGGTGGTCCGATCCCATTTGGAATTTTGGGATAACAGCAACATCGGTCAAGCAAAACCATCGACTGAATATGATGTTGTCAATTTCATTGTGGAACCGTTTTAATATAAGAAAAATAAATTTTAAAAATATGTAAATAAATATCTAAGCTACAGTAGAAAGTGTGATCAAGAAAATTACTAACATGGGGCCGGAGTGATAGCACAGTGGGTAGGGCATTTGCCTTGCATGGGGCTGACCAGGTTTGAGTCCCAGCATCCCATATGTTTCTCTGAGCACTGCCAGGAGTAACCCCTGTGCATCGCCAGGTGTGACCCAAAAAGAAAAAATTTTCACATTTATGTTGTTTCTCATCTGGCTAAATGAACTCCAAACACTTCATTTTAAAAACTAAGTTGTATAATGCTTAAAAACCATGAAACTGCCAAAGATTATTTACATGATGACTAAAAATAGTATCAATGAATTACTTACAGGTATTTCGATTTTTGCTTTAAGCATCTGGTCTTTCTTAATATTCTGAACCTGAATTGCAGATCCTGATAAAATACTGGTTCCAGAACTACTGCAATCCACAACGTAGATGGGCAGATTTGGAGCACCTGAAAACTATTACAAACACACATATGTAATTGGTCACTAGTATTTGATTTTACAAAGAACTTCAAATATGTCATGATAGCTATTATTTTTGGCTATAAATTGGGAAATACTGAAAATAATTCCCTGCTATCTTAGAGAATTTCTGTATGGAGAGTAATTTTGTGTGATTCTTATCTCAAAAGAATAGTCTTCAAGCACTTTTTTTTAAACTTTACCTAGTTAGGTTTTCCTTTCCATTTTGCATTTTTTCTTCATCTTCATAAGTCCATCTCTAATCTCAGAGATTTCTGTACTTCTAATAACAAAATAAGCTTACCTTACAATGAACAATCAGTTTTGGTTGTGATGTTATATTGTCTGATTCATCCAACACTTCAACCTGAAATGGGAAAGCGGTTCCATTTTCTATAACTAAAATTTCAGAATCAGGTTTCACTTTCAGTCGATGAGGGAGACCTATAAAAATTTTGGATTTAAGTTTCAGAGACAAATAGTGAAATAGCAAAAGAAATTTTAACACTTCAAGCTAACAACTAAGTACAAGAAAATATTTTAATCATTTATATTCTCCAAATGCAGAATCTATACATAGCCAGAGTTGCTTCAAATGCTTTATGCCTTTCACAGGACTGCTTCCCTACAACAACAGCTCCTGCTAAAGCACAGCTACATGGGCTTTAAGAAAATCCTAAAAAAAAGGTATTCAAGAAGGCAAAACTTGACTAAACTAATGATGTATTTACTAACTTTAACTTTACACAAATGTCCTTGGGCTGGAGCGATAGCACAGCGGGTAAGGCTCTTGCCTTGCACGCAGCCAACATGGCCAACCCAAGTTCAATTTCTCCGCCCCTCTCGGAGAGCCCGGCAAGCTACCGAGAGTATCTCGCCCGCATGGCAAAGCCTGACAAGCTACCCGTGACATATTCGATATTCCAAACACAGTAACAACAAAGTCTCATGATGGAGACATTACTGGGCCCACTCGATAAAATCGATGATCAATGGGAGGACAGTGACAGTGACACAGAACTTCTTACCTATTCTAAGAAATAATTTTTTAAAAATAATTTTATTTATTGAATCACCATGAGAGCAGTTACAATGCTTTCAGGTTGAAGTCTCGGTCATACAATGAAACACCAGTGCCCATTATCCATCACCAAAGTCCCCAGTATACCCCTACCCCACACCCTCCCCTTACCTGTGGGAAAGATGATTTCTAAATCACTCTCTCTACTTTGATTACATTCAATATTTCGACACCAAACCTACCATTATTATTATTTGGGATTTTACCCCAACACTCAGATCTGCCGAAAAGGCGACAGTAGACAATTTGTTTTCTATTGCTGGTTATGAATAACATATGATGTCGCGTGACTGCAGTAGTGGCCGCATGATTTTGAAATTCTGAAATTTTAACAATTAAATCTGGAGGGATTTCTTGCTAAAACCTGCTGTGTCCCAAGATTTGTTCCTGGGTCTCTGGGATAATGGCCATTAAGCAACTTGATCAGAAGTCAGAGAGGCTGTTCGTGGGCGGCAACTCGGGTTATTGTTGAGACGTGGAGGAAAGGGCCGGCTCCACCCCCATCCCGTGAGGTCCCACGTGTCCTGTCACTGCGGGCTCAAAACTGACTGTCCAGTGGCCTCTGGAGGATGATGGCCACCGGGCCACCAGCGGGAAAAGGCCAAGGCACAAAACCCATTCCCAACTGGGGTGGCCCAGCATCAGTAGCTTACTGTAGAGACCGGACGCATTTCTGCCAAAAGCCGTTGGGTTTCGAGATTTGTGTTGAGTCTCTGGGATCATGGCCATTAAGCAGTTCGATCAGGAACCAGAAAGGCCATGCCTCCAACTACATAGCTAAGTAGGAGGTGGTTTGTGGGTGTGTCTCCCACATACCTAACTTTTGGCCGTTTACTTTCTTGGTAAACTTTGCCCCAAGTTTTTTGGGTCTGGCCAAAAGCATAGCAGCAATTTTGGAGTATCTGGAAGTCTGAAGGCGCCATCAGGCTGCTGATGCACTCTCCTCACAGGTACAGATTGACCTGCTGGCGGCACCATACCCCAAGAGAAGTAATTCTCAAGGGATGAGACATAGCCAGAAATTCCTTTTTTGGGGGGAGGTGTTTGGGGGCTCCATTGGCATGCTCAGGGTGTACTACTCCTGGCTGGGCACTCCAAGTCACTCCTGGTGAGCTCAGGGGCCCATGTGTGGTGCCAGGTACCGAACTTAGGTTGGCTGCATGCAAGGCAAATGCCCAGCCTCTGAAATTTACTCCTTGAATGGCCTGATTCTTCAGTATCTGAAGGATGAATAATGAAATGGATGGAATTAGAAGAACAGGGATTGAACAAGGAAGGGACTGTTTTTGCCAGATCACTCCAGTTGTGGGGCAAGGGAGAGAGGAAAGGAGGGAAATAAAGTATCTTGTCCTAGTCACATGATTATTAAGTAGCAAACAGCTTAGATTCTAGTTTTACCTTTTTTTAGGAGGAGGAGGAGGGGAGAGTTGGGGATGGGGGGGGCTACAAACTAGTGTACCCAGGCTTGCTCCTGGCTCTTCTCTCAGGGATCACTCCTGGAGGGACTTGCATAAGGAATGCTGGGGATCATCCCAAATTAGCCACATGGAAGGGAAGAGTCTTATCCCTTGTACTATCTCTGGCTCCAAGTTCTAGTTTTCAACTTGAAACCTCTTAACGATTATAAATTACACTGAGTTACTTCCTACATTCTCTCTCTCAAATTGTTTTATGTTTAGTTTTCAGTGTGGCCAGAGCTTATGCCCAAGGCCTGCCCATGCAAGCCAGGTGCTCAAGGCCTCATGAGCTACATTACTGCCCCCTAAGCCCTGATGTCCAAAATCACTGGTTACTAGATGTTTCACTACTCAAATTCATACTTGTAGCAAAGTTCTAAAATAAAAACATGTTAAGTCATGTTAAGTTTTAGGAAAAATCTCAAACCACTTGAATTTTTTTGTGAGGGTTTTGTTTTGTTTTTGTTTTCTGCTTTTGGGCCACAGCTGGATATGCTTAGGGGTTACTCAGGAATCATTTCTAGCAGTGCTCATGGTTAAGTGCCTTACACACTATATTCTCTCTTTTTCTCTCTCTGGCCCTAAACACAATTCTAAGTTTTACAACTGTTCTCACCTTACTCATTAAAGGTAACATCATATGTATCTGTTAGTGATAATTTATTTACTATCCAGACTGTGTCTTTGAATTCAGTTGCCACAGAACTTCAAAGTGAGGAGTGCTACACAAACTCATTTAAGCCTCAAAACAATCCTGTGAAAGGAAATATATTTTTACTTCTCTATTCATTCTATTTTGAGGTTTTGGGCCACACATGCTTGTGTTCAGGGCTTATGCCTGGCTCTGTGCTCAGAGATTACTCCTGGCAGGGCTCAGGGGTCAGTATGTTGTGCTGGGGATTGAATTTAAGTCAAGCACCTTATTCAGTGTACAATTTCTATGGTCCCCAAAGTATCTTTTTAAAACATGAGGAAACTAAGGCACAAAATATGTTTACTTAGATTTCTTAGTGCCAGAGGTTAGATTCAAACCCAAAAGGGCTGAAAAGAGAAAATATTTTATTTTCCCATTTGGAAAAGTAAATGTTTTATTATTTTATATGACTGAAATCTCTCAATATTTTGAACTTTCATAAAGATTACTGCATTCACATTTGTATCTTTAGAGCTTAACATAGAAGCATATGAAAAATGTCATCATTAAACATTTGGGGGGCTAATTTGTCTTTAGAAAAATTCTGGGCCAGGGAGATGTCTCAGGGTCCTGGGATCAGACTAACAAAAGTAACCCATAAAAAAAAAATAAATCTTTTACTTAAGCTTGGCTTTTTACATTTTACATACTTATATATATGACAGCAACAAGTATCTGTCATAATTAAACATCCGTGATACCTATGCTGCATGTTCTTTAAATCTCTATAACATACTGCCTCTCAAAATAGCCAGTTTTTCTATCATATATAACTCCAAATAACTTTAAAATTGATAAAGCACTATCAAATTGACAATATAAACAGAAAAACTCCCAGAAAATGTACATGATTGATCCAGTTCTAAGTCTAATTAATTATATCCCTAAAAAATTTCTTCATATATTTTCAGTATTTATTTTTTCTCCCAAAATACTACTTTAAATTTCACTTGTTGGGGCTGGAGAGATAGCACAGCTGGTACGGCATCTGCCTTGTACGCAGCCGACCCGGGTTTGATTCCCAGTATCCCATATGGTTCCTTGAGCACCGCCAGGAGTAACTCCTGAGTGCAGCGCTAGAAGTAACCTCTGCTATCACTAGGTGTGACCCAAAAAGAAAAAAATTCACTTGTTTTCTGTTTTTCAATGTTTTTGGTCATTTCTACCAGTGTCATGTTTTATGTTTGACATTCAAACATTCAGGGCTTATACCATAATCAAACCAAAATTTACCTGACCCTTTTAAGTACCATTACATCACAAGTAAATTATTTAAAAGATAAATATTAGGGATATACAAAATGTTATTACCTGGTAACAACTTAATTTTCAAAATCTGCGAGTCTTCTTTTAACCCTGGCAGAGTAACCTTCAGATTAAAATTCTGTTGAAAAAGTTTTGAAAGTTTAACTCAAGACCAAAATACTTAAGCAATTTACCACCTTAATTCTAATTTTTCTCCTTTTCATGTTAGAGAAATGTATTCAGCACGTTTCACTGATAAAAACTATCGCATGTATTTAAAAGATGCAAATCAAATACTGATCTAATTTTTTGCTTTCAAATAAAGACAACCTCTCAAAATTAAATGCTATAACCCAAATAATGGTTGGAATAAGGACATTATTAAAAAAAATGTGAAAATGTAGTGAAGTTAAAAAATAAACCTAAAAATCTAAAAACCTCTAAATAATTCTGAATGAGAATGGAAAACTAACCTTAATGGGAAACATAAAAAATTAAGTCAATAGTTTTTGTAGTAATATTGTACCAATATTAATTTCTTAGCTTAGATAAACATTATAGATGTTATGAGAGAAAATAGATAAAGAGTTATATTTGAGCTAAACTGTCTCTTAAGCTCTTCCATAAATATATAATTGACCACAGGACTTAGGAGATCTGGTGTCCCTGAAAACTGTTGAACTCTTTGTAGCTTTTGATTCCCCAAAACTTTACCAATAACCTGCTTTACTGGAGCCTTATCAATAGCAATTTATTTAATGACATATGCATTATGTACAGTTGACACTTGAACATGAGTCTGAAGGGTGCCACTCTGTTTATATATAGATTTTGTTCTAACCCCAGTTATTCTGTATTCACAGGCTCAACCAACCATAGATCCCGTACCAACATGTACACAGACATGTACCCAACTCGTAAATTATAAGAACTTTTTGTACTATACAGGAGGCTGGTGTCTTTAATTCCTGCTTTGTTCAAGGATCATCTATACTATAATCTTTCTTACAATAAAGAGAGGGAAAGACGTGAAGAAAATTTTGGTAAAAATAGTCATAAAGAAGGGTCAGAGGCTGTGACTCGGTGGCAGAACACCCATCTTGCATGCATGAGTTTTCAAGTTTGATACCCAACACCACCCAAACACAACAATGAATGCAGTCCCTGACTCTCATGTGATTCTCAATACCACAACCAACATGCTACCCCTGGTGCACTATTAAGAATGTAATCCCATGGGACTGGTGCGATAGCACAGCAGGTAGGGTGTTTGCCTTGCACGCAGCCAACATGGCCGACACAGATTCGATTCCCAGCATCCCCGAGCACTGCCAGGAGCAGGAGCAATTCCTGGGTGCATGAGCTAGGAGTAACCCCTGAGCATCGCTGGGTGTGACCCAAAAAGTAAAAAAAAAAAAAAAAAAAAAAAAAAAAGAAAAGAATGTAATCCTTGGCAATCCTCAACCAAGTGTCTGATTCCCAATACTCCAATATACCACCCAAAATGAAAGGAAGGGGGTGGGGAGTGTACTGGCTTCACAACTGTCCTCCTGAAACAATAAAAAAGTATGTGATGATTTAAGAGTTCAACTGACCCTAATACAAAAAAAGGGAAAGAAAACATACTTACAGTACTCTATTATCAACACCTTAAGTTTACAAGGTCTATAACAAAATTCAAACGTAAGTGGACCCACACAGTTCAGAGTTGTTCACAAATCAAATGTAAAGTTATTCTAAAATTAAGAAAACTAAGAAATCTTCTAAAGTTTAATTTGCCATGAATTTTAAGTCTTTTTTCCAGGAAAATATGAATTCTGATACGTACACTTATTATTTTATTAATTACATAGTGTGCAGCACCTAGAGAAATTCATATGTGACTTTAAAAATACCTTGATTAGGAAATAAACACCTTGATAGGATAGGAAAAATATATGGAAGCCTAATGAAACAAAAAGGCTAGTAACATATTTACCTATTAGCTCTAAGATTGTATTTAGCCATAACATGTATTTGCTGGGCTGGAGAGGAATGAGATGGCATATATTTTATACATGTTTTGATCCCCAGTACAGCATGGGCCCTAGAACATCACTTGGTAGACAGCTATGGAGGCCTGAGATGTTCCGAGCACTACAGGGCCCAGAAGTAATGCAGTTTCGGGCCCTAGCATTGAACTACCTGGCCTAGCTGACTATCTCGTAAGGGTGATCTGGCTAAGGGGACTTTCCCCAACACTCAATATCAATTACGTGCTTCTTACATCATCTAATTAAAAAATGGAGTTTATGTGGCCAGAGAGAGACAATACAAGGATTAATGCACTTGCCTTGCACAAAACCAACCCTGACTGATACTCAGAACCACGTATGTCAAAAAAAAAAAAAAAAAGGAGAGCCATGTACGTCTCTGGAGCCAGAAACAATCCTGAGCACAGCTGGGTGTAGCCCTCAAAAGGAAGAAAGGTACAGAGGAAGAAAGGCAGGAAGGGGGAGGGAAAGAGAGAGGAGAGAAAGAAAGGAGAAGTTAAAAAGAAGGGGGAGCAGAAGAGAAGGGGAAGGAAAAGGAAAAAAAGAAAGGAAAGGGAAAGGAAGGGGGAAAAAATTAGAGTTTACATCTTTATGTTCCCTACACTTAAAATACTTCCCAAAACACTTTACTCAAATAGAATATTCATAAAGTGACAGGAAGCTCAAATTTTCATTTTCCTTCTGAAAAACTTTGTCTTGGTGTCATAACCAGCTGTTCTCAGAGTTTACTCCTGGCAAAATCAAACTCCAGTCAGCTGGCATGCAAGGCAATTTGCTCTACCCTGCTGTTTTACCTCGCTGGTCCCACCTAAAAAAAAAATTAATTAAAAATTGGATTTAAAGAACAGTATAGTGCTGAATAACTGTTGAAAAAGTAAGTAACACTGAAGGTGAAAAATTAAATTTAGAATGGACTACAATTGAAAAATATTTAATAAACACTTAATGTTGATTTTTCTCTTCATTCTCTTGGTTTTTAGGACATACCCAGCAATGCTCAGGGCTTACTCCTGGCTCTGTGCTCAGGGATCATTCCAGAAGGGTGGGGGGTCAGGGCTCAAGGGTCCATATGTAGTGCCAGGAGTTAAACCAATTTGTCAGTGTATAAGGCAAATGCACTATCCACTGTACAACATCAGCCCTGATTGTCCTTAAAAAATGTAAATGGGTGACATGATCCTAATTGATTCCTAAGAACTCAACACTGTCATCTTGCTACAAAATTATTCTGAATTTCTATCATTATTTTGCCATATAAAAAATAAATGCCTATGTATGATGTTTACCTTGCCTTGACAGGAGTTTACAGGGCCTTTAGCTGTAACGCCTCGAATCATACAATTTGGTCCTTTGGTTATCTCTTCATAATGTAAAGATAGACCACTAAAAAAAAAAAATTATATTTAAAATTCCCTTTCATTAACCACAAACAAAAGCTGTAAATGAATTTTGTTATGCCATTCAGATAACTGAAATAAAAAATAATGGAACAGAAGCAAATCCTGATGCATTTCATTTACAAAGAAAAATGGTCCAACAAATATTGTTAAATGATAATGGTGGGACAATCATTAAATATAAGTGGAAATTCCTATACTGAATCACTAAAGATAAATGGTAAAAAATAATCAGATATATAAGTATAAAAAGGAAAATACTTGTTCAAATAGAACAGTCTAAAGGATATTTTCTAACTTGTCATAGAGAAACTTTCAAATCTTCAACTTAGTAGAGAACTCTGAATATCTATTAAATTGGTCATTTTATATTAAATGTAAGTAACCAGGTATAATCTTGAGATAAAACCTTGTCAGAATGTATACATAAAACACAAAAGTGAAGAAACCTGGCTGGTAGGCACCACAACACCTGGAGAATTCTTCAGGCCCCATACCAAGCCGATATCGCCGGGAGGTCCCAGATGGGGCAGGTGTAGTCTCCCTGCTTTCTCCAGATGGAATCCCGGGGACCATGAGCTTCTACAAGCCTGGCTCTGGTATGTAGGACTATTCTTCCGAACTGCATGGGGGCGCTGGACCAGGCAGTTCCATCCCAGCTCCCAGTCAGCCCCTGATCCTGGAAGTTATGCCCTCAACCCATGGCCAGTGTCATCTTGCCACAGACAGCAGTGAAGAAACCTGGCTGGTGGGCACCACAACACCCGGAGAATTCTCCGGGCCCCATACCAAGCGATATTGCTGGGAGGTCCCAGATGGGGCAGGTACAGTCTCCCCGCCTTCTCTAGATGGAATTCTGGCGACCATGAGCTTCTACAATCAAGGCTTCGGTACATAGGCACTAGGACTATTTTCTAAACCAGGCAGCCACATAAGTGGCCATGCGACCTTTCCTGATATGCAAAGTGAGCAGTGAAAGCAATAAATGATCTAGTGTCTGTCCCTGGAAGGCAGGCTTGAATGGTTTTAGGAAAACTCAAGCAAAATATAATGCCCAACAGAAATGCATCTAGACTGTGCATTAAACTGCGGTGCCATAACATCCCAGGAGGGGAAGGGTACTTGTCCCTCCGCCATTTTCCCCTGGTGGTGGTGGTATGGTGGCTGCCACCTTTCAAAGCCTAATGACAGCCAGGTATAAAACTGCAGTGACGAGGCACGCGGGACCTCATGGGATGGGGGGTGGAATGGGCCTTCTCCCCACCTGACAAGGCCCCGAGCTGCCACCCACGAACACCTCTCCTCTGGCTCCTGAACGACCATGATCCTAGAGGCACACAAATCCATCTCAGAACCCAGCAGCTTTTGGCAGTAATCCCTCCAGAATTATTACTAGAATATCAGAAATCCAAAATTGCGTGGCTGCAATAGTGGCTGTGCGACATCATATGCTCTTCATAACCAGCAATAGAAAACAAATTATCTAATAATGTCTTTTTGGTAGGTCTGATTGTTGGGGAAAATTCCAAATAATAATGGTACATCTTATGTTGTAATACTGAATGTGATCAACATAGAGAGTTAAGTGGAACTCAGCCACACAGGCAGGGGGAGGTGTGTGTGTAGGGGGTGGGCGGTGGAATACCAGGGTTCTTGGTGGTGGAAAATGTGCACTGGTGAAGGGATGGGTGTTCGATCATTGTATGACCGACAGAGACTTAAACTGAAAGGCTTTGTGACTGTTCTCACGGTGATTCAATAAATTAAAAATTAAAAAAAAAAAAAGAATACAAACTTTAAAAGGGAAAAAAGAGGCAAACACATATCAAACCTAATTTTTCTAAAAAGACAAATTTAAATATTTACAAGTATTATCTAATAAATTTAAAATTTAAAAGAACATTTCTGGTTTAGACAGGCTGTAAAGTTGTATTTTAGACAAAATAGAAGACTGTTGACGTGTGTAGTGGGTAAAGTGCTTGTTTGCCTGCAGCTGCTTGCTTGCCTTGCCTGCAGCTGATGTGGGTTGGACCAATGGCACAACACATGTGCCCTCTGAGTATACTCAGGTGTGGCCCACAAACTATCCTGCCCCCTCCCAAAAAGGGGAGAGCGACATAAATATACCCCCTCAAAAAGTATCTACTTATCTTCTTTCTCTCTTTTAAGTCATAAAGTTGACCAGGAATTTTCTTTGTTTGCTACAAAAAGACAAGAAAAGGGAAACAAGGAAAAGACAAGGTAACGAAATTCATCTGTTACAAGAAGAGAGATAAGCTCCAAAATCATTTAGCAGTCTGAACAATACCTGAACTCTACAAGAACAAAAAGCTGAGAACCAAATGAACCATACACTCTCCAGAAACTGGTAGTACTAAGTGCTCTGGAAGTGAGGGCAAAATGGAGGCAGAAGAAAATGCTTTATTGGATGACTAGATTATTATTCTTGGAATGGTTAAATCAGAGGTTCCCTAAACCAGAGGACAGAAGATATGCTGAAAGGACAAAATACTAAAAGTAGGGGGCTGGGGAAATGACCCAAAGGGCTCAAACCTCAGTATAACATGGTTCCTTAGCAACTGAGGGACCCTGGCACCAGTCTTCCAAAATCTACGAGGAGTACAAAGCGGCCCTGAATGAAGGCATACAGATGCTGAGATAGTTCCATTCCAGCCTGTTTCAGGACTGACTAGGAACAGGAGAGCCAAGAATTTTCTGTAAGAGAAAGGATATAAAGATACGTGCAACAGGATATCCTCCTAGAAAGCACAAAAACGTATTCTAGAGAGAATTTCATAGTCAACGGCTTTGCTCACATTGTCAATCTCCTCTTAGCCATTTTAGTTCTCCAGTCAGGTACAAGCTGATGACCAATAATAGTAGGAATCAAATAGGTCAAAAACACACCAAATGCAACTCACGTGGGACAACAGATTGTGAATATATAAAGTTGTTTTTTAAAGTGACATTTATCTGATAAACAAATTTTAAAAGTATCACATTCATAAAACAAAGTAGCTCTCTAAAAGCATAGAGAAAAAAATAATTCTTAAAACTCAAAAATACAGCAAAAAGGAAAAACTGATTAATAAGTAAAGGTAGAGAAAAATGTGCCAAAATTAAAGCAGAAAAAAATAAGAATAAAAAATTATTGAAATTAGAAACCCTGTCCAGAAGGTTCAGTAAGAGTCCCTAGATGAGAAGACAATGACAGGCATAAAATAAAAAAATTCAAATTATTGAGATTCCATACAAAATCCTTGTAACTGTGTATCTCAAAAAATAAAAATAAATCTATAACCATGATACTATGCTGTTAAGAACAAGAAAGTAGATTCTATATACCTCTGAGACAAAACCTATAAAATATAAAATGGGAAACTAACCAATGTGAGTTCTAATTTATTAACTTGTAGAAATCTGACAGAAAATAGTGTTCAACTTCCAATTCATTCAGTCAAGAATTAGTATTATGGGCTGGAGGGATAGAACAGGGGTAGAGAGTTTGCCTTGCACGCGGCTAAGCCGGGTTCATTCCCAGCATCACATATGGTCCCTGGAGCACCACCAGGACTAATTCCTGAGTGAGGCCAGGGGTAACCCCTGAGCATCACCGGGTGTGAACCAAAAGGCAAAAACTATTCAAACAGAGATATTTTTCACAGTAATAATTTTTCCCCTTACACTGCATCTTAAGAAACCACTGAAGGATGTGTTTCAGCAAAAGGAGGGGGGCATGAGATATCTTAAATATAAAAAAATACAACAGGGGTCCAGAAGATAGCTGAGAGACCTAAGCAGGTTTAATCTCAAACCCAGACAACTGGCACCTGCTCCACTACCTAGTATTACAACAAGAAAAGGTCAGGAAGGATTAAAATAAAAAAAGGATCAGGAAGATAGTTCAATGGTGTTTAAAAAAGCACTTCGGGCAATGGTGAGGTCATAGGCTCAATAGTGCTGCTGAATGTCCTCAGATGAGCCTGAGCCAAACACAATCTGGGATCCCCTCTTGAGTTTGGGGGGAAAAAACTGGAGAAGCATGAAAAATTGATGCTAAAGGAAATAAGTTTCACAATTCAGGAATTGTCAGGGACCTGAGAGTTATCTTCTGAAGAATCACTGAAAAAGGCAAAAATCGGTCTTGCAGTTTCCTGAGCCTATTTAATAGTTAATTGTGCCCAATTCACAGACCATACTTCCAAACATGAAGATACTTAACAATTTAAAAAAAAAATGCATGTCAAAGGTTATATCCACTTAACATAAGAAAGAGTAAGATTTCTCTAAATTATTTTCTTTCATTCTATCTTCGTAAAGAAAACTTCAAGGCTGGAAATAATCCTGTTCTTAATAATATTTTGCTAACACAGTTAACAGTAGAAATTCCAAGGATGAATGAAGAATAGTCACAGACCAATTGTTAATACATATAATTAGCCCATATTAGAATATATCCTATGCTTCCAGGAGCTCTCAAACCAAAAAAAAAAAAAAAAAAAAACCTGACAGGGGCTGGAGAGATAGCACAGCGAGTAGGACGTTTGCCTTGCACACGGCCGACCCGGGTTCGATTACCAGCATCCTCTATGGTCCCCTGAGCACCGCCAGGAGTAACTCCTGAGTGCAGAGCCAGGAGTAACCCCTGTGCATCGCCAGGTGTGACCCAAAAAACAAAACAAAACAAACAAACAAAAAAAACCCTGACAGATTATAATTTAAATATCTAGATATCAGAACAACCGGCAGAGCTTAGGATCTAATTTGTAATAATTTCCAAAGGAAAAAAGTATAGTAACCACAAAGTTGTGTAATCAAGTGACTAGAATTATATAATTATAATGAAGTAGCACTGTAGCACTGTCCTCCCGTTCATCGATTTCCTCGAGCACGCACCAGTTTTGGCATATTTAACACATCACGGGTAGCTAGCCAGGCTTTGCCATGCGGGCAAGATACTCTTCGTAGCTTGCCAGGCTCTCCGAGAGCGGTGACGGAGTCGAACCTGGGTTGCCCGCGTGCAAGGCAAATGCCTTACCCGCTGTGCTATTGCTCCAGCCCATTATAATGAAGTCACTGTCACTCTCACTGTCCTCCCGTTGTTCATCAATTTGCTTGAGCAGGCCCAGTAATGTCTCCATTTTGAAACTTGTTACTGTGTTTGGCATATTGAATATGTCACAGGTAGCATGCCAGGCTTTGCCGTGCAGGCGAGATACTCTTGGTAGCTTGCTGGGCTCTCTGAGAGGTGCAGAGGAATTGAACCTGGCTCGGCCAGGCTGGCTGCACAAGGCAAACGCCCTACCGCTGTGCTAATGAAGAAAAGGTACTAAAGACTGATCAAGCCTAAAGAATCAAATTCCAACTTTATTAAAGAATGAGAGAATATATCCTACTCATCTTTTTTTTTTCTTTTTGGATCACACCTGCAATGCACAGGGCCTACTCTTGGCTCTGCACTCAGGAATTACCCACGGCGGTGCTCAGAGAACCATATGGGATGCTGGGAATTGAACCTGGGTCGGACACATGCAAGGCAAATGCCCTACCTGCTGTGCTATTGCTCCAGCCTATCCTACTCATCTTGCACATCAAGAACCAATGCCTAAAACTGAAAAATCAAGAAGAAGCAATATAAAAACTACTTAGAAATATGACAATAGTCAACAAAAGATCCAAGAATAAACATGAAAGTGATTTGGACTATGAGTTTGATGAAGCCAACAGAGGGAAGGAATTGCTCTTGAAATAAAAAACAAAGCAAAACAAAACTGGTATCATGGATTCTTCCTAAGCAAATTTTTAGATAGTAAAAAATTGATCTGCTAAAACAAACTGTTTTAATAAAAAAAACTTAAGACTATTAATGTTTATGTGACAGAAAACGCAGAGTGTAACAATTCCTATATAATGATGAGATGGAGGTTATCATTAATGTTAGGAATTAATTTATGACAAATATGTGACAAATGAGCAACTGTTTAGTGGCTTTTTTTTTTTTTTTTGCTTTTTGGGTCACACCCAGCAATGCTCAGGGGTTACTCCTGGCTCTGCACTCAGGAATTACTCCTGGCGGTGCTCGGAGGACCATATGGGATGCTGGGAATCAAACCCGGGTTGACCACAAGCAAGGCCAACGCCCTACCCGCTGTGCTATTGCTCCAGCCCCCTGTTTAGTGTTTTTTTAATGAATATGTTTGAAGTATTCAACTCTTCTATTACTATTCCTTGACTAAAGTACATGTTGAGTGAAATGGGTTCATAAAGACAAATTAGACAACCAGTGCAAAACAGTCTTTACTATATGCTATACACCAATCAAAAATCCTCTATAGGAACCTGCAAAAGATGTTTAAAAAAAAAAAAGTAACTTTCTTGGAATCGGAGTAATAGTACAGAAGGTTGGGCTTTTGCCTTGCATGTTCTATCCCCAGCATGAGCATCACCGGGTATAACCCAAAAGGCAAATAAATAAATATACGTGTGTGTGTGTGTGTGTGTGTATAAAACATCCTCGTTTATAGCATATACTCACGTAACAACAGGAATATCCTATATTCAGCAAGATATCTTAGGAGATGTCTCTCATCACATAAACATCATGAGTTCACGTGATCATACAAATCTACATGGTATAGTCTGCTACAGAAGCGAAATATTTGCTACAGGCCATTGGGATCACAACTGCATACACAATTAGTGTAGATAATAATGCTATTATCCAAAGCATTGTTAAGCAACAGTGACTATTATCACTGGACATACTGTTACATTCCTAAATGCTAGAATTTTTTTTTTGGGGGGGTACACATGGTGATGCTCAGGGGTCCATATGTAGTGCCAGTTGGCAGTGTGCAAGGCAAATGCCCTACCTGCTGTACCATTTCTTTAGGGACTAAAAGACAGCTCCTGAAAGTTACTTCTTAAAATCAGTCAAACACTTCTCTAAGAGGTATTCAATAAAGGCAAAATTCTAAGGAAGAATCCAAATGTTAATGGAAAACAGACCTTCAATTCTCACAGTTTTTAAACAAAACACAATGTATTAGCAGGTTTAAACCTACTAGTAGACAGTATCACAAAGTTTATACAATCTTATAAGCAAACAATAAAACAAACATTATTACTAACAGAACTTCTTGGAAACATGTAATATTTATAGACAAATATGGAATTTAGAACTCTCAGTCTAACCTAAATAAATTGACAACAATTTCTGTCAAAACATAAACTTGAATTAAGTGATTTATGACTTTAATCACAGAACAGCATAAGGCTAAATAAACCCTAGGTATACAATAAAATCCACAAAACATTCTAAAATACTGATTAAATAATTTAAGCGAGAAAAAGAAAAGAATAAATGCTTAGTAAATAAGAAAAGTAAAATACAAGTTAATCCTTCAAATTACCTTGCTTCAAGAATTGGCTGAATATCATTTACTAGTTGACTAGTATGACCAAATTCATCCTGAAACTCCAGAGGGATATTGAATGGGACTCCAACACGAAAAGGAGAATCCAGAAGACCAAATGAAAATTTCTCTGGCTTACCCTCTTTAAAAAAAAAAAAAAAAATTTTTCCACTGTAGGTTATATATATATATGGGACACTTGACTACAATAAAGGTAGCATTTTAAAATGTATGCAAAAAGTCTATAATTCACTTGGGAAAATAATTAAATTTATTTTTATCTCACGACGTTTATAAAATTTCAAAGGTTGAGATACCTGTGCTTTTAGCACGCTGATGCCAGTATGTACCACCAGTGGCTCACTCTTGAATGTGGTATAATTGAAACAAATTGCAGAAACGGCATCAACGTGTTAAACAATGATTATTATTAGAACATAAGTAGTATGCTTATACTCTCAGAGAAAAATAAAACTCCAGTAAAATACAACATCCAGTATGTATAAAACGATATGTTTAATTTTTAAGAGGCTGGAGCGATAGCTCAAAGGGCTGTAGAGCATGTCTTGTGCAGGGGAATCCTGGCTCAAATACTCGGACACCACATGATCCCCCAGCACTGCCCAGAGCAGCCCCTAAACGCTGAGCTGGGTATAGCCCCTGAGTATTGGGTGCACCCCAAAACAACAAAAAAGATTTATGAAATTCAGTGAACAAAATCAAAAGAGAAGGTATAGGTGAGAAAAATCTGAAACATATGGGACAAAAGATTAAAGTTAAGACTACTAAAAAAATTTTTTTATACAGCATCTTTTCTCAAAGCACAGTCTTTAGCCTAATAGCTTCAAAAATCCTTAGGAAACTTAAAAAAAATGGAAATATTAACTATGGCTCACCTTAAACCTAGAGAGTCAATACTGAAAGGCCCACACTAAGGCTTCAAGGTGACTCAGATACAAGCTATTGAGAACTATTAAAATGGGCATGGTAAGTGAACAGGTTTTCACAGACGGCATACAATGTCCAATAAATTTTGAACAACCTAATAATTAAAAGCATAATTTAATTTCCAATAAGGCTAAATAAACATAATGGATTGAACATGAAACTCAAACTACTCTAATATGCTGGTGAGTGTGTACTTGTCATATCTCTTGGAGGATGATTTGATAACAAATAGATTTAAAATGTTAAAAGAATAAAGGACAACAATAGTAGAATAGTAACAGAATTTGAATTATGGAATAAAATATGTGAAGGAAAGAATGATAACAAGAATCTTAAATCTCACCATCAGAGCAGAGAACAATCTAATTAACATTACTAATATTCTAAAGTCTTAAGAATAAATAGATGAAACTGGAGTCAGTTGGAAGAAAAAAAAAACTGGTAAGATTTGTTTAAGAAACAGTTTCCAAGATTCCTCAATTCAACACACAGAGCCTAACAATTGCCTTCCTCACCACAGCAAACAGATTTCAGTTCTACTCTCTGGGAATAGTAAAGGAGCAGGTGTGAGGAGTAGGGAACAAGCAGCACACAGTGACATGGTTGGTAAGAAGGGGATATCCTGGGGCAAGACTATCTATGAATATTTGTTTGTTCAACTTGGATCCCTGAATCCTGGCAGCCAGATAAATTACCCTACTACTCAGGAGACAGGAAGCTTCCAATCCAGGGAATCTTAATAGCAAATTGTTTTATCATAATCTCACCAAGTAAAAGAAAAGTTTTCAAATGTACTATTAACTGGGCTGGAGCGATAGCACAGTGGGTAGGGCATTTGCCTTGCATGCAGCCAACCCGGGTTTGATTCCTCCGTTCCTCTTGGAGAGCCAGGCAAGCTACCAGAGAATCCCACCCCCATGGCAGAGTCTGGCAAGATCCCCCGTGGCACATTCGATGTGCCAAAAACAGTAACAAGTCTCACAATGGAGACATTACCGCATTACTGGTGTCCACTCGAGCAAACTGATCAACAATGGGAGGAAAGTGGTACTATTAACTAAACAAATCACTCCTCATGTCAAAGTATTTAATAGGAAATAAATGGGGGCAAAAAAGGATAGAGAAAACCATCTGAATGAAGCTAAAAAAGATAAAAAACATAACCATTAAAAAAGACTCAGATCATTAAAAACAAGGCTGATAACTGGAGAATAAAAAAAAAAAGCACTGAAAACTAAAACAATGACCACAAAATGGAGAACTTCAATAAAATTTTGTATAGAACATTAGAGAAAATAAACTGGAAGTACCAGAAGCTAGGCAAAAAATTTATTTCAAACAACTGGATACTACCAAGGAAAGAGGGAAAACTTGGAAGAGGGCAGAGATGCAGACCACGGAGTCAGAGCAGCTGCAGACTCACCAACAATAGGAACCAGAGAACATGTCTTAAAAACTGAGGAGGATGGGAAGCTCGCCACTACCATTTAACGAACTACTGGAAGTCATAGTTTGCGTAAGAAAGCCAAAAATGAAGGGACTCAAACTGGAAAATAAACTATCACCTCTTTGCAGATGATACACATAGAAAAGCCTAATTGTAAGCTAATTATAAAGAATAAAGCAACTACAAGTGGTAGGCTACGGTATCAAAATATGAAATTCTGCTGCCATTTCTATATGTAAATAATTCACCAGAAAATATAAAATTTCAAGTACAATTTCATGGAAAAAATAAAAACCCCAAAGTACCTAGAAATCAACACAGGAGGTGGAAAAGGCATACACAGAAAATTCTGTCATTACTGAAAGAAGACACACAGAAATGGAAAAATATCCTAAATTCATGGATCAGAGATTTAGCATTAAAATAAATATTCTATTCATTTATACAGATTCAATGTAATCTCAAATCAAAAGTCCAATGGAATTTTTCATCTGACAGAAAACAAGTACTACCAAAATTTGTAAAATCATGAAATACCCCCCAAAAGACAAAATAATCCTTTGAAAAAAAAATGGGGCTTTCTCCTCGTGCCCATGTTCTACCTTGAACATGCAAGTATCTTGCTTGCCTTTATGTTGCTGGGATTGCTCCTTTGTCTGTGTCCTTTCTTGAACATGTATCTTCTCTCTCCACATCTTTCTAAAGAGAATTCATTCAATAAAAACTATCTTGCTTCATGAGAAAAAAAAATTTAAAAAAAAAAAGGAAAAAGGAAAGGATTGGCATCACATTCCCAACTTTAGGAATTATAAAGCTGAAATCCTCAAAGCCAGTGAGACACTAGAAAAAAAGTTGAAATAGTATGAACCGCCCAGAACCAACTGTAACAGTTAACTAAAACAATAGAGCTAGGAGCATAAAGAAAGGAAAGCCTCTTCAAGAAACTACGCTGGAAAGAGTGATACGGAAGTCACTCGAAAAAGTCTGAAACTGGGTCACTTTCTCACATCATACACAAAAGTTCACTCAAAATGACAGACTGGAAATGTTAAAATATAAAGTAGAAAATACCAGCAAATTCTCGCTACAGAGATGTGTTCAGTGATTTTTTACACCATCAGCTATAAAGAAACAAAAGCAAAACTAAATAAATGGAACTACACCAAGCTATAGGGCGTCTGCACCATCAAAGAAACTAATTAAAAAAATAATGAAATCGGCTTTTTATGAAGATGGCACCAAAAGTCAGAAAGAATGGAAGTTCCTGGTCCCCTCAAAGCTGAAGCCAAAGCCCTGAAGGCCAAGAAAGCAATGCTGAAAGGTGTCCACAGCCACAGAAGATCCGCACATCACCCACCTTCCAAAGACCCAAAACGCTGCGGCTGAGAAGGCAGCACAAATACCCTCAAAAGAACCCTCAGAAGAAACAAGCTTGACCACTGAGTCAGACATGGAGAAGACAGGAGGTAGCAACTCTCAAGGCCATCAGGCACCAGATAAAACAGGCCATGAAGAAGCTCTCGAACACTGAAGTTCTAGCCACAGTCTAGCCCAGATGGGAGAACGAGGCATATGCTCAGGTGGCTCCTGACTGATATTTTGGATGTTGCTAGTAAAATGGGGATCATCTAGACAATCAAAGCTGGCTAATCCTAAGTACAACGTTTTCCAACATTAAATGAATAAATCATATGAAATAGGAGAGAATATTTGCACACTAGTAAGTAAAGTAAAGGCCCTCCCGTTGATCGTCGATTTGCTCGAGCGGGCCCAGTAACGTCTCCATTGGAGACTTTGTTGTTACTGTGTCTGGCATATCGAATACTCTCGGTAGCTTGCCAGGCTCTCCGAGAGGGACGGAGGAATCGAACTCGGGTCGGCCATGTTGGCCGCTTGTAAGGCGAACGCCCTACCCGCTGTGCTATCGTTCCATATGCCAGACACAGTAACAACAAAGTCTCCAATGGAGACGTTACTGGGACCGCTCGAGCAAATCGACGATCAACGGGAGGGCCTTTACCTTTGGGCTGGAGCAATAGCACAGCGGTAGAGCATTTGCACACTACACACACCTAATTTTTAAGATATATAAAGAACTCACAAAATTCAGTAATCACAAAACTCATTTTAAAAATGAGGAAAAGAGCTGAATAGATACTTCCCAAAGAAAATATATATATGGCCAGCAAGTACATAAAAACTGCTCATAATCACTGATTATCAAAGAAATGTAAATCAAAACAATATGATATTATCTCGTGCCTGTGAGAATGGCCCCTATCAAAACGGCAAGAAATAATAAAAATGTTCAGAATATGGAAACAAAGGAACCCTCGCACTCACATGGAAATGTATACTGAGTTCCATCTCTATGGAATACAGTATATAGAGACTTCTCAAAAAATTAAAAATACAGGCTAGAGTTAGTAGAGTGTACTACTTTTCTTGTACACGGCCAACATAAGTTTGATCCACAATACCTCATATGGTCCCCCAAGCCCGCTAAAGTGATTCCTGGTGCAAAGCAAGGGAAAAAAAGCCCCAAGCACTGCCAGGTATGGCCCCAAAACAAAAATTAAAAGTAGAATTTGCAAATAACCCAGCATTTCCACTCCTAGATATATATTTCCCACTATACAAAAACACAAATCCAAAAACGCATGTATTTACAAACTTATGTTAACTGTGGTACTATTTCCTATATAGCCAAGATACAGAATATACACAACAGGACACCCTTGGACACTGACCAGAGAACTAATGTTACTAACTGGGGCAGGGACTGAGGAAGAGAAATATCTAAAAAGTCAAAAGGGGAAAGCAACAGGAAGAATCCTATGATCAGAGATGGAAGGACACTGGCATTTTAATGGAGGGCATAGTGAGGGAATACTGGACCCTTAAAACACATGGACATTTCCCCTCTTACACCCAGTGCTGCATCAATTAAAGAAACAAGCAAGCATGTTTTTATCATCGATTCTGTAGGGATATTTAAATTAGAGATAAAGATAAAAAAATTAAAAAGCCATTTTAAGATCAAGATGGTTACACTGCTGGACATTACACCACTATACTATCTACTTTCTTCACTTAAAACACCTCCTTAGCACAGTTGTACATTAGTAATTTGCTTACCTTTAACAGAAAACTTAATTGCTTTAGAAGGTAATGGTCTTCCTGCGTAAGTGTCTGCATTACTTTCATTCAATACAACTTGTAATTTCAATGTATAGTTCCCCAACTTTTGAATATTTTCTAGAAAAATTAAAAAAGAAATTAAAAAGCCAGTCTACAAAACACTGATACAACTTAATAATTTTAACAGGATAGTGATGACTTACCCATTTTTTTAAACCAGTATGGCCATTTTCCTCCATGCTGACTAATATGTGAAATTATTTCTTTATTTCCATTTGGAGCTTAAGAAACAAGAAACATATCTTGAGAAACTAATTATATATCATATGTATGAAACGTCACACCAGCATCAAATAAGCACTTCCTGTATATTTTTAAAATGTTTAGACACTTCCAAAAATCTAAAGTCAATGCCAGGGAAATTGTAAAACAAATGCTTATTAGCATGTCTGAGGGCCTATGTTCAATTCTTGACCACATGGCCTACTGAGTACAACCAGGTATGGCCCTAGATGTTTCTGAGACTGATCACTATGAAAAAATTTTTAAAACACTAATGTTATTCTATACAAGTGAACAGCATGATAAAAAATAAACTTGTTGGACTCATAATTCTGTCCTTTTTGGGGTCACACGTGGTGGTGCTCAGGGCTTACTCCTCAATCTAAGGTCAAGGATCACTCCCAGATGCTCAGGGGAGCAGACGGGATGCTGAGGACTGAGTTTGGGTAGGACATGTGAAAGACAAAGTTCCCAGATGCTGTACTACTGCTCCGGCCCCTCACTAGGCTCATAAAAACTCCTTATTTTACTTATTTAAAGATTCGTGTGTCCATAAGCAAAGCTGGCACAAACGTAAGAGCATACATTTTTAAAGAACTTTCCAGACAAAACAAAACATATTCTTTTACTTTGACCACAGGCTTGTGGTTATCAGTCTGGGAGGAAAGAGAATGCAAATGATGAATAAAGCCGGCAGAGACTGGTAGATGGTAACAAGACCTCTGGTGGAATTTTGTCAAGGAAGGTGTGAGACTGTGCAACTGACACATACAGTACAATCAACTAAAGTAACTTAATTAATTGAAAATAAGTATGTATTTTAGAGATAGATAAACTTGAGATTCAACAATCACAAGTAAAGAGACAGGAAGCAAGTGTATTAGGTAATGAAATAGGTTAGTTGATATACACTGAGACATGTTAAGCAATTATCTTAGTGTCTTTTATAAAAAGTTCCAATTATAATTTGCAATATGTTTATAGATTACCTGATAAATATACTATGTGTCATAAAAAAGTGAAGAACACAAAAAATATTTTTCCTTCCACTGAATTTCTATCATCTAAAGCAGTGTTTTCCCCCAAGAGGGATACGAGAAGGGGAAGAACAATGCTGGAATGAGGGTGAAGGCATAACTAGTAGGCTTGAATGAAGATGACATTGAGACTTAAAGAAGGTAGACTGCCAAGACTTGATGAGCCTTTTTTTCCCCCTCTGAAAAGGAGCCTGGTCATATACATATATTTCAAGTGAAAGGCAGGCAAGGAAATGCAGAGTCAAAGACTGGAAGATGTCATGAATGGCTTTGATGATTAAGAAGAAGCTGAAAGCCAAGGTGGACAGCTTCTAGAATTGGAAAAGATGCCCTCTAAAGAAAGCCAACCCTGCCAGTGAACATCTAGGATATCTCCCCAGAAAAGTCTAAAATAATGAACTTGGTTTTAAGGCACCAAAATAGCTGGAGAAACAACACACACACACACACACACAGACACACCCATATCAAAAAAAGGACATTTTAATAAAACAAACAGCTTAATGCTACTTAGAGTTCATTAATTTCATTCATGGAAATTATAAACTGTCACACTCTCTCTCACACACACAAACAGTCATATCAAGAAATAAGGACATTTTCATAAAACAAACAGTTTAATGCTACTTAAGAGTCCATTAATTTCATTCATGGGGAAAAAAGTATAAACTGTCACAAACTATACAATTAATGTTGTTAAAATGCTGGAAATAGGCATATAATGACTAAAATCCTTGAATCAGAAGTACACAGTGAAATAGCTTTATTAAAAATGTAGAATGAGGTGCTGGAAAGATAGTACAACAGGCAGGGCATGTGCCTTGAACCAGCATCCCATATGGTCCCCTGAGCACCACCAGGAGTAATTCCTGAGTGCAGAACTAGAAGTAACCCCTGAGCATCACTGGTGTGACCCAAAAAACAAACAAAACAAAAAACCCAAAAACCTTTTGACTTTTAGGTAGTTAAGGCAAAGATAATGACCAGGGAAAGCTAACAAAGCTAAAATTTTAAGTTCAAGAAATACAGAGTTAACACTAATATACAGTTGTCCCTCCATTTAAAAAAAAAAAAGGATGCTAGGTTTATTACTTTAACCAAGTACTTCTAAGCCCAAAGGCTCAAAACCACAATATATTTTGAAATCTCAAATATCAAGTAATCTAAATTTCTATCTAGCACAAAATCCTATACATAGGTATGTAATTGATTTTCGCCCACCCACTTACCTACTTACATTATGGGAAAATTTTGAATTTCATTCAAGTATTTAAATTTTTTTAATTAAAAATTTATTTGAAAAATCTGGGTTCAGAGAGATCAGACTAGGCTCATGCCTTGCACTCAGCCAAACTCAGTAAGATTCCAAGTACACATGTTTTCCTGAGTATCACCACTGCTGCTTGTGAGGCTCCAAAGCACCAGGTGTGGCCCAAGGAGACCCAGAACCAAAGGCCTGATCCATATCACTTCCTCAGGCCTAAGTCTTCTGAGCCCCACTTGGAGGGAGCCCACAAAAGGCCCAATTGTAAAATACTCTTGAAATTCTCACTAATCAAATCCATTGTGTCTACAAGATTGGTCACCAATAATTACAGGAGTAAAGAACAACATGAAAATTCCAAATTAGTTTGTATACTTACAGTGTAATATAACTTTAAGCTCAACAAGGAGTTTCTTTGACCCTCCATGACTTGTTCCTGGAAGCTTTTGCATTGTTTCCCCTTTTTTATTCAGTATTTCAATTCTTAATGCACCTATTATGTCAGAATTTAAAAGTCTCTTAGTTACAAAGAATATGAGGAATCTGCTGGGTTTTCACATTGCATTTTAATTTCTCACAGTCTTAAGTGTGAAAATGTAAGACAAAGGAAAATGTTTCTTTTTGGAATTAAGGAAAAAAACATACCAATAGGGGTTCCAGCAGGTCTTGTTTCATTTGGCAGTAATTCATCTCCCTCAGGCCAAGTTACAGACAATCTATCAGGGAGCCTATTATGACACCACATTAATGTTTCACAAACTGTATTAATTACAAACTTAATTAAAAACAAAAGTTATGAGAACTTTTAAAAACTGAGTTAACATTAGCTTACATATTTGAGAGTATACTTTCATGTCTCTTCAACGCATGTTACAACATACAAGAAACTTTAGTATTTTATGTATTTTTAATGAAACCTGAAATTCTATGTAGTAACATAAAAAGGTTTCCTACATAATGACTGTCATAACTCTTCAGAAAGTCAAACAAGACCTTTGATATTATGAACCATGAATTATCCAAGTTTGTGTGATTTTTCTATGAATAGCACAAGTGGGGCCAGAAAGACAGTAGAAGATAGGGTGAGTGCCATGCACACAGTCAACCTGGGTTCAATTCCTGGCACTACCTGTGGTTGGCCAAGCTCACTAGGAGTGATCCCTGAGTGCAGAGCCAGGAGTAAGCCCTGAGTACTGCAGGGTATGGCCAAAATCCAAAACCAAAAACAAACCAACAATAAAAAAAGCACAAGTAATATGTTAAGAAACAGGATTGTTGTTCAAGAACAGATGTGAGGCTGAAGATAATTCAATTGATAGGGCATCTGCCTTGAATGTGGATGACCTGGGTTCAATCCATGGCATCCTATATGGTCCCTAAACCCTTCCAGGTGTAATTCCTGACTGCAGAGCCAGGAGTAACCCTTGAGTACTGTAGGGTGTGGCCCCAAAACAAAACAAAAACAAAAGAAATACCTTCAGTGAGATTTGGTGACAATTAAAGTAAGTGCATTACTAGCAATATAAACCAAAGTGTTGTTGTTCTGCTTTCTTTTTGTGTCTTTAAGTACTAATCTACCTCTTAGGAAGTTTCTCCAATTTTCTTTTACAGGACAAAGAACTATTTTTAAATCTTTCTGAAATTTAGTTCCTGAAACAGTTACATTTAAGAATCGATAATTTTCAGGGTCGGAGAGATAGTACAGTGGTGAGGGACCTTGCCCCTATACACAGCCAACTGGGTGTAATTTCAAGCACCCTGTATGGTCTCCCAAGCACAACCAGGAGTAATTCCCGAGTGCAGAGCCAGGACGTACCCTTGAACATTACTGGGTGTAGGCCCCCCCAAAAATAATAATAATAAATTTTTCATTCTAATACAGGATTTCCTAACTAGAACTGTCTATTTTATTAATAACACGAAATTTGTTACAATTCATACTCTAGGATACAAATTCCTTATGAGAAGAGTAATGGTGTGCTAAAGAAGTTGAAAGCATGAAGATTTCTTTTGATTTCTTATTTCTGTCCTGCATCTTGAAAATGTGACTTACCTTGCCATTTCATCTTCTACATATTTTTTCACAGTTTTCTCAGCAACTGTTCTATCCAGCTTTGCAATTGGAATAGTTTTTATTTCATCATATAGTGCCTGAGGCTCCTGAATAAATTTATAAGAACATTTCAAAACTACTCAAATTTAGCTGTAAAGGAAGCATCCACTTATTCCAATACATATTACCCGAGCATATAAATTCTAATAGCTATTAACTGCAATATTTCTATTTTCATGTAACCTTTTAAAGACTAATTCAAGAACATGTAAATATTAACAAAAGCACAGCATAAGGATAAAAAAATGGCTTTGGGGTTAATTTTTTCTAAAGATAAGGGTCTAGCTACATTATGGCCCTAGAAGAAAATATGCACTTTACAAAATTACTGTGATAATTTGGAATAATGTATGTATGTAAAATTCTGGCCACTGATGATAGTCTATAGATTATTAACATATATGAAACAAAAGACTAATTCTAAGACAACTTTATCCAATAGAAAAGTCCAGTGGAACCAAAACATAAAACACTTCATATTTCAACACTTAAGCAAAAGTTGTACCATGAGACTCTCAATATGTAAAAAAAAAATTTCTGCCTTACCATTGCAATTTGAACTTCTCCTCCTGTAGCATACACTTCACCATCGTGGTCACCATAAAGAAAAAATTTGACTATGCTCCCATAAAAAAGAGGAAGTGTCTTGATTGTCTTGACCTAGTATTTAGTTTTTAAAAAGACCTTAGAGTCAATATTTACCAAAAGAAACACCTGATATTATCATAATCACAGAACTATTTCTGTATTAAAAAAATTACTGAAGATAGCATCCTAGTATATTCTAATAGTTAAGTGTGCAAAGTCCAGTAATTTAAAAAAATGTCTATTAATTGCATTGCACCGGAGACCATACAGATGTCAGGGATTAAACAGGGGTTGGATTCATGCAAGGAAGCACCTTACCCACTGTGCCACCTCTCCAGACTCTGAATTATGTTTTTGTTTTTGAAGCAGATCAAAACATAAAATCACTGGTTGTATAGAAGCACTATTCCTACATTTTTTTTGAGAAGGCTGCACACTGTTTTCCATAAAGGCTGAAGCAGACCAACAGTAGGTATAGGTTCCTTTTTCACCTGATCCCTGCCAACACTCATCCCCCCACACTTTTTGGATCACACCTGGCGACGCACAGGGGTTACTCCTGGCTCATACACTCAGGAATTACTCCTGGTGATACTCGGGGAACCATATGGGATGCTGGGAATCGAACCCAGGTCGGCTGCGTACAAGGCAAACGTCCTACCCACTGCTATTGCTCCCGCCCCCCAACACTCAAATTTTATGATCTTGAACTTGTTGACAGATGCCAATTTTCACTTGCATGAAATTCTATCTCATCATTTTGATCTTCAGTGCCCAGATATCAAGGTATAAAGATTGTCTCATATGCCTACTGACTATTTGTAAGCCCTTTTTGGAGAAGTATTTGATCATTTCCTTTCCCTGTCTTTTAATAAGGGTACTTGTTTTATTGTTGCTAAACTTTTTTTTTCTTTTTATCATGGATATTGCCCCTTATCAGATGAATGATGTGCAAAAGAGTTTGATCCCGTTCAGTGGGGTGTCTTTTCATTTTAGCCTGGGTTTTTTTTCCATGTCAGGCAAAACTGCTTTAGTTTGATATAGCCCATTTGTTTTTGCCAATGGAGAAAAACATTGATGACACTATTATAAAGTCCATATCCCAGAAAGTTCTGCCTATGTCTTCCTCAAGTGCAACTCAATCTTCGTAAAGACAGCTAAGTCTTCATACAAAAATGTCATGGTGGTGGACAAATTTAGATACACAGCACCATCAAAATACATTAGGAATGCTCAAGCTCCTCAATCGTTTTTGTCCCCATAAAGTTCTGCTTTCAGACTAGAGTAACATAAGTTCTGTTCAGCTTATTTCTTTCAAACAGACTAATTTTTCCCTAAGATAATTTCCTGTACTTGACTTGAAAAAACCTACCATAATTCCCTTTCATTACACTCAAATTCCTGAGAATTCCAGAGTTTATATCCAACTTACCTTACTGGTTTTGATCCTAAACAATTTCTCCTCACATGTACACTCTACCTGGCAGGAGAAGCGGACTCTGCTGCCTCCCATTTCCCTCTACAGCCTTGGATCTTTGTAATTTAGATGATCTTCTCTGAGAAAGTATCAAATAGTATTTATTTGAAAGACCAATTACTTCCTACTTCTTATAACTCTTTTTCTGAGTTCAGGGACACCATATTTTCCTAGGTTCCCTCTGCCTCACTAGCTTACAGCCTTCAATCTCCTTCACTAACTCTTCCTTAGAAAGTCAAACTATAGCTAATGTCATAACTTCTAGGTGATCCACTCTAATTCCAAGGCTTCAAATTTATGACATTCTGAGAAAAATGGGCTACTATCTTTGTGACTATGTGTGTAAAGTCAGGTCTCGGCCTCTTCCAAGTTACATATAAATGCCACCTCCTTTTGTGGAATTTCGTGATTTAAATTTTAATTTAAAAAATTATACTATTTACTCTCTTCTCCCAACATTAAAAGTATAATACTTTCTTTTCTTAAAGTGCTACAGCATTATTCATCTTCTTTTCATTGCACTTTTCCCCTTCTATTATTTGTTTTTAGGTTGTCTCATTTGACAACTGTAACATCCCTAAGGACAAGTACAACTCCCAGATTTCAATATTCAGCAGATATTGAATAAAAATATACATGTTCATTACTACATTATAAAAAGGGGAGGGGGGTGTCACATTTGGTGGTACTCAAGGCTTACTATAGTGCCGTCACTGGTGGAGGGAAGTTGTCACTGGGGAAGGGAAGTGTTAAACACTGTATGCCTGAAACCCAATCATGAATAACTTTATTTTCACAATGAGTAAACTTTTAAAAATTTTTAAATATATATATATATAAAGCCATTTAAAATCATGTATGCTAACAATCAGTTTGATCTTTTCTCTCCTGGCTCCTGAGGGGTCAACGATATACATTATTTTTGGCCGCTATTAAATTCCAACATATCTGACTTAGTTTCAAATGCTACTAAAACAGATCTGACGTTAAACCTACCAGTTGTCCTGCTTTGTATATTTTTCCATCCCACTCTATTGCAGAGTACGTTGCCCAGGGACCCTGTTTTTTAGAAGGTAGATCAGGACGCGTAATTATTCCTTTGAAAAGTGTAAATTTTATTTGTTTGTCGTATTTTTCATGGCAATCCTTTAGCCATAAAGCAAATTCTCTGTCAATTTTCATTCTCTGTTCCTGTAAAAATTTTAAAAGTTTATGAAATATAGCAACTAGGAAATAGTAAAACAATCGATAACTTGTTATTATGTTCAACATACCTAAAAACAAAAATACTTTGCTGAATTTTTTTATCTTAGAAATTCATATTTCTAACAAAAGTAATGCTAAAAGAAAAAGAAACCATTGCTATCATTATCTTTGAAATCAAGGTCTCAAACTACAATGAGAACCTCAAAATTTTCCCACCCTTTAAACCTTAGGATACACTTAAAAACAACAACAAAAAGCATTTTAAAAAAAAGACCACTGTCGGGGTTAGATAGATAGCATAGTGGGTAGGGCGTTTGCCTTGCATGCGGCCAACCTGGGTTCGATTCCCAGTATCCCATATGGTCCCCTGAGCACTGCCAGGAGTAATTCCTGAGTGCAGAGCCAGGAGTAAACCCTGTGTATTGCCGGGCATGACCCATAAGGAAAAAAAAAAAAAAAGACCAGTGACTGCCTATAAAAGAAGAATTAGCTGGTGCTAGAGAAGTTAAGTGGATGCCATCTCACTATGAACTAATAACATTCTCAACAGGGTAGCAAAGTTTACAAGCATTGATATATATGCACAGAATAAACATATAGTATACTTATAATATTAAAATGTCGCTAGGGGCTATGGGAGGAGTAAAATAATAAAATAAAATAAAGCTAAGATGCTAAGATGCTAAAGAAAAAATGGGAAGAGGGAAAAACCAACCTAAAATACCTCTTGACTCCCTTTCACAAATTCAGAGGAATTAAATCATAAAATTGGAACTTTTTTAATGCATGTGATTTCTAAGATTCACAATAAAATGTGTGATTGCTTATCATTCTTCATCCCATTGAATTATACAGAATTGCAAGTGGCTATATTTTATGTTTAATACCCGATTTAGGGATACTGAATAGGGAAGACAACAGTATACATGTTGTCTATTCTTTGAAAACTCTATAGTATGTGTTTTCAAAGAATAGACAACATGTATAAAGTTACACAAGTTCATTTCTTCCAACACACCTAATTCCATTATATGCCACTTTCCAAAGGAAATTTAGACATTAATAATGACTTCAGGTTAATTTTTTGCAACATTCAATTAGAGGATCATTAAAATAATGACTTTGAATAAGAGCATCATAAAAGAACCAAAAGATAATTCAGCGGGTGGGGTGTTTGCTTGTCTTGTGTATGGCTAATCTGGAATCCCATATGTCCTCTGAACCCTGCCAGGAGTGATTCCTGAGCATATCCCCCACCCGACAGGAGAAGAATTGTGACTCAAGGATGGAGAAATCATTCAATGGGTTAAGAATATACTTAAGAATATACTTCATAAGCATGAGGATCAGATTTAACTCTTACCACTAATGTTTACGCCATCCCCTACTTCTGCTGGGCTTGACCAAAAACCAAATTAAAATGTGGGGTTAGACTCCACATGAGGCTGCAAAAAATTTGGCAACAACCAAACACTGAAACAGTAGAAGGGTTTCTTAGCATACAACATACAAAAATTCAAAATCAAATGTGTAATGAGAATCCAAGGTGCTCCTGGCAGTCCTTGCCTGAGCGTTTCATGGACACAAAGGGTTCACAGAGAGTCAAAGCCTAAGATGCCTGCTCTGATACACTATCCAATCTAAAAATATTTTTCTTCTATTAACTCATGTATTTTATACAGACCACCTTTTACTCTCAAAGCATTTTATTTTTACCTCAATTTCACAATCAAGATTGGATTAATTAGACTTAGGTCACTAATATGCAAACAAGTATCAGAGAAAGCCCTAAAATGGGCATGTTTCTATAGCTCCCATACCTATATCCTGGTCTTGAGATTCAGATTTAACAAAGATCTATCAATTTTACTCAAACATGGCCCAATTAGTTTGAAATTAAGTGGTTTCATTTGACACCTATAAGAATTCATAAGGACTGGAGTGATACCACAGCGGTAGGGCCTTGTGTGCAGCCAGCCCAGTCGAGCTGGGTTTGATTGCTCCGCCCCTCTCGGAGCGCCCGGTAAGCTACCAAAAGTATCTCGCCTGCGCGGCAAAGCCTGGCAAGCTACCCATGACGTATTCAATATGCCAAACACAGTAACAACAAGTCTCAAAATGGAGATGTTACTGGGCCCGCTCGAGCAAATCGATGAACAACGGGAGGACAGGAATCCATAAATGTTCTTAAAGAAAAAACCGTGTTTTTCACTAAGACAGGGAAAAGTCAGCATAAATCTATATTATTATTTTTCTTTACTTAAAATACATGATTAGAAAATATCTTGGAAATGTAATATTTAAAATCCTACCTGTCCATTTAAAATCCGTGTAAAAAGGGTGTTCTTATCTTTCAATTTTAGTTCAAGATCCATAAAAGTCAGCTTATTTGTGCTGACCTGGAATTTGTCATTAGTGAATAATGCGCCAGATATTCTATTATAGCACTCAATGGGTGCAAGCCCTCTCTTCTTAGGAGGTGTACACCAGTCAAAGCTTGAACAAAACAAAACATCCATTAGTATATAGAAAGGTCAGGTTATTAGAATATATAATCTTAGTGAAACTGAAAACTTACTCTTCAACAGATGTATATGGTATCAGTCGTCCATTCCAAAAACATTCAAAAATAGGCCTTTTACCTCTTGCTGCTTTATCAAGTACGAGAAAATCGTCATCGTCATCTTCATCCTTTAATTCTAGAACAAAGGAGGAAGTGGAATAAGATGGCTAATATAAAGTTTACACAATTTCTATCACTGCGAAGTCAATTTCTGTTAAATTCTGCTTCATAGAAATGCTTTAAAAAACAAAAAAACCTCTTCATAATTTGTTCTAAAAAAAAAATCTACACGTTAAAAATCATGAACATAGGGGCTGGAGCAATAGCACAGCGGGTAGGGCATTTGCCTTGCACACGGTCAACCAGGGTTCGATTCCCAGCATCCCATATGGTCCCCCGAGCACCGCCAGGAGTAATTCCTGAGTGCATGAGCCAGGAGTAACTCCTGTGCAATGCCAGGTGTGACCCAAAAAGAAAAAAAAAAAAAAAAACATGAACGTGGGGCCAGAGCAATAGCATAGAGGGGTAGGGCAACTTCCTTGTATGTGGATGACCCAGGCTCCATCCCCAGCACCACAGATCGTCCCCCGAGCGCTACTAGGAATAATCCCTGAGCACAGAGCCAGAACAGCAGTGACCTCTGGTCACTGCCAGTTGGGGCCCCCAAATAAACAAAACCAAAAAACTTCATGATATCTACAAAGAAAATGGGAAGAAAAATATGAAGAATATATAATAGGTTAATACTTAGTACACAGCAAAAAAAGTTAATAGATAAATGAGAAAATACAGAGTACTTCATAGAGTCAGTGCTTTATTCCTCTGTATCTTAAGATTTACATATGGAAAAAAATTATTATTCACCTAATCCTAACAGGCCAGCTAAAAATCATAAGTTTAAAACAAACAAAAGAAGTCACTAGTCTAGGAGCTGGACTGATAGCACGGTGGGAAGGGCATTTGCCTTACACACGGCCAACCTGGGTTCAATTCCCGGCATCCCATATAGTCCCCTGAGCACCGCCAGGAGTAATACCTGAGTGCATGAACCAGGAGTGACCCCTGTGCATCACCGGTGTGAAACCTCCCCCCCCACCCCCAAAAAATAAGTCACTAGTCTAAATTACACCTTTACAGTTTAAAAAAATAAAATAAACATACTTGATGGAAAGCATGGATCATCAGGGTAAGTTTCTCTATCATATAAAAATGGGTGATATCGAATAATCCCTTCTACTACACCATCTCCTTCAACATGAGCCTTGAACTCAAAACTATCAGATGCTGTGTTTATATACAGTGTCTGCATGTCATCTTGTATTTCCCTTAAGTTGACAATTTTAGGTGTCTTCCCTTTTTCAAACAGAGAAATCTAAAATAGAAATAGAACAAAAATAATTAAATTCTGTGATGACTACTTTCTTTCTCAGCTATGATCCAACAACAAATAAAAATCTACTTTTATATATAGAAGCATTTAGGATATTAAATGTACATATTTATTTACGGGTTTAAAGTTAAGTAGCATGTTAATATATTAAAAAATAGAAAGCAAGAAAGAGCAAAGTAGAAATGAAAGGCTGGCAAGTCATGAGTACATTTAATTCAAACTTTTTTGGTAGAGGTAAGCAGAAAAATAATGTATGTGAAATACTAATATATGGACAAAGATACTGAGAATCAAACACTCAAATGTTTTATGCATCCAAATCTTGCTTCAGCATCGTAAGGCTGCTATGAACAAAACAGAAGCTATTTGTTTCTTTTCCTCCCTGCTTTGAAATATGATGTTCAGCAACAACTAATAGCTTTTGTAGAAAAGGAAGATAAAGTACTACAATAAAAAATATTGCCAGAAAAACATTACAACACATAGAAATATATGTTCTCTTTAAACATTTTTTTTTTAAATTGGTCACCAAAAAACTAGAACGAGAATAATAAAATCTTACTTCAATCTCAATATTGTTGAAAGGTCCGGCTTCTTGGGATGTTCGTTTTTCATTTCCTTTTGGGCCATGAATATAGTAATGATAAATATGCCTTAAACACAGAATATTTTATAAATTTAATCCACATAAAATTACCATATAGAAACTCTTCGATCAAAAGCTTGTGTTAGCATTATCAAAAAGATGCTAAGGCAGTCTATTATTAAACTTTTTGAAGCACAGCATTTCATTTAATGGGTAAGAACAATTCTGAGATGCAGGTATTGATAATCCTCATTTTATAGAGAAATTAGATGCAAGTAGTTTACACAGTTTTCTTAAGGTTTTTTCACTTTCTTAAAAAACTTCCTTAAGTTTTGGGGACTGGAGCTATAGTACAGTGGGTATGGAATTTGCTTTGCAAGCTGCTGATCCAGGTTCAATTCCTGGCATTTCACATGGTCCCCCAAGCACTGCCAGGAGTAATTCTTAAATACAGACCCAGAAGTAAGTCCTGAGCATCTTCAGGTATGACCCAAAAAGGAAAAAAAAAAAAAAACTGAAACATTAAGTTTTCCCAAAAAGGAAAAAAAAACCTGAAACACTAAGTTTTCCTTTTTTCTCAACTAGAGTTGAGAAAGGTGGCCTTCAATTCAAGGCTTTCCAAATTCAAAGTCCACAAACTTTGCACCTCAAAAAATTCAACAAGGGGCTGGAGTAATAGCACAGCGGGTAGGGCGTTTGCCTTGCACGCAGCCAACATGACCAACCCAGGTTTGATTCCTAGCATCCCATATGGTCCCCTGAGCACCGCCAGGAGTAATTCCTGAGTGCATGAACCAGGAGTAACCCCTGAGCATCGCTGGGTGTGACCCAAAAAGCAAAAAAAAAAAAAAAAAAAAAATCAACAAGGGGGAATGGTGCAGCCAGCAGGTCAATCTATACCTGTAAGGTGAGTGCATCAGCAGCCTGATGGTGCCTTCAGACTTCCAGATACCCCAAAATTGCTGTGACTTTGGTCAGACCACAAAAACTTGGGGCAAAGTTTACCGAGAAAGAAAACAGCAAAAAGTTAGGTATGTGGGAAACACACCCACAAACCACCTCCGGCTCAGCTATATAATTGGAGGCATGGCCTCTATGGTTCCTGATTGAACTGCTTAATGGCCATGATCCCAGAGACTCAGAAACAAATCTCAAAACCCAGCAGCCTTTGGCAGAAATGCGTCCAGTCCCTGCGGTAGGTTACCGGTGCTGGGCCAACCCAGGTGGGAATAGGTTTCGTGCCTTGGTCTGTTCCCCCTGGCGGCCCGGTGGCCGCCATCCTCCAGAGGCAACTGGACAGTCAGGTTTGGAACCACAGTGACAAGACACGCAGGGCCTCACGGGATGGCCGGTCCTGTCCTCGCTGTCCCAACGAGACCCCGCAGTTATTGCCCACGAATGGCCTCTCTGGCTCCCGATCAAGCTGCTTAACGGCCATGATCCCAGAGACTCGGAAACAAATCTTGAAACCCAGTGGCTTTTGGCAGAAATGTGTCCGACCCCGCAGTACGTTACTGTTGCCGGGCCACCCCAGGGGGGAAAGGGTGCTGTCCCTCTACCTGCTCCCCCTTGGTGGCTCGGTGGCTACCATCCTCCAGAGGACATTGGACAGTCAGGCTTGGGCCCGCAGTGATGAGACATGTTGGGCCTCACGGGATGGGGGTGGAGCCAGTCCTGTCTTCCCCGTCCCAACAAGACCCCAAGTAATCGCCCACGAATGGCCTTTCTGGCTCCTGCTCAAGTTGCTTAATGGCCATGATCCCAGAGACTCGGAACCCAGCAGGTTTGGGCAGAAATCCCTCCAGATTTAATAGTTAAAATTTCTGAATTTCAAAATTGCGCAGCTACTACTGCAGCCACGCGACATCATGTATTATTCATAACCAGCAATAGAAAACAAATTGTCTACTGTTGCCTTTTCAGCAGATCTGAGTGTTGGGGTAAAATCTCAAATAATAATGGTGGGCCTGGTGTCAAAATATTGAATGTGATCAAAGTAGAGAGTAATGTGGCAATCATCTGCCCCACAGGTAAGGGGAGGGTGTGGGATGGGGGTATACTGGGGTTGTTGGGGGTGGAGAATGGGCACTGGTGAAGGTACGGGTGTTTCAGTGTCTGACCAAAGCTTTGTAACTGCTCTCACAGTGATTCAATAAATAAAATTAAAAAATGGAAAAAAAAAAAGTAAGGTGGAGGTCATGCACAATTCAATCAGCTAATCAGTGGCTGAATAAATAGCAGTACTCTTACGTTAAAAAAAATTTCAACAAAACCAACTGGAAGGCAAAATTTTAATTCTATCTTTCAAGGGTATTTAACAAGAACTGAAATGTCCAGAACTGTATAGAAATGCTTATCTTAACACCAGCAAATCATTCTGTAACTCGCATCTCTCCTCCCCTCTATGACAATGTTTTGTTTTTAGCCATATCCAGCAGTATTCAAGAGCTACTCCCAGTTCTGTGCACTTGGGAGGTCACTCCTGGCAGTGTCCAGGGAACCATCAGGGTACCAGTTACTATAGGAGCAAAGCAGACAAACATGGCTGTGATGTATTTACAGAATGTTGTCTTAAGAAACATAACATGCTCTGAATCAAATAGAATTACTTACGTTAACTGTCTTGTCCAAAGATGGAAATGATTTTTCAAGTATAGTATGTGATCTGGCTGCACCCCTGTGATGATCACAGCAGTAAAGCTCTCTTTATCCTTCTCCTCTGAGATAAGATGATGCAGAAATCTCTCATCATCATTTGTAATGTGAACAGAATCAGAAGGCTACAAGAGTGAATACAGACACAACAGATTAGACGCTCTGTAAATATGCAAATAACATTTACTTCTGCCTCTCATGATTCACTTGGATAGACAGTATCAGAGGCTTTAAAAAAAACCTTTTTGTGGAAAGAGACTAAATATAAGTCAGATGAATATATGGCAATGCTGACAACAAGGGAACTCTATATAGATTATTGGACTGTGATTATAAATGATACCCTAACCATAATTGCAAGTGATTTTAGAATAAAAAAGTAAAAGTAAAGGCCCTCCCGTTGATCATCGATTTGCTCGAGCGGGCCCAGTAATGTCTCCATTGGAGACTTTGTTGTTACTGTGTCTGGCATATTGAATAAGTCATGGGTAGCTTGCCAGGCTCTGCCGTGCGGGCGAGATACTCTCGGTAGCTTGCCGGGCTCTCCGAGAGGGGCAGAGAAATTGAACTTGGGTCGGCCATGTTGGCTGCGTGCAAGGCAAACGCCCTACCGCTGTGCTAGGAAAAGAAAAATACTGAGCTGAAAATCCCAGGGAAAAAAATGAGGATACTTAGCACCCTACAATGGGATGAAACCTTGTTTGGATAGCTACCACTTAACCAACAACCAGTCCTATGTGCATAAGAAAAATAGGAGGACACAGCCTGAACACTGCTGGCTGCTCCCAAAACAGTGCTCAGAAGGCAGTTAAAAAAATTTTTTTAGGTTCCAGGTCTTTTTCAGAGACTGTTCATACCTTGCAAAAGGGAAGTGGGGGGTGAGGTGTCTGATTCAATTAAAACACACACGCACAGAATAACAGGACAAGGGTACCCAAGGTATCAAAGAGGGAACACTTAGATTACCTTGGTCCCTAGATTAAAGAACTGAGGACAGGGAACTGAGGGGGGAAGTAAACAGAGGTAGACAAGACGCAACAGGGGCAAAGACCGTGACATAATGGTGACACAGAGCTGTGGTCCACCTATGTGTCTGGACCACAGAGCCAATAAAACTGACAGCAGGAGATCCAAACTACAGTGACCAAACTCAGAAATGCCCCAGACTGGAAGGGAAACGAGGGACACTGGTGGAGGAAAGCTGACACAGGTGATGGGACTGGTCGCAGAACACCAGTTTTTTAAAAAAAATAATAATAAACATATACTATTTAAATTCTTAATAAAAAACAAAAACAAAAAACCGAGGGCTGGAGCAATAGTACAGCGGGGTAGGGCGTTTGCCTTGAATGCGGCTGACCTGGATTTGATCCCCAGCATCCCATATGGACCCCCAAGCACCACCAAAAGTAATTCCTGAGTTCAGAGCCAGGAGTAACCCCTGAGCATCGCTGGGTGCGACCCCAAAATAAAATAAATAAATAAATAATAAAAAACATAAGACCTCTCCTCAAACATTCTTGGTTTAGTCACTACCACCACCAATAAATAAAGTGCCTATACTGGTTTGTCTATTTTTTTTAAACAATAAAGTCTAACTTGTCTAAAGTTAGAAGTCTAAAGTCTAAAGTCTTAAAATTACTGACAAAAGATAGTAATCTGGCTGTTGATGGGATAACACGGCGCTGGGGGCAACTGGAGGGTGTAACACCTATATACTGGAAGATGGGGGATCTGGGTGGAGGAGGCCCAGTCCCAATCTGAGCAGGCTTGAAGATCTCAGCGCCGGGTCCCGCACACCTGGGTTCCTCTGCTGGTTCCTTCATACGTGAGGCTCGTCTGAACGTGTGGAGAGTGGTCTTAAGCATGGCTGTGGCTGGTTCTGGAGGTCTTCAGCTGCCGGGGCTCTGCTCGGGGTGGGAAGGGAAACTCAACCCACTCCCCTCCAAGGAACAGCCAGGCACGGGGGAGACTCTGCGCTGTTCTCTTCCGGGAAGATTCCCCCATCCTCCAGTAGCTAGGCGTTACACCCACCAACGGCCAAGACCCAGGGACTATAAAACCCAGCTTGCAGATGGAAAGATAAGCATGGGAAAACTTTTGGCTACTAAGTCTACCAGTAATTTAAGAAAATGTTACTATCATCCATTCAACTGCCAGCAATGGGCCAGGCCAGAGAGACAGCAAAGGTAAGGTGCTCTCTGTGCCTATGTGAGAACCCTGGGTTCAATCCCCAGCAACACAGTAATAATAATTTTAACAATCAGCGGGTAAAACTTAAAAGTTCTAAGTTGTTTCAAATAACAAAAAACTGAACAGCAGGGGCCGGAACAATAGTACAGCAGGTAGGGCATTTGCCTTGCATGTGGCCGACCCAGATTCAATCCGTGGCATCCCATATGGTTCCCCAAGCACCTCTAGGAGTAATTCCTGAGTGCTTAGCCAGGAGTAGCCCCTGAGCATTGTCGGGTGTGACCCCCCCCATCCTCCCCCCCCCCGGCAAAAAAAAAAAAAAGAGAGAGAGAAACAAAGAAAGAAAAGCTGAAGAGCAAAGTACTGCCATATTCTCACTACCAAGATTTAGATAAACTTTCTAAATGGTTTTGGTGGTTATTCCAGATTTTGACCCATACTCTCAGTGTTCGGAATCCAGGAGAGACCCCAGATCTGCTCAGCAGGCCAGATGTGCTTCCAGGCAATCAAAGCTATATTCTAGTTTATTGAAATTAGAATTTGAGAGGAAATTTTAATAAATCAGTCATTTTTCTACAAAGTCATTTCGTATCACTAGTTTTGATTCTAGCAGTGTGATTATTATACAACAAGATTTACAAATTGAACAAGAAAAAATGTTTGCAATCTTAATATATCATACAGAAATAGAAAGATATTCTGGTTCTATTCTCTATCCAAAGTAATGATTGTAATAAATGCACATTAATGACATAAAATGCATTGTACCTTTCTGTTCCTAATATATCCACTGTATATTGCCTCTTTATTTTTCTCCTTCTTCTCAAAATCTTCTTTAGAAAGCATAAGCTCATGAACATCTTGAGAATCAGCAGGTTTGCTTATCATCTATTAAATATTAAAAAAGAAGATTCTTAAAAGTTCTTAAGAGACACTATTAACACATTAGATGGAATTAACCTAAAATTAACTGATGAGCTTTCATCTGTAAGAAAACTTTTTACTTACTCTGGCTGATTGTCCAACGAAAAACACTGCCTGCTTTCCCCCAACACCAAAATAGGAAATGTCACTATTTAAACTGCGTGGCACTGGTACCGGACGGACATATCCTGAATGATCACTGAAATAAAACATTGCAAAAATATTTAGCTGTCTAGAGAAACTGGCATAGCACTTAAAAGTGTTACTAAAATGATACCCCTCTCTCAAAAGATCAAAAATAGGCACAATCCTCATTCCAAAAGTAGCCCATATCTTTAAACAGAGATGTGTAATTCCTTTCTATTACTTCATGCAGAACTCTCGCAGACTCTATCTCGTATGAAGAAGCCTACCTTTTCTGAAATTCATCTTTCTTTTATTTTTACTGATAGGTCCCTAAATAGAACTTTTTTCATTAAAAAAAAAAAAACCCTGAAAACTCCTGTATAGCCCAGTGTGACTGTAACCATTGGTATTGTGGCATCTTTTCACATACCATGTCCTTCACAGTCTACTTACATAAGCAAAGATGCAGGAACAATTCAACTATCCAGTACCATGAGAAGACAACGAAGTTGTGATATATACAGACACAGTGGAATACTACTCAGATACAGGAAAAAATTAGATCTGGTCTTTTGCTACAACTTGTTTGGTGCTGAGCGGGCAGGGGGTGGGGGGGAGATGTTTTACCAGGGGTCTTGTTAAGTGAGTCAATGGAGAAGGAAAAATACTGTATTATACCACTCATATATTACATTTAAAAAAAAAATAGAAAGTACAAGAATGAATAGTATCTGATGAAAACACTCCATTGAACTTTGGACACAGAACTCAACCTCAATTCTGTATTCAGAGTTCAAGGGAGTGTTTTGTACCAAAAGCAGGCTGGGGGAAAAGAAGGCAGAAAAGATGAAAAACACTGGGGCACAGTCTTGGACTCACTTAGTGCTGAAGAGAGAGTATTTTTTTCTAACTCCATGAATAAAAACAATATTTCTGTATCATATTTTGCATACCACACATTATTTTATACATCAAATAAAAACACAAAAAATATTCTATATTCTAACAATGCTACCTCAGTTACAATAATGAAACAAAAGGACCCCAAAAAGTTACTCAAATGTTAAAAAGGCAGAACCCAAAGTCAAGATATCATCCAGTCTAGTGGTCCTCAAAGTGTTTACCAGAACCAGCTACATCAACATTCCCTGGAAACTGGAGGAAAGCACGGTTTGTGGGCCCATCCCACTACATTTTGAAATGAGCTTTCTCGATTAAATAAATATATCCGTATGTATCCTTCAGCACCTAGATAGAACCAGCTTTCCAAATTATTTAATGCTCCTGAATATTTTAAATAGTGTCGGAATAATAATAATTGAAACCAATTTCTTTTTCTAGGCATTATTAACAAATGAATCTCCAACTGTGCCATAACAACACAGAGAACAGGCACACCGTAGTCTCTCAAGTCTCCAGAGACACCATTTTCCAACATCATAAATAAATCATTGGGATGAGGCTGGAACTAGTGTTATACTTAGTGGAAAGGGTAAAGAGGTTTGGAAGAGATGGAAGAATTTAAGAATACAAATTATACTCAAAGAACTTACCCACAATAACTGAAGAAAGGATCAGAAAATATCAAAATGGGTAAAAAGACATGAACAACTAAAGAAAAATACTTCACACAAGTTTAAAATGTTCTAGAAAGAGGAGGAAAGAATAACAGCTACAATTTTTATTGATCAAACATAAGATAGGATCCCACCAGATCCAAACCAAAAGAGCTCAAACAAGATGAAGGGAAGGAAATCTACAATGCAGTAAACACCAAAAGTAAGACAGATGTAGAAAACAGGTCGAAAATTTACTCCTGATAAAACAGTTTATCAGCAGGCTTTGATAGCAACAGTGAAAGACAGAAGAGTATAACCCCAGAAAATGCACAGAGAAAAATCTGTCAGCCCACAACTGTGAGTTGCAGCTAAATAAAAGGCTTACTGCTAAGGCTGGAGTGCAGACTTCCCAACCCAGGGATAAGGTTCCACCCTGGGACTAGACCAGTACTTCCAGGGATGGAACCTCAAGCATCAAGCCTGAAGTAGCCCCTGAGCATCACCAATACTTACAAATAAACCAGTTATTTTTTAAAAAGCAAATTTATCTCCAAGAAATTTCCTTTAAGGAATGTTCCCGGGTGGGAGTGCCTGCCTGCTCCCCCACACCAATCAACCAGGTGCGCTTCCATCCTCCCCCCAGAAAAGAGATGCTTCTATCATCATGATAAAAGGTAAGGTAAAGGCCCTCCCGTTGATCGTCGATTTGCTCGAGCGGGCCCAGTAACGTCTCCATTGGAGACTTTGTTGTTACTGTGTCTGGCATATCGAATACTCTCGGTAGCTTGCCGGGCTCTCCGAGAGGGGCGGAGGAATCGAACTCGGGGCGGCAATGTTGGCCGCGTGTAAGGCGAACGCCCTACCCGCTGTGCTATCGCTCCAGCCCATATCATCAGCTCCATATCATATCATCAGCTCCATATCATCATGATATGCACTGAATATGTTTCTAAAATGTTTTTGATGTGATATTGAGGAGCCAGAGCGTTAGTACAGTAGGTCGGGTGTTTGCCATGCACGTAGCAGACCCAGGTGTGACTCTCAGCATCCTGTACTCTCCCTTCGCACTGCGAAGAGTAAATCCTAAGTGCAGAGACAGGAATAATCCTTGAGCACTGCTGGGTTTGGCCCCAAAACAAACCTCACAAAATGTGCTGGGGTGGGCAGAGAGATAGTATGGCACTTGTCTGGTAAGTGGTCAGTTCTCATTTGATCTCTGACACTGCTATAATCCCCTAAGCATTCTCAAGAGTTTAGTTGTGAGCACAGCTCTATGTAGCTCCCAAAACAAAAAGAAAACAAAGTGTTGTAGAAATAGCATGAAGGGCCATGGAGAAAGCTCAAAGGGCTAGAGCACATTTACATAAAGGAAGCCCACATTCAATCCCTGGCACCACTGTGAGAGATTCCTGTGCACCGAGCCAGGAGTAGTCCCTGAGCACTGCTAGGTGTAGGGTGGAAACACTGGGACTGCAGAAATAGCAGAGTGGGTAGGATGCTGGCCTTGCATGCAGCCCACTCAGTTTCGGTCCCCGGCATCCCATAAGGCCCCACAAGGAACAATCCAGAGTCATGAGTAAATAATGTGCACTGCCCGGCTGGACACCCCCAATACAAAATAAGTGTTTATGTACCATGGAATTTCTAAAAAGTCATACTTGGATGATCCAATTAGTCACACGACAAGAACAGCACCAGCAAGGGCAAGAAAATCCTAAAAATACTCTACCTTGGGAGCTAGAGCGATAGCACAGCAGGTAGGGCGTTTGCCTTGCACGCAGCCAACCCGGGTTCGATTCCCAGCATCCCATGTGGTCCCCCGAGCACCACCAGGAGTATTTCCTGAGTGCAGATCCAGGAGTAACCCCTATGCATTGCCGGGTGTGACCCAAAAAGAAAAAAAAAAGACCCCACCTAAAAAGACTGGAATAAATGAGTTCAATTAATTGGACCATATTTGATAGGGTTCAAATATGGTAACACCTAGAGGGCAATTAGAGGTCGCCCCAAAAGCCTCTATCCCACTCGGAAAGACTGGCAAGCTACCAAGAGTATTCAGCCCGCACGGCAGAGCCTGGCAAGCTATCCGTTGTGTATTCGATATGCCAAAACCAGTAATTCCAGTGGGTCTCATTCACCTGACCCTGAAGGCTTCAACAACGTGGCAGCACTGAGAAGGAGAAGAAAGGAGAGGCCGATAAAATCTCAAGGCCGAACTAGGCTGCCACAACAAAGGAAGACAAAAATGATCATCTGTACTTTCAATGCACGTACGCTAGCATCAGATGCATCCATCGAGGACCTGATGGTACAAGCGAGAAAGATCAAGTACGACATCATTGGTCTGACCAAGACAAGAAGGCACCAATCTCATCATGCCGTTTTCGACACTGGAGAACTGTTCCTCAGAACATGTTATAAAAGAGGTGTTGGAGGCATCGGTGTCCTTGTCAACACAAACTTGGCCATGAGCATTGATTCATTCGAATGCCTAACAACCCGAATCGGACGTTTACATTTGAATAGATGTGGCTCACTGCCGGCAGTTTCTATCTTCGTTGTCTACGCACCCAACATCTAATTATGATAAAGGAGAAATTGAGAAGTTCTACATGGAGCTAGAGAAGTTCTATAAAGAAGACCACACCTTCTACAAGATCATTGTGGGTGATTTTAATGCCAAGATAGGACCGAGAAGATCAGCTGAAGAACTTCACATCGGGACCCATGGCCTAGAATGGAACGAACAGGGTGAGAGACTGTCTGAGTTCATCATGTCGACCAAGACCATTCATGGTAACTCACAGTTTCAGAAGGCTGAATCTAAACATTGGACATGGGAGTCTCCCGGTGGACGATTCCACAATGAAATAGACCACATCATATTCAATTGACGGTTTTGCCTGACCAATGTTGCTGTTGTCCCAAAATTCCAAACGGGATCGGACCACCATCTCCTTCGTGCAAAATTCTACTTCACAGAACAGGGAGAAAGGGCTGCAAAGTTTAAAAAGAGAACTCCCAGAACGACCGCCAACTGGGAGCTCTTTGGCACTATTGCGGCAATATGGGAAGATGCCATTGTTGACAACATTGACGAGGAATATGACTGACTGGTTCAGCACCTCCATGATTGTGAGAAGAACGCCAAGAGAGAGATAGCCACAAAAAAAACGCCTGTCTTCGAAAACTCTTGAGCTTATTCGCCAACGTGGTTTGGCGCATGCCTCAGGCAACCTCAAGCGAACGTCCGAGCTCGCAAAGCAGTATAGAGATGCGATCAAGGAAGACCTCAAAGAGAGAAGAGCAGAAGCGCTGGTAGATGCGGCAAAAGCTGGGAAAAGTATTCGTAACGCCCGCCTGTCCTTCACCAACTACAAGACCAAGATGACTGCCCTCTGACGTCCTGATGGATCTATCACATCCTCCAGAATGGCAATGGAGAAGATTATCCATGACTTCTACTCAAATCTCTTCGATAGCCATGTCCACTTGCCGACATACCAAATTCCACAGGATGGATATGTCGTTCCCAATGTTCTCCCTTCCGAAATCTGACACGCCATTTCATCAGTGAAGAAATGGACAGCACCCGGCCCAGACAAGGTCAGACCTGAACACCTGAAGAACCTGCCGTCAGTACTCATCAATACACTGGCTCGGCTATTCACACACTACCTGTCTGAATGCAAGATTCCGTCCCAATGGAAAACCAGCAGGACTGTAATACTGTTCAAGAAGGGAGACATCCATGATATTGGCAACTATCGCCTGATCTGCCTATTGTCTGTCATCTACAAGTTGTTCACTCGAGTCATCCTGAATAGGATTGGCAGAACACTAGATGAAGGACAACCATGCGAGCAAGCCGGGTTCCGGAAAGGATTCAGGACCATTAACCATATCCACATGATAACCAAGCTCATTGAGGTTTCTCGGGAGTTCAAGATGCCGCTCTGTTTAACGTTCACTGATTTAAAGAAGGCCTTTGATTCTGTTGAGACGGACGCAGTCATTGAAGCCCTAGCCAATCAGGGCATTCAAGCTCAATACATCAAGATACTCCGTGAGCTGTATTGCGGATTCACTACCAGGATCTCACCATTCTACAAAGAAATAATCATCGATGTCAAGAGAGGGGTTCGGCAGGGTGATACCATTTCACCGAAACTCTTCAGTGCCACCCTCGAGAACATCATGCGACGACTGGAATGGGAAGGAATGGGAGTGAAGATAGATGGTCGGCAACTACACCACCTCCGCTTTGCTGAGGACATTGTTTTAATAACACCAAACATCAGCCAAGTGGCACAAATGCTGGCCGACTTTGACCGTGAGTGTGGAAAGGTAGGACTACAGCTGAATCTTACGAAGACAATGTTTATGAGAAACAGTCTCGTTCCTGATGGACGCTCCATTCACTCTCAATGGAACGACCATCTCTGAATGCAACAGCTATGTGTACCTAGGTCGAGAAGTCAACATGACAAATGACCTGGCACCCAAGCTGCGCAGGAGGAAGAGAGTGGCTTGGAACGCCTTCAAGAGTGTCAAAGAAATAGCTAAGAGGACGAAGAACCTCCGGCTCTGGGCACATCTCTTTGATTCCACTGTTCTTCCTGCATTAACATATGCCTCAGAGACCTGGGCCCTACGCAAACAGGATGAGAACGCTATTCGGGTCTCCCAAAGAGGAATTGAAAGAGCTATGCTTGGAATATCACGTTTCACTCAAATGAGAGAAAGAATCCGGAGTTTCGACCTCCATCAACGATCAAGAATCAGGGATGCTGTCTCGTTTGCCAAGGTGTCAAAAATCAGATGGGCTGGTCATGTAATGAGATTTAAAGACGACTGCTGGACTAGAGCTGTTACCAACTGGATTCCACGGGATGTCAAAAGACCATGTGGCCACCCACCGACCAATGGTCAGACTTCTTCATCAAGATCATGAACGATCAGTTTGAGGCTGTTCATGTTCCTAGAGCGAACAGACGCCATTGGGCTACACTAGCATGCGACAGGGACAAATGGAGACATTACTGGCGCCTGCTCGAGCAATTCGACGATTAACGGGAAGTCAAGTGATCAAGTGATCAATTAATTGGAAGGATACAAAATTAATGCATGCAAATTCCATATGCATTGAAACACATAATACATATTTAATGTGCATTTCAATGTAACAAATATGAAATACAATGAGTTTGGGAAAGGGGAAGTTAAGAAAATAATCCTATTTACAATTTCATCAAAAAGATGAATGTCTGTTAGCAAAAATAACAAAGGAGGCAAAAGACCTAGATATGGCAAACTATGACATTACTAGAACAATAAACAGTTATAATAGCTAAGTTGGTAGAGCCTGTATGATACCAGAGTTCAAGCCCTTGAACTGGCCTACCCCCACCCCCAAAACCACTAGCATGTAGTGAGCAATAATGGGACAGAGCAGCAGACTATCAGGTGAGAAAAGGGAACTCTGTAGTTGGGAAACAGAACAGCAGCATCTATAGAAAATGACATAAAAGTCCCATAAAGAAATATAAAATTCTCTATTACCCAGCAATTTATCTGAGAAACATGAAAACACTCATTTCAAAGGAGATATGTACCCCTGTATTCATAGCAGAATTATTCACAGCAATCAAAACATGGAATCAACAAAAATGTCTACCAAAGATCACAAAATAAAGAAGGGTGCGCGCGCATGTGTGTGTGTGTGCCTGTGTGTGTGTACTCAAGGTCATACTTATTTACCATTAAAAATTATAAGACTGTTCATTTTAGGACAAATTATGATAAAACTTGAGTGATTACACTACACTAAAAAAGTAAAAGATAATTATCTATATGGTGACACAAACAAACCTTCGGGAATCAACAGTCACTTCTGAGATTCAGTGAAAACTAAGGTGGTTACTAGAAGGAAAGGGGAGGGGAACGGGTGAGAAAATGAACAGAGGATCCTTTTTGGAGACGGCACTAATATTTGGTCACAGAGTAGAGACAATTACATACACATATACAGAGGCAGAAAACTGAACTACAATCCCATGGAAATCAGTAAGTCAATGAAATAAAAAAAAAAATAAGAAATTTTCAATAAAAGGGTATACTCTGTAGTTTTCTTATTTTTACATATTGGCCATAAAAATTCTATATAAAGCCTAATAACATCAACATATCATGTGCTAATAACATCAAAATATCATAACAAAAAAATAATCAGAATTCCTACCTTATTAAAGTACCCAGCAGCATATAAAACAGACTAGGTTTACTAACCTTTCAAAGTCACCTTGCCTTGTGAATTTTGACAACCTATACACAGCCCAGTTGTTAAGTTGTTTAGAGGTCATTCCTCTTCCATTATCTATCACTGCAACAGCAGGTTTTCCTTGTGTTTCATCAAAAAGCTATAAAATAAGTTCAAAAAGAAAAGTTGAGTCAACATTAAAATTCATGAAAAGGTACTATTTCAAAACTGTAATTCAATGGGCTCCTGTACACATTGGTAGTAGTAGTATAAATCATTACGACTTTTGTTTTGTTGTTTTTTGTTTTGGGGCCAACCTGATGGTACTTTTGGCTCTGTGCTCAGGACTCACCTCACACTGAGGGACCCATGTGGTGCCAGGGATGAAACCAGGGTGGCCACATGAAAGGTAAGTGCCCTCCCCATTGTACTATGGCTCCATCCCCACAACTTTCTTTTTTGAGGCAAGGGAGTCGAAGCCAGGGAATCTCCCAAGTAGTCTGAGTGGGCCTGGGGCTACTCCTGCCAGGCTACTCCTGGGTCACACCAGGGCCCAGGACTACAGAGATGCACAGGTGCCACAGTGCTTGGAGACACTAAGGCCACCCTAACAGTGCTGAGAAGTCTCCAGAACTAAATCTAGTTATGTTGTCAGTATAGAACATGAGGTAACAGACGGAACTCGAGGTCCTGTTACCAACTGAGCCAATTTCCCGTGCTATTAGGAGTTTCTAAAATGCACTCGGAGAAATCAAGGTCTTAGAAATCTTCAAAACAGGGGCCCGCAGCAACAGTACTATGAATAGGACATTTGCCTTGCATGCAGCTGAACCTGATTCAGTCATTAGCATCCTACATGGTCTCACGACCACTGCCAGGAGTAACTCCTGGGTGCAGAGCCAGGAGTGACCCGAGTATTGCTGGGTGCGACTCAAAAGGACAAGAAATCTTCATAACCTTTAACTCACAAATTCTTCACTTCTGAATTTAGCTTAAGGAACTAAAAGGGAGTCAAGGACACAGTGTAAGGGGCTGGGACATATGCTTCGCATGTGAGAACCCAGGATTTGATCCTTATCACCACACGCCCTTCCTACTTGGAGTGTCCCATAAGCACTGAGCTGTAAGTACCTAAGCATCACTAGTGTGGTCCAAAGACCTAACAGGATGTTCATTGTACCAGTATTGCATACAATTGTAAAAGTATAGAAGGAGCCATGGGGGCGGGGGGGGGGGGGGGCAGGTGTACGGGGAGTCTTAAGTGATCAATGGTAGGTTGATAACATAATTTATAAGATAGTCAATTTAACTGTAACAGCGGAATATTATACTTAGAACATTCATGATAGGATTACAAAGTAACTGGTTAAGGGAAAATAAGGGAAAGTAGACTTAAAACTTAAAATATGATCACAAAAATATGTAAATACACATGCATGGAAAGAAGATACATAAAATTTTTTTGATAGAGGAGAGATGGTACAGTGGCTAAGGATGCACACAGCCAATTTGGGTTCAATCCGCCGCTGCAAGGAAGTGATCCCTGAGTACAGAGTCACAATTAGGCCCTGAGAAGAGCTGAGTGTGGCCCAAAAACAACAACAAAAGACAACATCAGGTAACTCACTTTTAACTTATTATCATTTTAAAACTGTTCTTTAATGCTAACTGCTTTAACATACTTTCTTTTTTTTGGAAAGGAAGCAGAAACATGGGTTATTTATTTATTTAGTTAGTTATTATCTCGAATACCCATCCCTCCACCAGTGCCCATTTCCCACCACCGCGGATCCCAGTATCCCTCCCTCCCCCCATACCCCTTATTCCACCCTGCCTCTGTGGCAGGGCATTCAACATGGGTTTTTTTTTATCAAATTTATTGGAAACTTACTGAGCACTCACTTTTGCTCAGTGTTTCCAATAAGTTTCCAGTAAGTTTCACCCCTGTCCCACCATAAGCATCATCACATTAAATCTGATAGCTGCCCTGAACTAGAGGGGTGGTGATTGTCCCCATTTTGCAGAGGAGGAAATGAAGGCTTAATAACATACTTTCTTACCAGCTTAATCTGTATTCGTCTAATACCGGTGTTGCGAGAAGTAGCAGACAATGAATTGTCAATTAATTCTGCAAGAGCAAAGGCTAAAAGAGAATAAAAAAATCATTATTGCTTAACTCTTCCCTCCCAGACGTCATATAAAAGTTCAAAATAGAAAAAACTCTTAAGTACCTTAAGCCACCACTTTTTCCTCCCAAAGAGCTATAATTAAAGTATTATCCTGATCCTAATGATACAATACACAAAAGGTATCATCACCAATCACCACCAGCATAAACAAGCAGTCATCAACCAGTATTTGCACTATAAGTCAAGCCAGTCATGACTCCTGGCTTGAAGTTTACAATCTAAAGACAGACATACAGACATAAGAGACCAAAAAAAGACCATAACCATAAAATCAAATAATAGTCTGTGGTATCCAATTTCAGTATGCACAAGTAAAAAGTAATCACATTTAGAGATCCAAGGGCAAATACAAAGAAACTATAAACATGTCTACTGATAGTTAATTTTTATATAGAGCTCTTATGACTAGTAACTTGTCAAATAGAAAAACATGCTCACTTAACTATACTGATTTCCTAATACAAAACCAACTTTGCATTGTTAACCAACAAAACTTCTGTCCTGCCCCCACTGAAATTTAATCAAACAAAATCTGTTATTAAAGGGTTCTACTTTCCAACAAACATTTACACACTATAAAACATTTATACAGGATGATTTTAGAAAGAGGATACCACAAATTATAGATTTGTGTAAGGACTTGGCTAAGGATAATGTCTACAAAAAATTTAAAAAATATTACACAGAATACTGTCACCGTCACTGTCAGAGAATACAATGGGGATAAAAGATTTAAGTCTGAAGGTGAAAAACTGAATAAAATTTGAAATATTTGATAATAAAAGGATAAAGGAAATCCTAGATGAATTTAAGCCTCTAACTATGTAAAATTGAATATATGATCTTATTTTCCAAAAGGGGAAATATTAGGGCTTGGGATATAGCTCAGCAGTAGATCACTTGCCTTGCATATGTGAGATTCTGGGTTTGATCCCAGGAAACACACAAAAAAATAAAAACAAAAAAAATTAGAGAAATGCTTACCCATTTACTATACTGAGCTCAGTTTAAAAGAGAGGGTTAGCAGAACTCGACCAGGACCCGTCCCTGTGCACAAAAGCCAAGAGGAGTAAGCCCTAAGCATAGTTGGGTGAGTCCAAAAAACCAACAATGGCTTCCCTGACCCACTGCCTAAACCAAGTCAAAGAAAGTTTTTAATTACGTTGGAAGATGATGTGCATGATGGTAAAAAGGAGAACAGAGAAAGAAAAATATTTAAAACAAAAAAAAAAACCTGAAGATACATACAAAACTCTTGTAATTTTTGGCAGGAGTAGAGAACAGAATGTTATCCATAAGTGCTCAGGAGACCATGCCAGGTGAGAGATCAGACTGCCCACATGCAAAGCACATGCTTCAGCCAGCTGAGCTATCTCCAGTCCCACTATTGCCATTTTAAAGAGGGGGATCAAAGTAAATTTGGTTGTGACAATTATGGATAAACAAGATTTGAAGTGTGGGAATGAAACAGGGGTATCAGGAAAGAGCCTATCAGGGAGAAAGGACTGTAAGCTGAGAAAACAGCCCATAACGAGTGGTGTTGACAGGGGGAAGAGATGCAAACAATAGGAGAAAACAGCATTACCAGACAGCTAGTAATGCTGCTTTTCTACTACTCTTAAAGTCCAACCGTCATGGATATTTTCAGTAGAAGAGCAACATCATCATACTCTGAAAAACTTACAACAATGTGAATGGGCATGAAAAAGAGAAAATTGAAAGAACACTGCATAATCTAGATCACATGATGCCTGAGACCAGATGCTAGGAAAAAGTGGAAAGGAATGGTCACTACTGGATAAAAACTGAAGATAATATCAGGAGGGTCTTCTTATAAAGTGAATGAAAGGTATGAAACAAAGAATAATCAGATTTTTTTTGAGGTATCTGGGAATACTGAATAAAGCTTAATATTTTTAAAAGGAGGGTTAATTGAGTGAACAGACCGGGATTTCTATCTTAATAAGCTATGAAGTTGCATCTTGGACAGTTGGGACAGAAAACTGGAAATAAACATTATTCACTAGACTAAGTCACTTAAAAAGTGTGGTGCTGGGCCAGAGCACAGAAGGTAGGATGTTTGCCTTACATGCCACCAGCCTGAGTTAGATCCCCAGCACCCCAGATGGCCTCCCAAGCCCCGTCAGAAGTAATTTCTGAGTGCAGAGTCAGGAATAACCTCTGAGCATCATCAGGTGTGACCTTAAAAAAAAAAAGTGTGATGCTGGACTGTTTTATGCATGAAACCCTCCTATTAACAGTATCTAAAGTAAAAAATTATGAAATTGAAACTTAAAAAAATTATGTACATAAAAAGAAATAGAAGAGACTGAGGAGGAGGAGCACTGTAAACAGAGAACACAGTTAACTTTTGAGTTATCTTGTAAACAGGAGCAAATAAAATTAAGTAGTAGCTGGTAAAAGACTGATGCTTTAAAAATGGGGCAAGTATAACCTTTTCTGGATGAAGAGCACAATGTCGGGGGCAGGGAAATAAGGCAAAGGGCTAGATCTCACGCTCTGCATGGATGTCCATTCATCCCCAGCACCGGCTCCCCAGAGCACCACCAAGAGTCCCACAGGTGCTGAGTTAGCAGCACTAGTTCCTAGTACTAGGTGTGGGGGAAAGAAAAGAAACACCATGTCTAAGGTAGTATCTTTTAACATTCAAATTATGGACATGAGAGATAGTACAGCAGGTAGGGCACTTGTCTTGAACATAGCCACCCTGGCTCGATCCCCAGTAGCATGTTTGCTTTCCCATCATGGCCAAGAGAAATCCCTAAGCACAGAGCTAGGAGTAACCACTGAGCACTGCTGGGAGTGGCTCCCAAATCAAGAAAAGTAAAACAGAAAAGAGTTTGAACTCTGAGGTCACTGCTAGATTCAAAGTGTGCCTCCAACATTAACTGCCTTTGGCAAGTTACCTTTAACATCTTAGCTTCCATTTCTTCTGTTTCTACCCTGTAAGGTAGGATCTTTACCTACCACAGCTAGCACAAAGGATTAAGAATTAAATGAAATAATGCTTACAAAGTACTTGGCAGAGTACTTTGCACCTGCGGCTAAAATCAGCAACTAACAACACTAAGAGTATACAAGGCAATGACACAAAAATTTTGTTACTGAAATACTTAGTAACTTTTAACAAATGAAAACAAAGACATAATAATAGAATGAATGCTTCAAATAAACTATTACATGCTGTGTAACAAGCAAAAACAAATATGTATTGCCATATCTACTAGGAAGTCCACTACTTTGTTTTAGAGCCACTTGCAGTTCAGTGTTTGGGGCCAGTGACCATGCATTGGTGGGGATTAAACCTGGACCTTCTACATACAAAGCATGTGTTCCAGCCCACTGAGCTATCTCTACAGCCCTCTTTTAATTTTATTACATTTTTATTCGGGCTGAAGCGATAGCACAGAGGCAGGGCATTTGCCTTGCACATAGCCAACATGGCCAACCCAAGTTTGATTCCTTGGCCCCTCTCGGAGAGCCCGGCAAGCTACCGAGAGTATCTCGCCCTCACGGCAAAGCCTGGCAAGCTACCCGTGATGTATTCAATATGCCAAACACAGTAACAAGTCTCATGATGGAGACGTTACTGGGCCCACTTGAGCAAATCGATGAACAACGGGAGGACCGTGACCATGACAATTTTAGTTTGGGGGGGCGGGGGGGGGGCGTCACACCTGGCTGTGCTCAGGGCTTATTCCTGACTCTATGTTCAAGAATCATGCCTAACAGTGCTCAGGAGACCTTATGTGGTACCAAGATTTGATCAAACCCAGGTCAGCCACATGCAAGGTACATGCTTACCCACTGTACTATCTCTCCAGTTCCTCCAGTCCTATTTTAAAATATGTAAGAAAAGTAGTATACACCATATAAAACCAATTAAAAAAGAAAAAAATTATAAACATCAAAATGCTGAAGGGGGATAACGGGGGGGAGGGGCTCAAGTCAGAGAGATAATGTAGTGAGTAGAGCCTTTGCTTTGCACCAAGCCAACCAGGTTTTGATCCCTGGCACCCCAATATGGTCCACCATAAATGATTCCTGAGCAGAGCCTGAAGTAAGCCAAAATGTGAGTGGTAATTCTTTCTGGTGTTAAGAGACATGGTGTTACATTCCTTTTGTTTATCCATGTTTTCTAATTTTCTACAAATTATTGTGTAGCAGTAATGAGAAAAACAAATAAAAGAATATTTAGAAGAAAATCTTAGTAGTACACACTTTGGCAGGATCCAGAGAGAAATGACTGTTGAGGGGTCAGAGAAACAGCTAGAATGAGTGACTGTTTTCTTGTGGGAAGCCCACAGGATTCCTGAACACTGTGGTGTTTAGTCAATTGGGATTCTCTAAATCAACCTATACATAAAGATAATTATCAAAGAATTCAAAGATAGGATAAAAACCAAAAAGCCATAATGGTAGAAAGCAGTCATGAGAAATGAAAAGCAGGACATATATAACTTACTTGTACAATTCAGGGACATAAGAGTAGAAGAGTATACAGGAGATAAAAATTTATATACAGGGGTGATTTGAGTGACAGTACAGCAAGGCAGGACCCAGTTAGATCCTTGGCACCACATATGGTGACTAAGCCTGGCAGGAGTGATCCCTGAGCACAAAGCCAGAGTACAACATGAGCACTGCCAGATATGACTCCAAAACCAAACAATAACAACAAATCTGTATACAGGGTCTCCGATGAGGAATAAATTTTAATACCAGATCAGTTTTAAAGGAGAAGTATCTTTACTCTAAATTCAAATAACTGGTGTAAAAAAACATACAATGAAAAAGTTGAAGAAAATTCACAATGACTAGTCATAGTCTATACTGTAGAGGAGAGAATTTTTTTAAGTGAAGGAATGAAGTGAGTGATAAAGGAGATTAGCAGCTTATCAGATTAGCATAGTGAATACTTACGCAAAGGGTTTTGTCCTTCGCTTGCATAATATTCATACATGCCACTTTTAACCAGAGTGTCATAGTGAGGTAGGAAGTCAATTCGCTCTTTTGTAGCCGTGAGCAGCAACTGGTTGACTGACTGCAGCAGGTATAAAGTGACTCCATCCTTAATAGTTTCATCTGTCATCAAAAGGGAGTATTTGAAGTGTTAGGTTAGCAAGGAATGCTAGTGGACTTATGCTTCTAAATATGTACATGATAGCTATAAAATTATCTTTAAAGATGGAAAAAGCAAAAAAAGTATCAATCCACAAATTCAGCTGTTTTCTGACAGCTGTCAGTGGAAGGGGAACAAATATTTCAGTCATCTAAAACATTTCTTAAGTTACGCTATCGTAGGAAATCAGAAGAGGAATTACATAACAAATGGTTATTTTCAAAAGGCATCAGAAATTATAAAACGAAGTAGATATTGCAAATGAACCAGATTTCTTTTAAAAACAAAAATGAATCAAATTGGGGGCTGGAGCGGATAGCACAGCGCTTGCCTTACACGTGGCCAACCAGGTCATCCCAGAACCCAGAAAAGTTCCCCCAGCCCAAACAGAAGTGATCCCTGAGCATACAGGGGAGCTGGGAACGAGGTAGAGGAGAAGGATCATCTAAGTTAGAAGGGAATATAACTTCTTGTGAATCCACACAGGACATTCCTGACCAGGTTTTGGGAGAGATCTTATCTGTCATCAATGACTTTTTCCTAATCTTGCTTAAAATACAATCACTGGACAAACTGTATTTATAGTCAGTTTCTTTCCGTACCCCTCATCCCCAGCAGCAAAGTAACCAAAATCATCAGCAGTTGTATAGATGTTCATATATGGAATAATAGAATCCTACCATGCATTATAACACGGTAAATATAACATAAATTTACACTGCTTACCAAAATTATCACATGTAATTTCTTTTCTACTGGTTGTTGTAATAACAAATTTCTCTTCCGGTGAAATGCCAAGTGTCTGTCCAAAAAAAAAAAAAAGAAGGTACAATAATTACAAAATGGAAAGAAGCATACTTCTCAAGCTTACTAGGATATGAAAATACTGTGTACATTATAATTATTTAGCAATTACATTTAAGTAACGTTTAAGTATTCAAAAATTTTTAATCCTGTTTTTTCCCTTTTAACACAAATCTAACTAAAAATTAGCTATTGCTAAACAAAAGTTATTTTTTCTATTACCACCTAGGAACACACATTTTCAAAGGGTTTTTTTAAAAAAAAAAATCAGCAGGATCCTTCCAGACAAAGACACTATTTCACATCAATAAATAAGAAAATGCACTTGGTACAAAGCACTAATACAACATTTATGCTCAGGCTGCAGCAATGCCTGATGTTTACAGGGCCCAGGTTCAATTCCCAGCACTGCATCTGGCATCACTGGGTAGAACACCTTTGCAGAGGCCAACCAAAAAAATAAAATTGGGGGGGGCCTTTTGGGGTCACACCCCACAATGCACAAGGGTTACTCTTGGCTCTGCACTCAGGAATTACTTCTGGCGGTGCTCCGGGGACCCTTATGGGATGCTGGGGATCAAGCCTTTTTTTAAATGTAAGGTACTTGAAGAAAACAAAGGTCATTATGCAACTATGAGTAGGGATAGTTAGGCACCACAGAATATCCTACAGTAAAGAATCTATATTTGAATCTATATTTATCTAAATCATGTAGATAATTACAACAGACAAATGTATCGTTGGGAGATAGTCTTCACAAATCAAGATGAAAATCAAGAAAAAGCAAAAAAGATAATACATAAATCAAACCAAAAAATTCAAATAAATGAACAACAAACACGGAAAAAGAACAATTTCAAACCACAAAAAAAAAAATTCTTAAAAAGAGTTACACAGGCAAGGCCAATAGTATAACAGGTAGGGTGCTGACCAGGGTTCTATCCCTGGCATCCCAGGATTTAAAAAAAAAAGTTACATGTTAATTAAATATCTTTTAAATTAAGGCATCCAAGGGCTGGAGAGACAATACAGCAGGTAAAGCACTAGTCTTGCATGCAGCCAAGCAGGGTTCAATCCTGGCACCCCCTATGATTCCCTGAACCACTGAATTTATCTATTACTATTGTTTAGTACTTGGGGCCACACCTGGCTGTGTTCAGAGTTTATTCCTGGCAGGGATCACAGGACCAGATGGAGGTTTTTCTTTAATGCTCCCTATTCTGTGTTTACCTGTACTCCCTTGTTCTTTGCTTTGTGTTTTTAGCCATGCTGTGCTAGGACTTGAACTTGGGTATCCCATGTGCAAAACTTACACTCTGTCCCTTGAGCTATTGCTCTGACCCCTGCCTGGTTTCCTTGGTGATAGAGTTTGGCTGCTTCTTGCTCTGTATGTTATAGCCTATATATAATAGCACTGTCGCCCCGCTGTTCATCTAGTTGCGCAAGCGGGCAACAGTAATGTCTCCATTGTGAGACTTGTTACTGTTTTTGGCACATATGTTACTGTTTTTGGCATATCAAATACACCACATGGAGCTTGCCAGGTTCTGCCATGCGAGCGGGATACTCTCAGTAGCTTGCCAGGCTCTCCAAGAGGGACGGAGGAATTGAACCCGGGTCAGTCGTGTGCAAGGCAAACACCCTACCCGCTGTGCTATCACTCCAGCCCATAGCCTATAATAAAATATATTAATAATAAAATATAATAAAAACAATATTGAAATTATTTTTGTATTTGTTTAGCTGTAGCACTGTCCTCCCGTTGTTCATAGAGTTGCTTGAGCGGGCCCAGTAACGTCTCCGTTGTGAGACTTGTTACTGTATTTGGCATACTGAATACGTCACGGGGAGCTTGCCAGGCTCTGCCATGCAGGCGAGATACTCTCTGTAGCTTGCCGGGATCTCCAAGAGGGGTGGAGGAATCGAACCCGGCTCAGCTGGGCCGGCAGCTCGCAAGGCAAATGCCCTACTGCTGTGCTAATGCTTTATTTTAAAATTTTTGGTTTGTTTTGGGGCAGTGTTCAGCAGTGTCCAGCAGTGTTTGAGGATCACTCCTGGAGGGGATCGAATCCTGGCAGGTGTGTGCAAGGCAAGCACCCTACCTGCCGTACTATCTCCCTGGTCTTGAAAGGTTTTTTTTTAAGGGGTTGTAATTAAGCCTTAGGTTCAATTTCTTTAGGACAAAAAGTACTCCAAAAATGATCCTGGTACACAGTATATGCCTCAGGAGGTGGCAAATAATAAATATATGGATATAGCATTACTTAGAACAATGTTAACATCAAGTTAGAGAATTAAGTACCTTCAGCTGGAATCCCTCCATAATAAAATTTTTATCTGATAAAGTTCATCCATTGATGGTGGTATTCTGATGACTCTATTTCTGTAAAATTAGCTATAATTTTTTAAAGAGCTGCTTTGCCTCATTTAATAGAGCTCCCTGGTTATCTGGAAATATAGTTAATATAAGAAGTTGGATAAAGGCTTTAGCATTTTTCTTTAGCACAAATTCAGTATTCAGAGTGGGAGTTGGTGCTTCCTTTAGGATTAACCAATAAGGATTTTTATTAAAAACTCTTTAATCATTGATCTAGTTTTCACTGTCTTCAGTTTAGTCTATTACCTGTTACAGAAGTCATCCTTTATCATAGCTCTATAATATATTGATTTTAGAGAATTTGTTTTTTTTTTTGTTCTGTTTTGTTTTTGTGGTCAAACCCAGTAGTGCTCAAGGCTTACTTCAGGATTTGCGCTGAGGGAATCACTCCTTGGAGGGGCCCAGGGGACCATATGAGATGCCAGAGATCAAACCTAAGTTGACCACATGAAAGATAAGAGCCCTACCTTCTGAACAATGGCTCCAGTCCCTAGCTCTGAATATTTTTTTTAATCTGAAATCAACTTATTAGACAAACTAGCCAGGCCCTGAATCTTGATAAAAGTTATTCATTCTTCCTGTAACATTCTATTGGAACAAGTGTTTCACTTAGTTTTTTTTTCATTTTTATAAGTGCATTTCAGGGGCCAGAAAGACAGTACAGGGGTTAAGGTACATGCTTTACATGTGACCTATTTCATACCCAGCATCATCAGGTGCAGCCTGGAAGCACCCCCACCCCCACCCCATTAAAGCTGGGGTGACCCGGGTAGTCCACAACTCTAGGGCCAGAGCAGCTTTGCAACCCTGGGCACTCCTTAGGAGAGCTCTCCCACTCCACCCTCACCCCCAGTAAGAGGGCATTAAACCAACCTTTTTCCTGGGTTAACCAAACATGTCTCTGCCTCGAATGGGTCACACTGAGAACCTCCCCTTCATCACATTCTTAGCTATCTTCAAACTCCCTGCTGCACAATTCTTCTCTAGTCAATTTTACAAAATATTTAGGAATGGCTAACAGTTTGGCAGTCCAGAAAATTCTAAAAACAATTTTTTTGAGGGGGGTCACACCTGGGGAGGCTTAGGGGTTACTTCTGGCTCTATACTCAGGAATCACTGCTCAGGAGGGTTCAGGAGGCAATAAGAGCGCATGCGAGACAAGTGTCCTACACACTATACTCTCCAGGCCCAATCCTCAAATTATCTGCAACCCATCCAACAACCCAATCAAGTCAAAAACACACAAGGAGCCCGCAAAACAGCCTTTAATGATTTGGTCTTTGGCGCTATAGTCAACGACTTTATCCCTAAGTGAACACAACAAAGAACACTCATGTTGGACTTGAGTGAATACAGATTAAAGCAGTCCGCATTATCTCAAATAACATACAGCCTAACAGTACAGGGCAATACCAGGAGCAGTTCTTCCTACTGTAAAGATACTGTCATTTTATCATTTGGGTTTTATGAGAAATGTAGTGAGGAAGGAGGGAGGAAGGCAGGAGGAAGGAATAAAATTCTTGCTTCCCTAAGCAGCTGCAATTTGTGAGATGTGGGAGAAGTTTTTCTCAAATCAAAGCTTTGTGGGGAAGATGAGGGGAAAGAAAAAGGGAGGGGGAAAAAAGGAGAAGGAGAAAAGGGAGAAAAGGAAAAAAAAGGAAGGGGGAGGGGAAGGAAGGTGAGAAAAAATTTTGCTTCCCTAAAAGTTGGACTGTTTGATTTTATATACATCATGGAGTTTTTATCAATTACCCTTGCATCCTGAGTAAGGTTAGGAAACGCTAAATCGATTTCATTGCTGTAAGTGGTGCAAGGTTTATCAAACACAGTCTCATTTAACTACCTCGTAGGCAGCTACAAGTCTCACACATTTCATTACACCCTACCTTCTTTTCAAAATAGCTGCATGCTATGTACAAAAGTTCTTTGAAAGAAAGAAGGAAGGAAGGAAGGAAGGAAGGAAGGAAGGAAGGAAGGAAGGAAGGAAGGAAAAAAAAGGATACACTAACTACAAATTATCTTTAGGTTTATAAAGAGGTTACGCTCCTTTCATAACAATATGATGGGATAATTATAGTTACACTAGTGTAACAAAAATTCATAGGCCTACCAAGAAAAAGTAGACATTTCCTCAAAATTGGACCTGAGAAGGGTTTGCATAACTAGGATTTAATGACTGGACATTAACAACTAGTGAAGTGAGTCATTTTTCTAATCTTCAATCCTGTAAAGCCATGAAAGCTCAGGTGAGTTATCAAAGCACTTTAACTGCTTATCAAAGGTCTAAGAGCTTCTGATCCACCCCTTCCTCTGCATTGCTCCCTTTCCCCAACAAGCTAAGCTTTCCTTGGATTCATACTTTTCTGACACTATAAACACTGGTTTAAGCTTTAATGAAAAATTTTAATACATTATTTTTTCTCATCTCCTAACTAGGAAAATTAAGTTTTAGTGCACAATGTGGACACTGTTTTCTTTAAAAAAAAAAAATTAGCAACACCAAGAAAATTTTTAGAATCAGTTTCTAATCCAGTCTCATTTCCAATTATATTATATATATATGTTGGACTTATTTTAGTAATTTAATTGTCTTTCATGCATGTAATGGTCACAAAGCTATGAAATTAGGTGGCATTCTATCTTTAAAGCATAGTCTATGCTTTAAAAGGTAAATTTTCAAACAAAAAGAGCCTTCTCCACTTTAAAAAAAAAGTGGATGCTTCATAGGGTCTTGGGTTCAAATCCTAATTTGAATGAACTGCTTAACACACTGAAGTTTGTGCTTCAATTTCTGTTTCTCTCCCTCTGGTTGCTTCACTGATTATGCTCTACTTTGTCCATTGTCCAACAGCACCCAACAAAAAGTGTGATGTGAAATTGAATCGATAATAACCATTTCTGTTGCTAGATTTGCTGTAGATTGTTGTCTCGGTGAACTGAGTTAATTTTCTATATTACTATCTTATTCCCTGCCGCTGTGCTATAGCACAGCGGTAGGGCGTTTGCCTTGCACGCAGCCAACATGGCCGACCCAAGTTCGATTCCTCCGCCCCTCTTGGAGAGCCCGGCAAGCTACCAAGAGTATGTCGCCCGCACGGCAGGGCCTGGCAAGCTCCCCGTGACGTATTCGATATGCCAGACACAGTAACAACAAAGTCTCCAATGGAGACGTTACTGGGCCACCTCGAGCAAATCGATGATCAACGGGAGGGCCTTTACTTTTACTTTAGCATCTTATTTTGTTATGCTTATAGTGTTGCAATATTTAAAAAGTGAGGCGCCAGAAGGACAGTACAGTATGGAGGGTGCTAGCCTTGCATGCAGCCTACCAGGGCTTCATCCCTGGCACTCCATATGATGTCCTGAGAACTCCCAGGGCACTCCTGGGTGTGACACAAAAACAAAACAAAAAAAATTTATGTATATAAAATGTGGATTTCCCACAGATCTAATGACAGTCAATAGTAAGCCATGGGTCACCATAGGCAAGAGTTTCCACTTCTGTAATAAGTTTGGGGTCAGAGTGATAGTACAGCAGGTAGGATTTGCCTGTAGGTTCGATGGGGGATGGGGGGGAGCCTATGAGGTCCTCTGAGCCTGGCCAGGAGTCATCCTTGAGTGCAGAGTCAATAATAAGCTTGGAGCATCGCTGAGTGCGGACCAAAAACAAACAACAAAAAACCAACAACACTTCCTCTATCCTACTCATAGAAGAGAGATCCAGAGACTGATAAGGAAGAGTATTTTAAGGTTTCATGCATACAGCAGTCCAGCCCCCGCACACACACACACCTCCCCCCTACATACACACACACCCACACACACAAGTCTTTCCACATCACCACAGGGAGAAAACTTCTCAAAGGAGAATGAAGGAGCACTACCTTTCTGGAAAGCGATTTTAAAATACATGCCATGGATTTTTAAAATTTTCCTGACATCTGTTCCTGTAATTGCATTTTTAAATTTCTATACTAATGCGGGGGGGGGGGGGGGGGGGATGAAATTTCAAGGTGTTGTTTATCGTGGCATTCCTTAAATGACAAAAACTGAAAACAATATAAGCACCCATAAAAGCAGGTATGTGGCCAGTCCTACAGAACCTACCATTTCAAACTCTGATTATGAAAATTTCATTAAAAAAATAACACCTAACTATTGTTAAGTGAGAATGATAGAGAACATATTATAGTTAGTAGGACCTGAGAGGAAGCAAGGCTAAAGAAACTACTTCAAGCACTTAAAGTAGCTCAAACATTTACCACGAGCAAAGGTTTATTTCCTCCCCCAGGTTCCCTGTTTTTCCTAGTATGCTGATATTTTACAATAAAAAATGATAAACGTGAAGCGTTTCCTTTTTGTGGGATGCTTCTGAACTAGAACCAAAAGAGAGGCGCTTTCATTCCATTCACTTCCCAAGTGCGTGAGCTGGATCCCCACACCGAAAAACTTCCAAAGTTATAAATTTCGGTTTTCGTGCAAATATTCCTTCGAATCTGGGCAGGCATACGTGGAGGGCACAGTGCTGGACACTGGGAAGACAGCTGTGAATAATCCTCGTTCTCAAAAGGCTTTTTATTAATTATTCCGGGCTTTCAATTAGCGCCGCGACTCCAGTTCTGCCTCTCCGTGGGCATTAAAGCATCAGCCTCACCAGCAGCTGAATCAGAAGTTAAAAACTGCTTCAGAAGTTTCTTTTTTTTTCTTTGACGCTATAAGCGTTCGTTGGCGTTTAAAGAGAACCAGCGATTAAGCACGACAAGTCTTTCCGTAGCATCACTTCTCTACAAAATACTTCCCGCTTCGAAGTAGATTCTCTGCTCTGGTCGTTCATTTTTAAAGCCAACTAACAAGAATGGGGCAGAAACCTCTTTCGATGTCCGCCCCCCCCCCCCCCCGCTATACCCGTGGACCCCCTCGGTACCGTCAGCTCTGGGGCAGCGCCCCGCCCGCCACGCTCGGGGCTGGGGGGCAGTTTGCGGGGGGTTCGCAGCCACGCGCGAGCCCACCGGGGCGGGCAGCGCCAACCTTGACAGAAAGCCCCAGAAATCAACGCAACGTTTCCAGAACACAATTGCAAACCGCCTCCAGGAATTCCACCACTTCCAACGACCAGCGCGACTCGCGCCACCAGAGGCACCGGGGATGGGGGGGCGGGGGGGGGGGTGTGCTCAGCCCGCTCTTTTCTCCAGAGAATTCCTCAGAGCGGCGCCCGCAGGACCCGAGCGGTTTCCCCAACTCGGGGAGCTGCTGCAGCGCCCGGAGAGCGCTGAGGTCGCGGGAGGCCAACCCGACCCTCGGCCGCCTCTGCCCCGCCGGGCGGGCGCCCCCACCCCCACCCCCACCCTGCGCCCCGAGACCGGGCCGCGGCGGGGGACCCCCCACGAGCGGTCCCGGGCCCGGCTGACAGGTTTACTGCCCCCCACCCCCCGCCGCCGCCGCCGCCGCCGCCCCGCGCCCAGTCTCGGCGCCCTACCTGACACACGGCGGCGCGGAAGCCGGCGAAGTCCTGGCGCTCCCCGACCTGCAGCGGCCGGTCCCCGAGCTCGGCCTCCTCCTCGCGCCGGTCGAACAAGTACACGGTCCTGCTGCCGTCGCCGCCGCCACCGCCTTCGCCAGGCTCGGCCGCGGGCCCGCCGCCCGCCGCTGCCATGTTGGAGGGGAGGGAGGGGGAAGCAGCCGGCTGGGAGCCCGGGACGCGCGAGGACGGCGCGCGAGGCCTCGAGCCGGCGCTGCAGCCGTTCCCGGGCCCGGACCCCGAGTCCTACGTGCTCCCGCAGCAGCCGCGCGTCACTTCCGCGGCCCGCGGCGCCCGGGCCCCCACCCCCAGGCCGCGCTGCCAGCGCCTGCAGCAGCCTCGCAAGCGCGGAGCGCGGCGCGAGCAGCCGCCGGAGCCCCTGGCGCAGGAGGAAGAGGCAGCCCCGGCGTCGAGGGGCGGAGCGAGACCTGCAGGCCGCGCACGGCCGGGCGGGGCTTGGGCGCGCTCGGGGCCGCCCCTCCGCCCGCCGCGCCGGGAGAGAGGCGCGGGGTGGGGGGCGGCGGGGGCTGGGAGGGGCGGGGACCCGCCGACCTGCGCCAAGGGTCCGGCGTGCGGCCCCGCGCACCTGCCGGGGCGCCGGGTGGGGATGCCGGTCGAAGCTGCAGCAGCCCCTCTGCGAACACGTGGGTGCTCGCGGGGAGACCGCGGGCGGCCCGAGGCTGGGCGCCCCCCCACCCCGTTCCGTCGCTCGTGTTTCTCTTTGGATCGTGAAAACAAAGCGGGTGTGGGGGTGCTGCCGACGTCTGAACCGAGCCCCGAGACGTTATGGCGCCCTGCTCCCGGGGACTGCAGGCGGGCGTCCGGAGCTCCCCGGGGAGGGCCCATCACCCCATCACCCCATCGGCCCACGCCCCCTCGAAACTGGAAATGGAATCCCAGAGATCTGTTAAATAAAATACATGCGGGCCGCAGCGATAGTGCAGCGGGTGGGGCTCTTGCTTGCACGCAGCCAACCAGGGTGAATTTGCGACATGTGGACCCCGACATGTTCCCCCGGGAGAGAGCCCCGAGTCCAGAGCCAGGTGTAACCCCTGAGTTCCGCTGAGCCAAAAACAAAACAGAAATGGGATCTCCTAGAAGACAGTTCGAAGTGCTGGAACGCAAGCCTTGCTTGTGGAGGTAGGGGATCCCATGAAGATCCCAGATCTCACGGCTTCTCCCCCTCCTAAAGTGGCAGTTTTGTCGTTGAAAGTTGAAAGTGAAGGCGTGAAAATCGCTACACATGGTAGTAGAGTGGAGAATTTTTTCAATTCTCAAAATCTTTGGGTAGAAATTGGTAGATTTTGTTGGGTTGCCAAAATCTTCATAATTATATGAGTAGACTCACATTCTGAGTATGTTTGGGACCTTGACTTTCACACATGAAGATGTTCTAAAATTGTAAGGCGTGTGCATGCAATTTGGCTAGATACTTAGACTAGAATATTGCCACTGAAACCTAAGGGGAGTGTAAAGGGACTGGAACTGGAGAGAACAGAGCAGTTAAGTGGTGGAAGATAAGACTGGAAAGAGGCAAGTTTTAGTCAAAAGTCATTTAAGTTTCTGCAGAAGTTGGGGAAGGTAGAAGGCAAATAAACTCCATTTCCTACGGATCTACCACCTCCCCACTCCCCCCTGACGCCACCACCAGATAGTGCGCTTAGGTATGACTCCTGGTGGGGGACCATAAGTGAAGAGGAAATCAAGCCTGGGTCACCCACGTACAAGGCAGGCATCCTACCTGTTGTAGAATTGCACCAGCCTCTTAAAATATTTCTTTGGCATGTTTTGCCTTTTAACTGCAGGTGAACTATTGCTCTTCTATTGGTCAAATTGGGACTAGGAACAAAGATTCATCATTAAGGAGATTTTTTATTTCTCTGTAACTCAAATTACATAAATACATCCATACAAAAATTTTGTTTTTATGTATTTTCGTGAATTGAAAGTATTGAGAATTGAAAGCAGGAGCTTACACATGCAAGACAAGGGTTCCTCCTCTCGTGGTTTTAGAAGAAAATTCAGCATAATTACCAAAAGGAATCCAAAATTTTGCCAGAGAATGTACTAGAGTACTCTGAGCAGCTATTGCTAGATGTTGAGTATTGTTTTGTCATCAAGTCAGGGTCAGTGTCGTTTGTTTGTTTGCTTGTTTGGAGTAAGTGGTGAGCTACACCCAGAGGTGATCTCAGGGATCTTAAGAATCTGATTCAACCTGGGTTTCCCATATACAAAGCAACACTTCCAGTCTTCTGTCTCTCCAGCCTTTGAGTCAATGTCTTCTGTGGCAATATGGCAATCTAAAATAACTCCAAAACCATTTACCAGTAACCTCTGTTCTCAGAAACTCACAATGTTTTCACCAAAGGGAGATGATAAATTTGTTCCTGATTCCACTTCAATCACAAACGAATAAGTTCAAATGACCCAGCCCTTGAATTCTCTTTAAGTGACCTCAGTTTTTACTCTTACTAGCCATCTTATCATGAGTATAAATATTAAAGTGCCCCTTAAGTGTTTATATTTTGCTGCGTAGCCGCCCCAAACGTTAATCACCTCTTGAGCCCCTTGGGATCTGGTCCCTTGGCCTGAGATGCCAGACTGAATTCTCTTGGAGTGAATTAATACACAGTCTTTAAGTCTAGAACTTAAGGACTGGAGACTTAAACTCAAAAGGCTGGAGCACACATTTGGCATGTGTGGGGCAGATGATCCCACACATGCAATGGTTCCCCAAGCATTGGGAGGGGCTAACACCTGGGCACTGCAGGATATAACCAAAAAAAAAAAAATAGCGAAGTTGTAATAATAGTGGAAAAAAAAATAGGAGAGCTTTGTGGAATAAATAGGAAGTTAGAGTGTTTCCAGATGTGAAAGAGATACTAAATACTTCAAACTCTGAAGAAAATTTAGATTTTTCAGGGTTAAGTGAAGTACTTTTTTTTTTAATGTGAAGTTCAGATAGTTTTTATTGAACAAAATTTATTCAGAAGGACGTGCAGGGTGATGGGGGCTGGGCTGCGAAATATGTGTTCAAGAAAGAGCAGGAGCTTCTCCAGAGCATAAAAGCAGAAAGAGATTCGTGTCAAGGGAGAACACAAGTTTGAAAGCTCAAGCCTTGATGCATGTTCAAGAGGTAACACAGGCTTGGGAGAACAAACCTAAAGCACTTATTTTTTTTAAAGCCAGAAACATATATTTATTGTAACATGATTTAAGGCATCATTACAACAAACCACAAGCTTCTTTAGTAGAAACTCGGGTCTTCTAGGGCTTTGAGCTTTAAGACTAGTAAATTCTGGGGATTGAAGAGAGATGTCACCATGGGCAGGGCACTGGCCTTGCTCATCACCTGAGCCAGGTTTAATCCCTGGCATCCCTTTTGGTTCTCAGAGCCCTGCCAAAGGAAAAAAAATAAAGGATTGACAAACTCTGAGATTTATTTTTGCGTCCCAATTTTTATTATTGTTATAGTTTAGGTAACATGATTATTTACAACGGTGTTAATTTTCATGATTTTGATGTACAAAGTCCCTAACACCCACCACCACCACCAAAGCGCCCAAGACCCACTGCTACAGTCCTTATGTTATTGTTCTACCTGTTTATTCCACTGAAATACTTCCTTTATTAAAAAATTATTTTTAAATAAATAAAACACAAAAAAAACTGTCCCTAGTGAAATCTGATGATAGTAAATAAAGTGAAATAAAGATGACAGAACAAGAAACTCAACTAAAAGTCTTGACCTTAATTTGTATCACATAGTAGTGGAAAATCAGTGTTTCTCACCAACTGAAAAGAAGCCAATGAAATCATTTTGGTACCGGCAAAAGAAGCAACCTGGAAGCATCCTCAAGCGATAGCTGCTTTTTCTGAACAGAGATAAACTTAGCATTCTTGTTCAGAAGATGTTTCATATATTTGTGTTCAGTAGTATTGGGGAATTGTGAATTCTGGTGGGTTTTGCATCGATAGCATTGTTACATTAAGCAAATAAAATTTGCTATAGTAAAATCATTTACCAACAGAGAGCTTTTTTAAAATCATGGTATATTATTTCATCTGCATTAAGGAAAATCCTTTCAAAATTTACAAATTCATTAATGAGAATTTAGTTTAATCTATAATGCTTGAATACCACTTTGAGTGGTGTTTGTGTGTGTGTGTGTGTGTGTATACACAAACATATGTAAACAGTGCTCCTGTTTTTTTTTAATATTCACCTAAAATGCATCTCACAGCCATGAGAGAATCTATTTTGAGTCTCTGATGCCATTATTCTCAGCAACCCAAGAAGTAATTTACTTTAAATTGAAAATTTTTTGAAATCATCTGTGACTATTGAAATTAAGACCAAATTTAAGTCAAATAATTTAAATATTGTCACTAACTAAAATTGGACAATTTCAAGTAGTCTTACCACAATTCCTCTCCATAATCATGTAAAGGCAGCTATTTATTCGCAAAACTTCCTGAACAAAAAAATTTTATCACTATCAACAACCTCTCCATGCAGATGATGAAACTAAGCAAGGCTTAGTTTAATAGGCATTTAGAGTTGCTTCTAGAGATCCATTTGAATACAACTTGAAATGCTTGTGTTATGTTAATAAAATATATGGTTCATGGAATGTCTTTGGTCATGGAATTAATAAGATGATTAGAAGTGTTGCTATTTAGGACCTATGAGCATATTTGGGTGAGCAATCTGGCAACCTTAACTAGAGATCTACATCTTTATTTAACCCATAGCTCAAAGTTTATTCAATATTAGTGTTACTGGTTCAGCATAACTGGGGGAGAAGAAGGAAAGCGACTTCATAGTAATAAGAATGCTATCTAATTATACATTGCTTATTTTAAAAAACTTAGTTGCTTCAAACAGAAACTTTTATTTGATTATGGTTTTTTAATTTGGACTGAGTTTACCTGGGCAGTTCTGCTGGTCTCATTTGAGATTATATAAACAGAAACAATTACCTGGCAGCTTGAATTTACGGTTGGATGATCCATGGCTGTCTCCTTTATATGACTAGCAGTTGAGGTTAGTGGGAGATGAAGCTCATTTCTATTGTATTAGGCATCTCTAAGGTGTAGCTTGATTTCTTTACTGTAACAGAATTTTAAAAAGAAAGCT